CTGTTGGGGCGCGTATCCAGGATACTTATCGTGTCGGGATATTGTATATAGGGGCTGTTGGGGCGCGTATCCAGGATACTTATCGTGTCGGGCTATTACCTAGGAGTACAATTGGTATTTGCAGTTATAATTCAAAAGTTAAAATAATTCGTGGTAGGGACTAGCAATGCAGCATTTAATGAACGAACTTAAGCTTACTAATTAATTAGATTTGGGATGATGGAATACTGAATGCAAAAATTATCAAATGCAAAGGATAATCTATTCCAACTAAACAAGACAGAATACCGATTGTAGTAGCAGGGATTTCGCTAGCGCCACAGCGGCCTATACGTACACAACAATTGTACATGTACACAACAATTGTACATGTACACAACAACTGTACAGCTGTAGCGCTGGTCACCGTGCCTAACGCTACTTAAGCACTAATTCTACACGGTAATAACAAGCGCACGCAGGCCAGCGCTGTGCCATTGTAGCGCTAATCCTGCGACCAGACCACGCGCCTACATCAGTGATGCAGGCCGCCCTGCACTGTGCCCACCTCAGTGATGCAGGCCGCCCTGCACTGTGCCCACCTCAGTGATGCAGGCCGCCCTGCATTGTGCCCACCTCAGTGATGCAGGCCGCCCTGCACTGTGCCCACCACCCACCTCAGTGATGCAGGCTGCCCTGCACTGTGCCATGCTCTTGGACACGAGTAATCCTGGCCCTGTTCGGTAACCATCGAGCGCGGAGTAACTTGCTGCATCGCGTGTTGGGTAACTCGCTTCTTCTTGTGAATGGTAACTAGTGGCATCGTGTGCATGGTAACCTGTTACCAGAGCGAGGGAGCAGGTAACTAGCAGTAACGTCAGCGCGTTGGGTGGTAACGGCATCATCGCATGGGCGATTAGTGGCCGCTGTGACCCGTAGCTCTCGGGAAGACGACTCGAAGAACTCAGGCTTTCAGATTTTAATATACCGTGAATTATTCCATTAGGTATTCTGTTTATTCTGCTTAGATTGTTAGCACAGACGATAGGAATTGACTTTACGGGGATTGTGGAAGTGGAAATTGATTTAAAGTTAGCCCCTGGGAAGATCTGCGATGTGGTGAAGCAGGAATCCAAGCGGGTTTCGTTCCTCTGATGAATTTCGTGGCAAGTGGTCGTTAAATGTTTATAAAATGGCCTGAAAAGCTGGGTGGATCACAATATCGTCTCAACGTGATCACTATTATTGCTACACACTATTTTCATGAGTATGGTAATAGTGCACAGACAAAGAAGAGCTTCCGATCACTTATTGTACGGGGAGCGCGCGGCGCACAACCCCTACCACGTCACGTCTCAACAGACACTGAGGAACCCCAGGATGAGGTGGGCGGAGCACCGAGGTATTTACGGCGGTCCGGCGAGCGCAATTGAAACGCCGCCGCCACCACCCCCGCCACCGCCNCTAGACACGAATCTCCTGAAGGCATTAATAAATGAACACTGTCTCTTATACACATCTAGATGTGTATAAGAGACCGGTGTATTGGCAGGGCGGTGTATTGGCAGGGCGGTGTATTGGCCGGGGGGTGTATTGGCAGGGCGGTGTATTGGCAGGGCGGTGTATTGGCAGGGCGGTGTATTGGCAGGCCGGTGTATTGGCAGGGCGGTGTATTGGCATGTAAAATAACCGCGCTAAATTGGCTTAGAAAAAAAAAGGTAAAATGCGGTCGCGGTTTGGTCGTGACAATGAACATGACTCGTGTTCATGTCCACTCATTTTCTCGGCATTAGGTCATTAATGTTAATAATGTTTTTAGCGATTCAACATCCATATATTCATATCTCGAATTCATTCTCATGTCGACTCATGTTTCCGCAATTATATTACATGTTCATAACGCGCCTACGTTTCATGTTGAATCCTGATATTCAGAACAAAGTTATCCGCATCAGGATATTTTTAATCCCGCAATTCCGAGCCCCGCTGCTACTCTAAAGTGATCGTAAGTTTAGTACGTAACTACCACCCGCTTTACGACGAAGATACGAAAGTATTACGATGATCGTAAGTTGAGTCGAGGTGGTAAGTTGTTAGCATTTGAGTAATCCATGATACTTGAACATCGATACGACGTCGTATACGCAATGCCTTACGACCAACGTACGCTCATTTCCTGTATTCCCGACCCTGGAAATGCCGCTGCGATTCCTTCGTTGTAGGCGGAGGGGGGGGGGGGGGGGGGTAGAGCTTGGGTACGTGGAGAGGGGAGGCTTGGTTACGCAAGTGGGGTAGGGGGTTGGGCGAGTGGGGAGAGGGTGGTCTCGACTGTGGGTAGGTGCCTTTGCCCGAAGTACGAGATGGGGTAGGTGTCTTTGCCCCAAAGTACGCGATGAGGTAGGTGCCTATACCCCAAAGTACGAGAAGAGGTATAGGCGCCTTTGCCCCTAAGTACGAGATGGGGTGGGTGCCTTTGCCCAAGTTCGAGACGGGGTAGGTGCTTTTTTCCCAAAGAACGAGAAGGGGTAGGCGCCTTTGTTCCAAAGTACGAGAAAGGGTAGGCGCATTAATTTGCTCCAAAGTACGAGAAGGAGTAGGTGCCTTTGCCCCAAAGTACGAGAAGGGGTAGGCGCCTTTGCCCCAAAGTACGCGAAAGGGGGGAGGAGGCGAGATGAGTACAATACATGTGTCATGGATATACAAATCTGAGAAGATTGAGTAATAAAAAGACAGTCCCCAACACAGGTATCTTGCGTGTCCTGAATGTTGGCTGTACATGTATTGTGTAGAAGTCACTTGGAGTGAACATGACGGAAGTTCTTGTGGGACTTTAATTTTCTCTTCTTGTGTGATTTCTTCAATTCAAAAGTTACGGAAACTTTACCAAATTCTAAACAGCATGTCAGTACCTGATGATAACCATCCTGCACCTCAAGTTGAATATCTGGACGAAGTTACTATGACTGAGTTAACTCTGCCAGATTTTGTCTCGCAGAACAGAAAAGTTTTCCGTGGCTATGAAAATTGAAATTGATTTTCTTCAGCGAGTTCCTGGCATCTGAATATTACTGCATCAGTCGTTAAAACGTGCATCAGTTGTAAATATTCAATAATACTGCTGAACGTGATATTTCTTCAATAAAAAACTTCAATTCTTTGATCACTAATCTAGAGCAGAAGCAGGATATGCTGCAGGCATCACAAGCGGTTTCCTCTATCCAATCTGCTTTTATTGAGTAAATATCACGCGACTGGAATAACTGTGCTTTATTACTAGGTTATAAATTAGTGACAAGTACTTATATTATCAGTCTGCTTATATCGTAAGCTCACAAAGAATTTAAAAGCAAAGAAAACGCCAAGCGAATTCACCATATCGATATAGTGAATTTGCTTGGCTTTTTCTTGTTTTTAAATTCCTTGTGAAATTAGTGACAGAAATGCACCCTAGCATTTCAGTGTATTTCATTGACTTAAATTTACTCAACTTAAACAGTTTGCCGTTTCACAGAAAAACTGCTGCCGTTATTTGTTTTAACTTGATTTCTTATAACTCATTATTCATCGAGCAATCAGGAAACGATTCGGGTTGACAATTTTTGGTAAATGCGCCCTGCCGATGTAGTGAAACTATTCCGAACCATGAGACCAGAAAAAAATCCAAAATATGTTATTGGTTGGCACTTCACATCGCACTAAGATTTTTGTACGCAAAATACGCAGTGACAATGATAGAAGATTATCTTCCGTACGTATATTCCGTACACAATAACAACATATATCACTAGTAGTTTGCTACAAAAGTGGGTCACAACTAATCGCTTTTCTGAGCCTTCTTGAGTGCGGCCAGTCTCTTCCGCTCCTCAATCTGCCGTTGTATGGCCAATCTTCTTTTCTGCTTCTTCTCCTCCCTCTTCATTTCCCTCTCCTGTTCACACATGACCACTCCTCCTCTCTTCTCCATCTTCTCCTCCATTCTCCTTCTCTTCCTCTTCTTCTCCATGTCGATGACTTGGTCAGGGTCGTGCCCCAGCTCGATCATCTTCTCCTTGTAGAGCGCGAACTTCTGCAGGCGCGTTGGGTCGCTGAAGGAGTACGCGGCGAGGCGCGAGGCGTCCAGCTTTAGGACGGTCGACAGGCCGTCGCCCACGATCAGGCGGGACGACTGTGCCGTCTTGGACGATGCCAGGGGGTCTAGTTCTCGTCTGTCTAGGTCCAGACGAGCCTTGACGCTCGTCTGTGGCCGGGATAAAGTCACGTGTTTAGGGCGAGACGTCGGGGCGTTTGTGGCGTCGGTTGAAACGTTCCCGACATGAGCGTCCCCGGTTTTTAACCCGTCTCCGTGATTCAACCGCTCCCCAGAATGTAACCGATCATTCGTCATACCCTCTTGCTCCTTATTTACTCCCTCCTCCTGGTTTTGCTCCGCCATGTCGGGACATTTGCTTTTATTGTCTGCGGTTGCCACGCCTCCTTCCTCAGCAGCCTCCTTCTTTTTCTTCTCCTTCCTCATCTTCTTGGCGAAGTTTTTGTCCATCTTCTTCGTCTCCTCGTCCTTCTCGCCTTTTTCGGCTTCTGCCTCCTCAGGCGAACTGCAAGAGACAGAGACATAAGAACATCAGCAAACGTCAGAACACTCACTTTGTGTAGTGACGAGAACACTCCACTAGCTAGGTGTAGAGCGAAGGGAACACCGCACTCACTAGGTGTAGAGCAAAGGGAACACCCCACTCACTAGGTGTAGAGCAAAGGGAGCGCCCCACTCACTAGGTGTAGAGTGAAGGGAACACCTCACTCACTAGGTGTAGAGCAAAGGGAACACTCCACTCACTAGGTGTAGAGTGAAGGGAACACCCCATGAAGGGAACACCACACTCACTAGGTGTAGAGTGAAGGGAACACCCCACTCACTGGGTGTAGAGTGAAGGGAACACCCCACTCACTAGGTGTAGAGCGAAGGGAACACTTTAGCCATGTGTTTAACGCTCTTCCTGTTCCTCCTGAAGTAGGCTCGCTCGCGGCGCTCCTGTTCTTGGGTTCGGTCGTAGCGCAGGATGTTGGCCAGGCCGTTCCAGCGCTTCAATTCCTGCCCCTCTGCCATCACGATCTGTAAACAGCAGCGTTAATTGTGCACATACTGAATAAAGTATGGGAGAACCGCTTGAAATCTCATTTCTTAGAGCCGAATTTGTTAGTAAAATCATAAAGATCCCACCCGCGTCGGCCATTTTCGTAAGCACGCCAATCTTTGGACCTCTCGATGTCGGCCAGCAGAATGCCAGACTCTTTTCTTTTTGGCGTTCTCAGCAGCGATACAGCTCTGCCAGGTATCCCTGGTCTCTTCCAGGAAGCCCTGGGGCTCTGCAAGGTTTTTTGACTCTGCAGCTGCTCAGTTGTAGTAAGGATGGCAAAAAGGATACTAGCACAAAAGCCGCCGAGCCCCACACTTACATCCTCAAAGGACATCCCGCTGCCATTAGTCTCAAGTCTCAACGGTTCCATACTTGAAGCGACACTTGATTCCAACAAGCCCCCAGCACCAAACCCTCCACCGCTCATTAGGCTCGACGGTCCCGTACTTGAAGCTAAACTTGATGCTCCCACACCCCTAGCACCAGTCCCCACACTCACATCCTCAAAGGACAGCCCGTAGTCATTAGGCTCGACGGTCCTGTACTTGAAGCGACACTTGATGTCCCCCGCGATGACGTCCTCGCAGTGGCCGGCGTAGTACTCGTCGAAGTATTCATCGAAGTTGTGCTGGGTTCCGTCGAACACGGGCTTGTCCCGCCGCAGGGCCTCCACCAGGCCCGCCTTCTTACGACGACGCTTCTTCTCCTCTGCAATTACGGCACATTACGGGACCAGAATTTCGGGAGCAGACTTTGGGGAACAAAATACGGGAGCAGACTTGGGGAACAAAATACAGGAGCAGGGGAGTAGACTTTGAGGAACAAAATACAAGAGCAGAGTTACTGGACTAGGCTTACGGAGGTTGTACGGCTCTGTAACGGCCGCTAGGTCAGGGTTACAGGAGCGACTAAGGGAATAAAGTTAGGCTTGCTTTACATCACACTGCCGGGCTCGGTCCAGCCATGATCGAGGCAAAAGTTTTTCTGACCGGGACGTGACTGCAGCGATGCCAATTACTTTTTCACGAGCATACCAAATTGCCAGCTTAACATACCATATTTTAGCGAAGATACAAGATAAAAAATATCCATGCCGGACACCATCTCAACATACCAGATTTCAGAAATCTGGTATGGAAATATACCAGTTGTCAACGCTGTTTGACTGGCATGGCTCGTGATACGAAAGGAACTGAAGTGACCGGACCGAACATGTGAATATACATGGCCCGGCCCGAACATGTGAATGTAACCGGCCCGGCCCGAACATGTGACCGGCCTGGCAGTGTGATGTGAATCAAGACTGACTGTAGCAAAATTACGGCAGTAAAGTTTTACAACGTTACAGCAGTAAAGGGTTACAGCGTTACGGCAGTAAAGGGTTACAGCGTTACGGCAGTAACAGGATACAACATTACTGAACGTTCAGAACCTCAAGCCGCTAACAATATCTACGAAGAATTGCTGATAATAATTGCTGATAATGCTGATAAAAAACGAAGTGCGGGTGACTCACCTTTTATTCTTGGGCCCTCTATGTGGGTCGACGTGGCCACGTCCTGAAATAAAACAAACACGTCACTACTTCACCACAAACACGTCACTACTTCACCACAAACACGTCACTNGTGCAACACGTCACCCCTGCCGTGCAACACCCCTGACTTCTCACCAATATACTGCCGTGCAACACGTCACCCCTGCCGTGCAACACCCCTGACTTCTCACCAATATACTGCCGTGCAACACGTCACCCCTGCCGTGCAACACCCCTGACTTCTCACCAATATACTGCCGTGCAACACGTCACCCCTGCCGTGCAACACCCCTGACTTCTCACCAATATACTGCCGTGCAACACGTCACCCCTGCCGTGCAACACCCCTGACTTCTCACCAATATACTGCCGTGCAACACGTCACCCCTGCCGTGCAACACCCCTGACTTCTCACCAATATACTGCCGTGCAACACGTCACCCCTGCCGTGCAACACCCCTGACTTCTCACCAATATACTGCCGTGCAACACGTCACCCCTGCCGTGCAACACCCCTGACTTCTCACCAATATACTGCCGTGCAACACGTCACCCCTGCCGTGCAACACCCCTGACTTCTCACCAATATACTGCCGTGCAACACGTCACCCCTGCCGTGCAACACCCCTGACTTCTCACCAATATACTGCCGTGCAACACGTCACCCCTGCCGTGCAACACCCCTGACTTCTCACCAATATACTGCCGTGCAACACGTCACCCCTGCCGTGCAACACCCCTGACCTCTCACCAATGTACTGCCGTGCAACACGTCACCCCTGCCGTGCAACACGTCACCCCTGCCGTGCAACACGTCACCCCTGCCGTGCAACACCCCTGACCTCTCACCAATATACCGCCGTGCAACACGTCACCCCTGCCGTGCAACACGTCACCCCTGCCGTGCAACACATCACCCCTGCCGTGCAACACCCCCGACCTCTCACCAATATACTCGTCGTATTCAAACTTGGGTTTCTGCACGTCAGTTCCCGCGTCGTCCTCGTGGTCGTACATGAGCGCCATCTTCCTGTCGTGCTCCGCAGGGTCGAAGTCTTCGTCCAGCTCTTTGTCCTGTGAAAATAAGGATAAAATTTAGTGGATAAAATTAAATTGATAAAATGGGGATGAAATTAAATGAATAAAATAAGTATAAAATTAAAATTAAATGAATGTAAATAAATGGATAAAATAAGGTTATAATGAAAAATATAAAATAAGGATAAAATTGAATAGGTACAATAATGATAAAAAAATATAATAATGGATAATAAAATTAAATAGAATAATGGTGCTAAGATGACAAAATGGTGCTGCTCTCTAATACGAATAAGCGCCAGCGTGGCCTGGGACTGCTACGTCTGACACACATGCAAGGATAATAAAGATTACTAAAGATGCTAAGGAAGCATTACTTAGGATATTGAGTATACTAAGGATGCTAAGGATACTGAGGATACTAAGGATGCTAAGGATACCGAAGATACTAAGGATGCTAAGGATAGTAAGGACAGCGAGGATACTAAAGATGCTAAGGATAGTAAGTATACCGAGGATACAAGGATAATAAGGACACACATCAAAAGCGAGCGTCTGTTGCCCCGACGTCTTCTTGATGGCCTCGAGGCGCTGCACCAGCAGATCCTTCTTGATCCTGAGGGCCTCCTGCTCGCGCCTCATGAACTCCTCCTTGGCGAGCTTGCGGCGCGCGGCGTAGGCTACCTTCTTGTCGTGGGTGCTCGTGTCCCGCACACGGGCCGTGCCCCGCAACTGGTACGGGTATGTCGTGGGGCGGTGGGGCTCGGCCTCTCTGTAGAGGGTAGAAGAGGAGTAGAGTGGGGCCGTGGGGGCGGTGGTGGGGATGAGACTCCCAGAGGAGTTAAAAGGAGTGTTGTAGGGAGTAGAGTGGGGTTCAGGATCAGGAGTAGAGTGGGGTTCAGGATCAGGAGTAGAGTGGGGTTCAGGATCAGGAGTAGAGTGGGGTTCAGAAACAGGAGTAGAGTGGGGTTCAGGAGTAGAGTGGGGTTCAGGATCAGGAGTAGAGTGGGGTTCAGGAACAGGAGTAGAGTGGGGTTCAGGAGTAGAGTGGGGTTCAGAATCAGGAGTAGAGTGGGGCCGTGGGGAGGGGCGGTGGGACTGAGACTACCACGGGAGTTAGTAGGAGTGTTGTAAGAGGGAGTATAGAGTGGGGTTCAGAAGCACTAGCCCTGCAACGCTCGGCTCTGTTTTTGCCACGACATTAAAAAAAATTATACAAGGGCTCACCCCACCTTAACCTATGGGTCAACCTGACACACAATCTACTGCAGAATTGCAACCCAGACAACCAGACTCACTATCCCTCTACACACCCCGACCCCCACACTCACTATCCCTCTACACACCCCGACCCCCACACTCACTATCGCCGCGCATATGACACACTATCAGCGAACAGTGAGGAACAGTCAAGGAACTCACGCGGCGAACTTGGCGAGTGTGTCACGGATGTTGAGCTGTTCCTCTTCATCATCAGGCCTGCTGGGGAAATAATAATTAGATGTGACATAATTAATTATAATATTATATTATTAATTATTATTATAACTATGCTAATATTATAATTATAGAAAATTAATTATAATATTATTTATTAAAAATTAATAACACTTACACTTAGTGAGAGAACACTTCAAGGCAGAGAGTCAAAACATAACGAAAATGTGAAATAGAAGAATCTAAAGAACCAAATTTTCAAAGCAATAATGATAAAAATAAAGCTACCATGAGAGTATATAATAGTACCTAATATAAAGTTTAATACTATAGTAGAATAAAGAAGATAAATAATAAATTCCAGAGCTAAAATAATAAGATGATGAGAGCGCTAACTCACTGCTCGGTGTCACTGTCATCACTGCTGTCACTGTCACTGTCACTGCCGGGGCATGGTGCCTCATCGTCACACTCGAGCTCCTTGCTGGGTTTAGGAATTCAAGTTTAAATTCATAGAATTTGGCTACTGAAACAATAAATAAAAACTTACATTTCTCAATAAGTATATGTGTCATTTTCATCGTGATCTTACAAGAGACAGGGCGATACACTTACTGCTGCTCTAGTAGTTAATTATACAGCTGCATGATCTGCATTAGACAGTTGTATGGTCTGTGTTAGACATCTATGCAGTCTGTATCAGACAGCTGCATGGTCTGTAGGTAATCATACAGCTGCATGGTCTGTATAAGACATCTGTGTGGCCTGTATTATATAACTCACTGCTGCTCCAGAAGGTAATTCGCCATCCATTTCTCATCTTCCGTCATGTTGGGTTTCAGGAGAGCTTTAGACAGTCTCTCCTTTAGCTCCGCCTTCTTTGGCTGCTTTACTTTTTTAACCTGCACAAGAAATGAATTTATATTCATAAGAAATATAAGAATAAATAATGCTCAAGAATTTGTAAAAGAAATTTGAAACTGAACAAATATATACAAGTAGGAAGAGAAACGAAAGAGGCAGTTACAGTTTAAGCTAAGAAAGCAAGTTTTATATTTGCTTTTTAATTTAATTAATGTTTTTGTCTGATCAAACTTGCCCAAATTCCTTCACCTGGAGTAGAGTGTTGCATGACTCACCTTCACCCGGAGTAGAGTGTTGTGTGACTCACCTTCACATGGAGTAGAGTGTTGTGTGACTCACATTCATCTGGAGTAGAGTGTTGTGTGACTCACATTCACCTGGAGTAGAGTGTTGTGTGACTCACATTCACCTGGAGTAGAGTGTTGTGTGACTCACCTTCACCTGGAGTAGTGTCATGTGACTCACCTTCACCGGGAGTAGAGTGTAAATATGACTCACCTTCACCTGGAGTAGAGTGTTGTATGACTCACATTCACCTGGAGTATTGACCCACCTTGACAGGCTGAGGTGTTTCCTCAGGGACTTTAATCAACTCTTCATCTTCATCACTCTCATCAAAGCAGATTTTCTGCTTCAGTATTGCTGGTGCTTCCATGGGTATGTTTTCTGCTCACAATAAGATACATAAATTTCAATTTTCCCCTTAAAAAGAAATTTCAAAAACATGAAAGAATGATTTAATAAGACCATAAAAGATAAATAAAAGTACGTAGAGACTGATATTATGATTCTTTGTGCAGTTAAATTCCATCTGTTTCACTTGAAAAGATTTAAACAGGTCAGTTATTAAAAATAAAACTTAGAACTTATGATCAAAACTTACCATCTTCTGAATCCTCGGCACCCTGATCCATATGTTCAACATATTCCCGTTGAATGTTTTCAACAGTGAAAGGCTCCTCGTCTGCTCCACTGCCATTTTTTTTGGTCTTTGATTTAATTTTCTTTTTAACTTGTTTCTTCTGATGGGTGACCAGAGGATTTTTTTTCCAGAATTTGGGATCTCGGGCAAGCTCCTTGCCTTTGCCGGACTTGACTGCTTCCAAAATTTGTGCAACATATTCCATGGACTGAGACGAGGGCTGGAAGAAAGATCAAAATGAAGATGATATAAAAATTCAGCACTTGTAGTTACCTTGATTTATACCAATAACAAAAATGTAAAAAACATAATTTTACTAGGCCAAGAAGTAAAAATAGACACTTTGTGTCAGAATTCAGAGATAATAGTGAATAGAATTAACAAGCCAACAATTTCAGTTCCAACTATTATCAGTCTCAAAAATAGCAGTTTCAGCATTTGTTAGGCTGTAGGCTAATGAACGCAAACATTGGAGAACATTTGCAGTTTGTTGCAGTCTTGCTCTTGCAACTCAATGGTCCAATTCTGCCTTGCTTAATCACCCAGCCTCCTTGCCGATTCAGACCAGAAACTGGCACACTGAGCTGGAATCAAACCTGCACTACGCTATTCTAATCCTGGAATTCTGAACTTTAACCACTGGGCCACCCTGCCTAGCAGTTATCAATTTGATTTCATACACACTTTCAGTATTTGTTTCAGTAAAGTTCATTATTTGTTTAAAAAATCAACATTAAAAACTAATTTGGGAACCAAGAAGCTAAAAATAAGTTGGTATTTGAACAATGCTTAGTACTTACATTTGCCAGTTCATCTGATGACGAGATCTCACTGCTATCTGTATCATATTTCTCCACTTCCTTGCCAAGCTCTTTCACTGAAAAAATAAACATTTCTTAGGAACTAGATTTGCAAAACTTTCATCATATATGTACATATTTTGTAAAATGATACATTGAGAATTTGAAAGCTCTGAACCTACATTGATTTTGGATACTAATGTACTTTGTCATTCTTGGATCATTAAGTATGAATTTCAGAGTATATTCTGAGAAACAATTTATTCATAAACAGGAATGTTGAGTAAATGAGCTGCTGAGTTAAGTAACTGAAAAAATTAAGCAGTATAAACTTTCTTATTGCTAATAGATAATAAAATTATGCACATATCTAACTTATATCTCATTGAAAATTTGACAGTAGACAGTCCAAGTTGAAATTAGGGGAATGGTGTTTTACCGTGTTTATATATTCCATATTGTAGACTTTTGATTTTGGAAATAGTGTTGATCTTAAAAATCAGGTTTTAAGGATCAAAGTATTGCTATAACTACCTAAACCTTCAAGATTTATTACCAAAATTACATTTTAAGAGTTATTTAAAGACAATTATATTTGCAAGTTTGTCTAAGCCATATAGATTTTGATGGTCAGCTGTCTTGGTTACACATATGAACTACAATTTTGTGCTGCCTGCTTATCACTTATCAGTGCCTTTAGATTCATCATACTCATCAGTCATTAACTATTTCTCAAACTTCTTATTAACCTGGTTCTCTTTTCCTTATTTTGTTTTGTTTGCAATAACTACGCTTATTTTTGCTCTGGTAGGAAGTTGGACACAGTTTTAAAGAAATGTATCATTTTAAGCAAATTTATATCAACTTAATATCTAATATATTAATAATAATACATAGTGCACTTCTGCCTTCATCAAGCAGCATAGCAATTTGAGCAAAAGACTAGCAAAATTATAGAATATCAAGAGAATCTGTGGTGGAGCAACTCTGTGGGAGTACCATTCAAAGATGACAGAAGAGAAAAAAAACAGTCTTCCAACCTGAATTTTTAATTATGACCCATATTTTAACTACTATGGGTTGATCAAGTCACTCTGCATGGTGGTTCAGGTCACCATGCACCTTTCCTACAACAACATGAAAACCAAAATGAGGAGAAACCTGCAAATATTCGGGTAAGTATTCCTTGGGTACACACCTTACATATGCATGTTTCAACTTAAGTCAAACTTAGCTAGTTCATTAATGATGTGCTTTTAAAATTCTAAACTGGTCTAAGTCATCCCAATTCAAGAGAGTGATAATATATATATTATATCCATGTGTTTTTATATTATCTTGAAGAAATTGATAGAGAGCCACTAAAATAAATAAAATTGTCTGCAATCATTGGTATTTTTGTCTTTGTCACAGAACATAGATGGATTTTGTCCTATTTACTAGTTTCTCCAAGTGGAAAATATTAACTAAATCCAGCCATAAATGAGACGAATAACTCATTCTGAAATTTAATTTTAATTGTTTCAATGGCACTTGACTAATTTATTTAGTAGAAATCCATATTGAAACCTCGGGTAGAAATCTTTCTTAATGAGCCAAAAATGCCTGTGTGTGTACGTAGTTAAATACCAAATTTTATCTGTTTTATGGCCATTGACCATAGCGGCAATTTGGCAAACCAGAGATTTTTTAGAATCAGTTAATTTTTAATTTCCTCATTTATTCAAGATTTAAATCAAAATCTTATGTATCCAGGATACTGGTATCAATGATATTTTGCTGGTGTTGGTCTACTTATTTGACTATAAACTAAACTTCAGATAAAGAGTCTAAACAACTCTCTGTAGCCTAGTCCCACTGTGCAGAGAGTGGATGAATATTGCAAGATCTTTGGCGATGCTTCAGTAGAAAAATTTACGCCTTCAGAAGATCTTGCCGACACATTTAGATTGAAATTCTTGCATTTAATATATTTGTAAGTCTTCGGCCAACTATTTAGAAAAAAGTAATGTTTCCGGTATGTTGGATGGATCAGGATGCAGTGAAGCTTGTCCGGAAATCAGTTGCGATGAGTCCTGCCAAATAAATGCAAACATCAAGTTTACAATTACGTAGTTGCGGTCACATTAGTGCGGTCAGACTGCATTATCACATGTTCAGTTGACACTTGCTAAGTTGCTATACAAGTGGACTGTTTTTAGGGTAAAATTAGTTATTTACGGTAACACGTGCATGAAACCTTGTAAATAAGTTCGTGGCTTGTAAATAGTTTTTTATTACTCAGCGTAAATAGCTTTTCATTAAAAATTACCCGGCGACACATCTTGAAAATGGTTGGTGACACTTTGGGCTTAAAAACCCATTTATTGGCAACGCTGCAACCTGCGTCCAAGCTCTGCCCATGGTCAGGAAGATGTGCCAGGTGCGCGGGAATTTATATTGTCATTTTAACGACCTGCACGGTGCGCCGTACTATGCCGGTAAAAAAATGCGCCATGCGCCATACTTTTAGAAAGCTAAAATAGTTTAAATATGGATGCATGGCAACGCAAATTACGTAATCACACTGACCGTACACACAAACACGTATCCGCATTGTGTTGTGGTTGGATATGAGTTGCCTAGATTGCTAACGCGTCAACTCAGGACTCAGGTTCTAAGAGTCAGCAGTCAGCACAGTAATGAATATTCATTCATAGATCACAATTCAATCGGACATGAATTACAGAACTAAAGAAGGCAACATGGCATTAGATGAGCCATCGGTGTCTTCTAATGAATGACTGGACTGGTTGTGGCAAGTAGGGCATGAACCTGTACGTCAACAGTACGATCCTGCATGCCAATGTTGGGACTACATTACCGACATCCTCCTGGCCGGTAAAATTGACACGATCAATACCTAATAACAATGTGCGTAAAAGGACTATACAAATTAGGTCAATATGGCATAATTACAGAGCGTAATTATGCTACCGTATGTGATACAAAATATGAATATATATATATTTGCAAGATAAGTCAATGGTCTGTCGTTTATTTTTGCTTCATTTGAGCAATTATGGTTTCCAAATCTGGGTGCATTATGTTATGTCATGCGTACTTTGAATGTGAAAAAATTATAACTATCATATGAAAATTGTTACGTAGGTTATCATAGCACAAATCGCAATAGAGTATCAAGATTGCAGTTCTGCCACCACCCTTCATTGAATTATCCTGCCTTTTTTCTAAAATTCAACAATCTCTCTTCCGGCAAAGTTTGCGAAATTCATTAGCTGCATAAAATACTCTCTGCTGTGGTGTTCGAGTTCTGGTTGACATGACATCCGTTTGCTTGTTTGACACTAATTTTGTATAGGTTGCTTCAGATAAATTAATCATTGCCATTCCCATGTTCCACCCTCAATTTAATGTATCTAACAATATTGAATGGCATTATTCATACAAATCTGTATCTGTTAAACTTGTACATTTCAAGATCTGATGGAAGCGGTGAGCGTCCCTAACAATATGAGGATGTATATAAAAACATTAATGATCTAGGAGCGGGCTTCAAAAAAAAAAAACATTTCATCATGGCTATAACTAAATAAAGATCATTAATTGTAGTATAATAAACATGAAGTTTCCCTATTAAAAAGTTATATTTCGTTGGTCATCAAAGTTTATATCAACTATTAACAATAATAAAAAATATCAACAATTAACAATAATAAAATGTAAGAAATGTCCGGGACTCTGGGTTACTTCTGACTCTTCTGCTTGTCGGATACGGAACATACGGTGTTCAGTGTTGCCATATGACTTTGGAGATAATTTCTTCCAAAATTTAAAGCATACTGTATTGAGCATACTGTAAAATTAAATTAAAAAATAATTAAATGTAAAATTAAAGGCATACTGTACTGACTACTGAGTATTGCATCTGTTCCTCCACAAACTGTTCTTGTGCGGCGTAGAATTGATGGCTGGGATTGCGCAAACTGCAGAAGTCAAGATTAAAGAACCACACTGCAAATCATGCACTCACTAATAAGTACAAATTGCATAAAAAACACAGGCACCAGAAGAAATCTATCTTAATTGTAAATTTTCATTTTTATTGCAAAGATGAAGGTTAATTATAGAGGCGAACAACAAACATTAATAAAAATGAGGAAAGCTTCAGAGGGACACATCACACTCAAATTCGAAGATCGTTCAGCATTACTTGAAATCTACAGACGATGTTGCCATTCCATTCAGATGAAAACTGTCTAAATCAGAACTGTGTCGGACGGCTCCGCGGCCTGCGCCGAGTGCTGCACAGCGTGGAATCGATGACCGTGATTTGCACAAACGCGTGCGTGAAGAAAATATAAAAAACTATTCATGCGTGGGAAATTTTACCATTTATATATAGTCAAATGGGGTAAGACAGGATTGCAGCCTTCATGGGGTAAGAAAGGACCAGCCCATGGCATGCATTCTAATTGCACTGAATTCAATTTGACAAAAGAATATGTTAGAACAATCATTGCCTGTCATTTCAGTGTTTGTGGCAACCCTCTTCTGCAAATAATGAATTTCTGGCTAATTTTTAAAGAAAATCTATGTAAAGAAGGGTCACAAAATAGTTAACCCTGTTTGGGAAATAAGCTCTGTCTAATGACAAAAAAATTTTTGGCCAGGTTTGTGGATGTAGGCAGGTAGCCTTAAGTAATAGGCAACTTTTTAGACATACTAGGCATTCCTACCTGCTACCATCACTGCCTGACATGTATTCCAAAATGGGGTAAAAAAGGACCGGACATGGGGTAAGACGGGACCACTAAATGATCCTGTTTTACCACACAAGTGGTCCTGTCTTACCCCACAAATGGTCCTCTATTACCCTACAGTTTATCAAAAATAGTTTTTAAGTGAATATATTATTGTGTAGTACATGTCCAGAGTATGTTGGTCAAAATTTTTATCTTTTGCTCAAACTTCATTATAACTTGTTAGCTTTTTTAATTAGAGAAATTTAGTGCACTATTTTAAAATGCATCAAAGGGATATAGAAAATAGGGATGTCTATTCCCATTAGTGAGCTGCAGAACTATGTGCAAGATTGGCTGGGGGAAAAATCACTGCGTGAAACATGAAAAATAATTATGATCACAACTCTGTGACAGGGCATGAGCTATGTTTGAAGAAGTGCAGTGTAAATGCAGTTAGCAAAAAAACACATGACATCTGACACTTTATTACCGACATCTGACACTTTATTTTTATTACCAATTTGATAAATTTTTCAGAGAATGGCACTAATGGATTATTCATGAACTACAATGAACTAAAGCCAACCCACTATTACTATGCTTAACAAAGTTTTCTCTTGACAAAAACTTTAATGTGACTGATATTAGAGTTGACTTCCTGCAATACAAAACAGTAACAAGTGGTTATTTAATCAAATAATGCGTTTCTAGATGGATAATATTGAATATCAGATTTGTACTTTGATTAAAAACCTTGTAACATAAGAATTACCAGTTGGTCCTTTCTTACCCCAGCCTGGTCCCATCCCAGGTCTCATAGTGTGGCACGAGAGTCGTTGTAAAATTTATCTCAAGGTCATCTGGTCGTTGAACAACCGCATGCCAGTCGATAGTCGATAGGATTTATGCAGTCGATAGTCGATAGGTTTCTTCAGTAGTTCGATAACTTAACAATGAAAACACTAGTCGTTAATTCTAGCTTCTAAGTGGAAAAAAACACTGGCGTAATCTCTCCGATTATTTTTGCAAGCTTCAATACATATGATGGTTGCGTTGTCCCGGGGCTGAACATTTTACATCCGCCGCTCGTAATGCGCTGTTGGGGTCCGGGTTTTAGTCAGTACCGCAGTCGTATCTTGTCGAGTCTCGCTAAGTCGCTTGTTGGCAGTCGTCATAAGTTTATTGTGGAAGAGTCCCATTAGTTGGCAGTCATTGAAAAAGATAAATGACCTATTATTTTAGCTCGAAAGTCGTTGTAAAGTAAAAAAAATTGGTCGATAACTTTAGCAAAAGTCGCTGAAATTCCAACGACTATTGCCACTGTATGAAACCTGGGTCCCATCTTACCCCATTGGGGTAAAACACCCATTGGGGTAAGATGGGACCAGCTCACTTTTTTTTTATCTGTACAGAAAACTAGGTATGTTAGATGCAAAATGTCTGAGTTGAAGCTTAGAAGCCCATTGCATAACTACACCTTGTGACTGACTGACTGATAGGTTTAGGGTTTTTTAGTTATTCATGGTATAGATGCTACAGGCTTGTTAGTGATTTCGGTCCTGTCTTACCGGCTTACCCCATCTGACTATATACTACATGACAACTGCTATTTTTGATTTAGGAATCAACTGAATTTGGTATTTATACATCTTCCTGAGTGTGGCCCTCTGCACCCTGCCCCTGGTAGCCTACCTAGTCTGTTATAATCTTTTTTGCCATTGCCTAATTTTAAATAATATAATTGTTTTCCCAGTAATATTTTAATTTTCTGTCCTCTTTAGTGATAGCTTTTTGCCCATTTATTTCATTTTGAAAAATTTTGACTGCTAGAAATCAAGAAATGTGATATATGAGTAATTTTTAATAGTAACCTGTAAAATAATCTTTTACACATGCAATTTTTGAAAATTTGAGCCCAGTGCCTAATATTCCAGAATACAGATTAGCCAGTTTGGACTAAGGATGTTAAAAGTTTGATGGTTAAAACTTTTTTTGCTTTATTCCACAACAATTTACTGTTGTAATACTAAATCTACTAACAACACAAACATTAATAGTTCCTGTTTCATTCTATATAATTTAGGAAATGATATAAAAAGTGTACTCACAGCTTTTGAGCTCCTCGCTTCTTCTGTAGGCTTCATATTTGTCAGCATATTGTTTGTTTATCTTCAGATTGCAGGCATTTTCATCGTCACTATCATCAGAAAATAATACTTTTCCAGACATGTTCGATCAGTAAAAGACAAGACAATTACGATAATAGCGTGAGGCGATAATAAGAAATAGTAATTAGGCTAACTTACGTAAAGAAATGTTGTTTACGTATTGATAATTTGATCCCAATTGCAGGTGAACATGGAACTACCAACTACGCTATCCACGTGAGGAAAAATCCCAGCTGTTGTATGGTAACCTGAAACCGTTCTGATCCGCAGGTCCGGAAAAATTATTAGTTTTTGTACATTCGTTTTAGAAATTGAGACAAGCTTTGTTTCAAGAGATCTAACAAAATCAAAGGATAATTTTTTATGTGATAAATGTACTTTCTATGTTTTATTTGCATAACTATATGGAATTATCAATGAAAAATATATAGTCCAAAAATCCTTACGTTGCGACTTATTACTAAGCTTTTACATTTATTTAAAACTCAAGTATCAATGTCACTAGATTGCTTAAATTGCAAATTGGAAACAAATTTTGAAACAATGATAACTCCACACAAATTCACCATATCTCTATTTAAAACGTTTCGGAGTCCAGCTCCATCGTCAGTTAGAAAAATCAAGAATACAATCGAAAATCTAGAATACAATCAGAAGTTAATACAGTCGAATTTAAAAACACAGAAATCTTCAGTTACAAAAATCTAGAATACAAACAGAAGTTAATACAGTCGAATTTAAAAACACAGAAGTTAACACCTTACTCTACAAAAGACACAGAAAAAATGTAAAAAAAATCGGATTAAATCCATCTATTACCAATTCTTAGTGGATAGGATCTAAAGGCTGCTTTTAAACTAGGCAATAATTTGAAAATATACACTGACTCTAAAATGCGCTAATCCGAAGCATCAAAACTAGAAGCCAAAACATTAAAGTCAATGTCGGACATTGAAAAATTGCACTGTTCAGCGTGCAGGCGCACAGCCGAATGAGGAAAGCGCGATAGCAGCTACCCAGTCGTACAACTCCTCCTTTCATGCTCTGCGATCCTAGTACAACGACTGCAGGACGTCATCCCAACGTACGGAGATGCATTTCGTGCACAACAATATTTATATACTAGGGACGATCGCACTGAAAAAGGAGGATATCTTTGAACCTTAAGAAAGAACCTATTTTAAAATTGTTCGCCAAGAACATATGAATATTCATGTTTGTAATGTATTTCATAATCAAATCTTTAAAATCTCTTGACATAGCGTCGTAGGCATGACCGAAGTATGGACAATAATAATAAATAACGTTCTTAATACCGGGCTCTGGAACAACCTCTCTGTAACGCTTAGTCATGAATTTCTTGATTTGTGTAAACACCAAGCTGGAAGGATATCTATTAAGCGAGAAGATATTGCTTAGAAATTCAAATACAGCGGGCATGGCATGTAATGTAGAACACATATGAAAGCCGCGTTGAAATATTGTTTGAAGCACGTTCGACTTGAATCGAAATGATGAACAGCTAAGAAAGCTGATGCCTAGGCCGGTGAAAGTCGATTTTCGGAAAATAGATGTTGAAAACGGCCATTTGATTTAGTGATGTTGCAGTCGATAAAGGACAAACTATTGTTAGGTTCCAGTTCCATTGAAAATTTAATAGAATTATGTTGCAGGTCTAGGAAATCATAGAAAAGTTTAACATGTGAGGGATGCTTGACAATTAGAAAGGTGCTAGTTTCGTTTCCCATAGTTCAGTTTATCATAAGTTCGAGGTGATGCTGGACCACTAACACCAGTTTGCGAATCGACCTAAGTGATGTCATGAACTCGATCAATGCTAGGTTTTATAAGAATATTTTCCTCCATTCGTCACTGTGACAGAGGCTGTCTCGTCGTGACCTGATTACGTGCCAGCTGTGCGCAGATCAGATGAACGTCTGACGTTCGCAAGCTTGACGGCATCGTTGTGAACACGTCCAGACAGAACTTCGTTCCCTCTGCGATAGACATCTTATTGGAAATGAGATCTGCGACACTTTGCTAACCTCAATAATTAGACGAGTCCAATGGGAAATTTTTTACAGGGATGCATGTTACAACCATCGTGGTTGGGATGCGAAGGTTGCGTAGTCATGGTAGCTGCGCGTTGCAACCATTGGGTTGGTATGCGAAGGTTGCAGAGTCATGGTAGCTGCGCGTTGCAACCATTGGGGTTGGGATGCGAAGGTTGCAGAGTCATGGTAGCTGCGCGTTGCAACCATTGGATTTGGGATGCGAAGGTTGCAGAGTCATGATAGCTGCGCGTTGCAACCATTGGGGGTTGGGATGCGAAGGTTGCAGAGTCATGGTAGCTGCGCGTTGCAACCATTGGGGTTGGGATGCGAAGGTTGTAGAGTCATGGTAGCTGCGCGTTGCAACCATTGGGGTTGGGATGTGAAGGTTGCAGAGTCATGGTAGCTGCGCGTTGCAACCATTAGGGTTGGGATGCGAAGGTTGCAGAGTCATGGTAGCTGTGCGTTGCAAGCATTGGGGTTGAGATGCGAAGGTTGCGTAGTCATGGAAATTAAATTATAAAATTATGAATTTCATAATTTCAAAATATGAAATTAATTATGATATGGAAGCTATAATGATGGTATGATGTGCATAATTTTATATGATGTATGGTATAATGGTGACATGGTTTGTATAATAGTGTGTATTGTATAATGATGTTATTGTATGTATAGTGTAATGAAGAAATCATACCACTGCCCCCAGCCATACATGTTGCTCCAACAAGAAGAATCTTGCAATTGAAACTTGTCTGAACTTACGAAGCAGTCCACTCCACTCATGGTTGCTCCACTGTTCAGGCGAGCCTATCTCATGGACACTGACAGTAATTACAGAGAGAACCTCTTATTGTTGCATTACTATGATCTTGGATGAATTGCTTAGTCAATAATGTATTGTGTCCCGATAATTGGTGACTGAGAGAGATATCCTGAGTAGGAGATTTGAATTCACGTGGAAGAGAAGACCACTAGTTGCAAGTATACTGACACACATTGGAGACGTTTCACTAGTTGCAGATTAGCACGTTATCTGGACGATTTGTAAACTAATCACATTGTACACGTTGGGTCCTGTCATTATCTTTGGGTTAAATGGGCAGCGATCAAGAAATGGCTTCACGGCTTGTTCACATACGATCACGCAGTTCCTCAGGTCAAACTTGAAAAGCTAGCATTCAAGACTGCTCTTGACCACTGGTAAAAGGGCTGGGGAGGCAACAGCCAGCTCAGTGCCGTTCGAATACTCATCAGATAAGGTGTGCGGTGTGCCATTTCTCTCATCCACATTTTGGACTGATGTGGAACGAAATGTGATCGGGAAGGCTCTATCGAATTATCTGTTTCAAAACGAATCGTGTGGTATTGTGGTACATCAGCTGAGCATAAGTAACAGGTTATGAACATAACTGTGGGTGAAAGGTCATTTTTCCAGGAATCATCCTTTCTCCAGGATTACCACAAATTTTCTTCAATTAAGCTTTCTCCGGACGATTTGTTCGTAATTAATGAAGGCTTTTTTGTTCCCTCCTGATGCTTTTGATACTATGCAATCATGCAATTGTTACAGTGGCTACCTAACTTGACGATTACCGATTATATGTTTGCATCACGCCACCGCAACTGCAAGCTAAGTCACACCAAGATTCTATTGTCTAACAGTCCAAGTTCAAGAAAAACTGTTTCGATGTCTAAACTCAAATTTTTATCGTAATGTGGCTTGTGGCACATTGTGCATAATGCAGCATAAATAACATTAATACCGTCGTTCTTCTTTACTTCTATTTGGAAACATTCGTTAAGCGTCAAAGTGACGATTTGTGGTGCCAATTTTTCGGTAGTTAGGTATCAACTTCTTTAGCCTAAACCCTAAATAGACATGAATATTCTCTGAATTCTAAATAGAATTCTAAATTCTCTATTCTGAATAGACAAACTATTCTCTGTTGACCATTTTTGTGTTTCCTAATTTTTTGAACTGTTGAGGTAACTGGTCTCCGATAAGATTTTATTGAAGATGGACTTATATGGCGTTTTCTTTACTTTTAAATTATCGGTGAACTTATACCGTTAGTGGCGAATGAGTCGCCACTCGCCAGTCCAGTTTCGTTTGTAATTTAAATTGTCTCCATCCGTCCATCGCAGGCGGCGACAAAAGTGCTGTGGCGACCCCAGTGGCATAACGTTAGTTTGCTTATGATCCAATTACGGCAGTGGTTCCCAAAGTGGGCGATATCGCCCCCCTAGGGGCGACGGAAAGATTTTGGGGGGCGATAAAGAAGAAGAGGGCTTTCGGGGGGCGATAGGGGGGCGGCATTCGGAAGTCGAAGTCAGAAGTTCGAACGTTTGTTTGACGATTTGTGCACAACACGTGCAGCGCATCATGACTCCCAGCGATGGTTTTTTCACCCAGATCTGTTTTTAGCGCATTTACTCATTCATGAAAAAATGCACTATTGTGCTCGCCATGTCCGTCCGTCTGTCCGCCTGTCTGTCAGTCCGTGACTTTACGTTTTCGTCGACGAGAAAATGCGCTCTGTCACTCACTGAAGTGAGTACTGAGTTATATTTTTTTAACCTCTCCTGGGTTTACATCTCCGACAAATTAACGGCCGGACTCGCGGCCGGTCTCACGGCCAATTTCCAAATTCAATGACCAAGGAACACCTCTCAAACTAATAAACTTAACTGGATGAAACTTGGTACACGTATTCATTAGGACCTAACGGTAATGTAAAGCTCGTCAAAATTTTTCAATTTTGCCATCAATTGTTTTTGCCATATTTATATGGCAATACGTACGGGCCGAATTCACAGTGATCAAGGAATTTCTTCCAAATTACTGAACATATTCGGACGAAATTTTGAATTTACAGTCCTAACTACCGAACGGTGATGTTTAGCTCGTAAAAATTTCTTCGATTGTGCCTTCGTTCGCGAGTTTCATTCGTGATTTAAACAGCAATACGTGCTTAAATTCGCAGTAATCAAGAAATTTCTTACAAACTACTGAACAGATTTGAACGAAATTTAGTAATTTAATACCTATAGCCTCAGCATCGGCGATGTTTAGCTCGTTACAATTTTTTCGTTTGCCTTCGTTTGTGAGTTATACGGCTATACGTAAACGACTCTTGGTCAAACCAGCCGGTAGAAAAGCCGATCGTTTCTCCTATATCTGTATAACTTGCGAACAAAAGCGAATAAGGAAGTGTGAAATCAAGAATGACGGTAAACTGAAAAAAAAATCTCGCAAACGACGGTAAAATAAATTTTTTTCAATCTAAAAAACACCATTTGGCAGTTAGGAATGTATATTTAAAATTTCGTTCAAATCTGTTCGGTAGTTTGGAAGAAATTCTTTGATCACTGCGAATTTCGGCCTGTATCGCAATATAACTCACGAATGAAGGTGATATTAAAAAATTTTCGCAAGCTAAACGTCACCGTTAAGTTCTGATGAATACATGTTCCAAATTTTATTGAACTGCGTTCATTAGTTTGGGTAATATTCCTTGATAACTGAATTTGGAGATTGGTCGTGAGACCGGCCACGAGTCCGGCCGTAAATTTGCCCGAGACCTCCTAGGTTTCTAGTACTGGAACGGTTAAAACAGATGAAAAACACATTGGTTCACTAAAAGGGTCCTATTTATGAAATACACATTTGTGTTTAACCTTTATCTGCTAGAATTGCAGCGTACTAAATTTCAAGAAAAAGGCGCATGATTTTATATGTGTCTGTGGGGGGCGCTAGAAATTCACTAGAGAGCCAAAGGGGGCGCCAGCCTGAAAAAGTTTGGGAACCACTGAATTACGGCTACATCAATACAGAGAGAATGTGGTAATTAAACACGAGCTTCATTGAAAATTATACTGTGAAACTGGTAACGAGAACAAAATTTATGAAGAACAATAAAATCGGAATAAATTCTGAGCTGAATATTTATCTTCTTACGTCATTCTTTACTTCCTACTTCGTTAGCAAACGTTGATCTGGAGTGCGCTTTCTCCTCATTGGTTGCTCTCTCCGATTCAACTTAATTTATTCTCTACTTTTCTTCAAGGGACTTTGTCATTCTTTCTTTACTCAATTTAACTATGTTGCTCTTCTTAACTTAAACGAACTGAGTTTTTCTTTGTTGGTGGCATCCCCTATATACTCCACGTGCTGATGATATTCTTGTAATCCACTAGACCGCACCAACCTTTCCTCTCATGCACTAGACTGCACCAACATTCCCCTCATGCACTAGACCGCACCAACATTCCCCTTCATGCACTAGGCCACACCAACATTCCCCTCGTGCACTAGACTGCACCAACATTCCCCTCATGCACTAGACCGCACCACATTCCCCTCATGCACTAGAGTCTTAGACCGCACCAACATTCCCCTCATGCACTAGACCGCACCAACATTCCCCTCGTGCTCTAGACCGTACCCGCATTCCCCTCTTGCAAGCACCCTCCCAGGCACTTTCTACTTGTCACTCCTAACTAAGTTCTAAGTTATGTTTGTATATTTAGTCAAGTAATAATTACCTATTATCGATTTAAATGTCTGTCCACAGCATTTTATTTGGTACTATATTCAAAATAGCAGCTACAACGAAACAACTGCACCTGCAAGCAGAGCTGCGGCGTCAGCGGAAATGTTGATTAATATGCCGTGTGGCGGCAACAGAGGATGAAGCTTTAGCAGGCACAACTGTAGCTGTGGCTGAGGCTCGGGATTAGGTACACCTGGCCCGTATTAAAGACATAACCGGGTCAAGAAAGGCCCAAACTCGTTGAAATATTGGCAAACGAATTGGCAACGTGAGATCCAGAAACAAGAATAAACATGGCGTCAAATCGGACGTCAGTCACAACGCTCTACGCTGGTTCCCCTGACTCCTCGCCGGCCAGCGTGCCCAGAATGTTGTCGTACACTCGCACTGGCGACGCCGCTGACCTCCAGCCAGACGCACGAAGCCATACAATGGCCCCCACCGCCTTGGAGATGACCGAGGTTGGCCGCGGAGTGCCGGAGGGAGAAGACTTTAGGAGGACACAGCAACAAATGGACAAGAAACTGAAGGAGGAGGACCAGAGGAGAAAAAAGGAAGAGATGGACGGACACATGGAGGAGAAGCTGCTCTACGGGGTGGAAGACAATCCTCCGTGGTACACCTGCATCATGTTGGGGCTGCAGGTGAGAGATGCACCTGATGTACCAACTGATGTACCGGTAGTACTGTTACTTCCGTCACCAACACTATCGAAAGGAGCATATCATTGCAGCACAATCTAACTTCTAACCAATATAAATAAATTGTGCAATATGCAGTGCTCAAGGCTGCAGCATTAACTGATGTATTACACGTCATTAATACTATTAACAAAGCCTCTAATTAATAACATTTTTTCCTGGTCTTGATGCTCCTCTTTATGTAACCTCCACCACCAGCACTACTTGATGATGGTCGAGTCGACAGTGAGCATCCCCTATCTCCTGACCCCCTTGCTCTGCCTACCCCCTCATCATGCAGCGCGGGCCCTCATCGCCTCCACCATAATCTTCGTGTCCGGCATCGTCACCTTCGTCCAGACTACGTTTGGTGTCAGGTGGGTTAGGTTGGCATAGGTAAAATCTGGCTTCCTAAATCCAGACCACGTTTGGCATCAGCTGGATTGGGCTGGCTAAGGTAGGGCCTTGTTACCTTCGTTTAGACTACGTTTGGCATCAGCTGGGTTAGGCTAGCTTAGGTAAGGCACCTTATTCAACATTTTTTAACCCTTTAACGCCGTATGTTACTCTGCGGGAACATATAATTATACGTAAACTCTTGAGTGTAGCAACTTGAGGACGTTTGTACGCAACAGAGAACATTTCAAAGTTTTACGTGGTAGCAACCATCGGTGCAAGTCATTTTGCGCTCACTAGAACGTATCCTTTTTGGGAAATAGGCATGTGAAAATATTGCTCCGGTTACTCATGTCAGGCGGTAGAGGGTTAACACTGCCATAATGATCCATATGGTCAACACTGCCGTAATGAATTGCATGTTAAACATGCCCTCCAAATTCATCTTCCAGGCTGCCGATCGTTCAGGGCGGCACACACGGGTTCCTAGGGCCCATCCTGTCCATCCTGGCTCTCCTGCCTTGTCCTCCTCAAGCGGAGATCGATGGCCTTACGGAGGACGAGTTCACTCAGCTGTGGACACTCCGCATGCGCAACATACAAGGGGCCATCTGTGTGGCGTCCATCTTCCAGGTGGTCGTGGGGGCAACAGGTGGGTGTTGAGCGAGGAGACCATCTCGTAACTAATGGCCAGAGGTGTCCATAGGTGTTCACATGGGGAAACCATCAGGTAGCCGTTAATCAGAGGGATGCAAATGTGCACAAAGAGGGGACCATCTGGTAACTGATGGCCGTACATGGTACGGACATGGACCATCTGGTGAAATGGCCGTGCTCTTGGTACGGGCGAGGCTGGTAACGCAAGTGACAGCCTTCACCCTCTTCCTCCGCCAGGAGCCATCGGGGGGCTGCTACGCTGGATCACCCCGCTCGTCATCGCCCCCACCATCTCCCTCATCGGCTTCTCCCTCTACCCCATCGCGACCAGCAAGTGTGCCTCCAACTGGGGCATTGCTTCCTTGTGAGTGCTGATAGTGCTGCTAGTGCTGGCAGTGCTGCTCTGGTAGTGCTGGCAGTGCTGCTCTGTGAGTGCTGGTAGTGCTGCTCTGTGAATGCTGGTAGTGCTGCTCTGTGAGTGCTGGTAGTGCTGCTCTGTGAGTGCTGGTATTGCTGCTCTGTGAGTGCTGTTAGTGCTGCTCTGGTAGTGCCGGGATCAGATAGGATGTAGAAGCACCGGGTACAGTGCGGTAGAGGTCTCTTAGATCGTCTGATTTGCCTGCTTTTTACTGCTGCCGTGTACCCGTCATCTCTAAACGTTCGTAAGTAACCGGCCGCGTGAGGAACACAGCTAATTATTGGCGACATTGGGCCGTATTTTGTAAGAATTCACACCTATAATACCTTTAATAAAGCTGATTTTTCATACGACGTTGTAATTTTGAGTACACGACAGGACCATCGTGCTGCTGATCGTGTTCTCCCAGTACCTGGGGGAGGTGCCGATGCCAGTACCGGTGTACCGACAGGGGCGCTGGACGGTCGGCAGGGCCTACGTCTTCAAACTGATCCCGGTAGTTATTTGAGTGTTTAAATAAGAGAATAAAGAGAGTACAATTTAACATCCGAGCAGATGATATCTGGTTGTTACAGTGTGAACTTTCGATCAGATGTGCCGTACTGGCGAAAATTATATGCTGGCAGAGCTGAAAATAAGTGACAAGGCTGACTATTAGTGGTAGCCGCAAGATCACTCGTGATGCTGTCAGGGGGTGCTGTCACTAACAAACTGTGCTGTCAGGGGGGTGCTGTCACTATCACGCTGTGCTGTCAGGTGGTGCTGTCACTAGCACGTTGTGCTGTCAGGTGGTGCTGTCACTAACACTTGGTGCTGTCAGGTGGTGCTGGCAGTGGGCTTGGCGTGGGCGACCTGCTGGGCGCTGACAGCAGCAGGGCTGCTCCCCGAGGGTGACGCTGCCCGCACCGACGCCCGCCTCGCGGTGGTCGCCGACGCTCCTTGGTTCCGCGTACCGTACCCTTGTGAGGGTCGTGAGAGAGCGCCTTGCGAGGGTTGTATGACGGCTGTGTGAGGCTTGTGTGAGGGTCGTGCGGGGGTCGTGGGGGGCCGTGCGGGGGTCGTGTGGGGGTCGTGTGAGGGTTGTGCGAGGGCCGTGTGAGGGTCGAGAGCGCATCTTGTGAGGGTCGTGCGAGAGTCGCGCAAGAGTCGTGCGAGAGTCGTGTGGGGGCGGTTGTGGGTGATGTCGTACTGCCCGCAGGTCAGTGGGGGGCCCCCCAAGTGACGCTGGCGGGGACGGTGGGGGTGCTGGCAGGAGTGCTGGCCAGCATCGTCGAGAGCATCGGCGACTACTACGCGTGCGCCAGGATAGCAGGTGACTTAACTTTCCGCTATACAATTCATGTGATAATTTTAAAAATAACTGCACCATAAAGTTAGTTTAAGCGGTCTCACAACTTCTGAATATAAACTACCCACTCGGATTTTCACTCGTGACTCCATTTAGGTTCTAATAATTGAGCGCTTAAGATAAACAAGATCAAATAAAGTAATCAGTAACAAGACCTTAAGGTTTAGTAATTGACTAATTGTGTACTAAATATCGTCACCTCAACAGTAACAAGACCTTAAGGTTTAATAATTATGTACTAAACTTCAACACCTCGACTGTTGACCCCAAACAGGAGCGCCGCCCCCGCCCCCCCACGCCATCAACCGCGGCATCTTCACGGAGGGCGTCGGCACCTTCCTGGCGGGGCTGTACGGCACCGGCAGCGGCACCACCTCCTACAGCCAGAACATCGGCGCCGTAGCTGTCACCAAGGTGAGTTGACAGGGCCGGCAACAAGGTGTGTTGACAGAGCCGGCACCAAGGTGAGTTGACATAGCCGGCACCAAGGTGAGTTGACAGAGCCGGCACCAAGCTTCCTCCTAGTCTTAGCTTTCTGAGTACTACTCCCTGATCAACTTTGTCAGAAGCTTTAGCAAAGTCCAGGTATACCTCGTCTACGCCAGCTCCCTCCTCCAGTAGGGCCAAAAGGCGGTGATGGTGTTCCAGTAACTGTTCCAGTACTTAACAGTAACGATTTCGCCGGAAACCATGTTGTCCGTTATTATACAGGCCAGCCTCTTCCATATACAGGGTCATCAATATTTAGCGTTATAATTTTGAGTGGTTAGAACTATGAAATGAAACACAATTGTGAATGTTTAAAATGTATTTATGTAGGCAGAGGTTCAGAGATACAATTCCCACAATTTCATTCAATATTTCCACCATCTGCATCAATAACGAGTTGTAGACGCTTAGAGAAAGCCTTACACGAGTCACGAATGACACTCTGCGGGATTTTGGCCCACTCCTTCAGCAGTTTGACCTTTAGGGCGTCCAAACTGTGATGGTGAACGGTCGAGACCTTGCTCTCAAGGCATGACCAGATCCCAAAATCCAGAGGATTCAGATCGGGTGACGATGGGGGCCATTCATCTTTGGTAATGAACTGGGGAACATTCTCGGACAGCCACTCCTGAAACGATTTGGCCCCATGGGATGTTGCCGAGTCCTGCTGGAACGACCAGGGACGTTTTTTGAAGTGCTTAATTTCGTGCGCAGGGCAACAATGCACCAACAAGGATGACATCTCGATAGTTCTTCTGATTCAATTTCACCCCTTTCTCAACAAAAAAGAGGGGACTCTAAGAGGACTCTGTTACGGCTGTCCAGACCATCACTGAGGTCGGGCATTGCTTCCTAGTCACCACACGGGATCCTTCGTCCCCATTCTTCGACAAAATTCGATCATTTTGGGAGTTGAAGTGGTGTTCAACATTGAATATCTTCTCATCACTGAAAACGAGGTTTGGCAGCGTGCCATCATGAATGCGGGAAAGAAGAATCTTGGATCTTTGGAGATGTTTGTCAACAACTTGAGCAGACAGTTGTGTTTTTTGCCACCATAAAGGTGATAAATGATAAAGATTAATGAGAAGGTGTAAACAAAGGACAAATATCGAGGACAATTATCAACAATTGATTTCGAAAAAAATGTAACGCTAAATATTGATGACCCTGTACTGGACAAGCCTCCTGGCCACTACCTTCTCAAAAACCGTGACCACCTATGGGCTAAGGGCCACTAATCTATAATGTTGAGGTTTGTCCCTAGAGCCTCCTTTGTGGATTGACGTTATCAGTCCCACAAGGCCCACAGGAATAATTCCCTCCATGATCGAGGCTTTCCAGAGCATTGTGAGCGTCTCTCTCAGTGTTCCGACACCTTTCTGTAGCAGTACTGATGGAACTCCGTCGGGTCCTGGTGCTGAAAACGTCGCCAGTTCTTTGATACTTATTTCCATGTCTTCTGGTCCAAACTCTGTGTTCTCTAACCCTCTTCCGCCTGGCAGCTCCTGGAGAACTTCGATTTTATTCTGTTTTGAGTAGCGGGCGTTACGGAACACTGATTCAAACTGTGATCCCAGTAACTCACACATGCCCTGTTCATCTCCGACAATGACATCGTGATCCTTCAGCGGGACCAGTGGCGTCTTTATTTTAGGCTTGGAGCCTGGACCAAGCGTGTTTAAATAAATACTTAGGGTTCCTTCTGATGAGCACAACTACTCCTTCCTCGGCAGCTAATTTTTCCGTCCTGAGCGAGTTCAGCAACCTGTGTTAGGTTTCCTAGTGGAGCTCTACTAGTCTCTCTCGTCAGATTACTAGTGCATTATGCTATAAATTTTTTTTCAATCGTGTGCGTTTTCTCATGAGAAATTGTTGGATCATAGTATCCATAGCATTTGTTTCGGACGTAGCAGTCCCAGGCCACTATGGGTCGCCGCCTCTGACTATCGCGCATCCGCCCTCATATGGGTCAGCTCATTCACGAGACCGTTGCTGGCTTCTCGCCGCTGTTAGTGTTGCAGGGGAGGCCGATGAAAGTTCACTAGACACCTTCCAGTTGCCGCACTGCGCTGAGTGTGAACGGGGTTCAGAGCTGGCAGCAGTATTCAAGGATTGGTTATTAAAAGGGCTCTAAAGAGTGTGATCATCAGTTCCGCTTCTCTTGTTCTGAACGTCCGCCAGATCCACCCCATCTGTCGCCTACCTCTTGCGGTTATTGCCGCTTTGTGATCACCAAACTTGACCTGAGTATTCATCAACACTCCTAGATCGCGAACGAGTCGCTTCTCTTTCCGATTTCCGTCCCGAGTTGTCAGGTGCTAGGTAGCGGTGCTCCATACCAGCTCTTCCGCTACCTCTGTATCTCAGAACCTCAAACTTGGTCCCCTTGAATCGCATGTTGTTCGTTCGAGTCTCTCAGGAGACTGTGCAATTTTTAGGGCCCGTTCTCCTCGGGGTAGGACGTACAGGCTGCAAACTAACACACGCTGCACACTAACTTGATCATGCCACCCACTAAATAATGCTGCCCACAGGTTGGCTCGCGTCGCGTCATCCAGTATGCTGGAGTGATCATGCTGCTGTGTGGCCTCATGGGGAAGGTGGGTGCTGTGTTCATCATCATCCCCGAGCCCATCATCGGCGGCATCTTCGTGGTGGTGTTCAGCATGATCACCTCCGTGGGGCTGTCAGCACTGCAGCACGTCGTGCTGTCGTCACCACGCAACCTGTTCGTCCTCGGCTTCTCCGTCTTCACCGGACTTGCCGTGCCAATGGTGCGTGTGGTTCGTTGGTGCGTGTGGTTTCGTTGGTGCTTGTGGTTCGTTGAGGCGAGTGGTTCGCGTGATTCATAAAAACAGTTATTCAATGTAACTGTTGTGATCGGCTTATTATGAAAATTTCACAGTTAAATTCGGATTTTGAAACGCTCAAATTACTGCTCAAATTTTGGTAGTCGTAACCACTCGGCGAGCTATTTTATTGTTATTTGATTCTACGCCACCCACCTACTGCAATCGCTTCTTCGCCACTCACCTATCGCGATCGCTTTTGCAACACCCCACTTTTTGCGATTTCTTCTACGCCACCCACATCTTGCTCGATTACTTCTACACCACCCGCTTCTTGCGATTACTTCTACGCCACTCACAAGTCTTGCGATTACTACTACGCTACACGTTCCGTGCGATTACTTATACGCCACCAGTTTCTTGCGATTATTTTTACGACACCCGCTTCTTGCGATTACTTCTACGACCCCGTTTCTTGCGATCGCTTCTACGCCACCCACTTTTTGCGATCGCTTCGACGCCACCCACTTCTTGCGATCGCTTCTACGCCATCCATTTCTTGCGATCGCAAATTTGACTATATTTTTCTCCCTCTGGTGAGTTTCCTTCTCCCCCCTCACCTTTCCCTCCCCCTCATCTATCTCTCCCTCCCCCTCACCTATCTCTCCCTCCCCCTCCCCCCGCAGTGGGTGAAGCAGCACCCGGGGTCACTGAGGACGGGCGTGGCGGAGTTGGACCAGCTGCTGCTAGTGCTGCTGTCTACCTCCATGTTCGTGGGGGGCTGCCTGGGCTTCCTGCTGGACAACACCGTTCCTGGTAGAGATTCCTGGTAGTGATTCCGACCAACGATTCCTGGTAGTGATTCTTGATATTTATTCCTTATATTCTCCCCATATTCCCCTATATTCTCCCCATATTCCCCTATATTCTCCCCATATTCCCCTATATTCTCCCCATATTTTCCTTAAATTCTCCCTACATTTTCCCTCTATTGAAGTTCTCTAGAACTCAAAAAAGTGTGTCACTGAAAGCAGTCATTCTATGCGTCTAGTTACAGATCTTGAACAGTGAAAGACATGAATTCTTGATAGTGAAAGTCGTTGAATATTTAGATTCGTAGACCGATAACTGTTCAGATAATTGTTGTATACTGTACACTGTACAGCAGTAACTGTTGTGTGCAGGCACAGCCAGAGAGCGCGGGGTGGTGCAGTGGCGTGCACAGCTACAGCAGTCACAGCAACAGCCACAGCAACAGTCTGAAGCATCACAGTGTTATGACTTGCCTTTCGGCATGAGTCTCCTAAGAAGGTGTGTCATTGTGACCCATTTTAGTACGTAATTCTACTACATATATCGTAGCATAGCCGTTCTGATTTATGTTGCCATTAAACATATAATTGTGTTCAATTATTTATTATACGTATAATTATTATACATATATTACTGTTCTTTAGATCATTTTATAGAGCAAATGATTGTTCCCATCATCTTTCTACTATATTTATAATTGATTATATCACTGATCATTATATTTATACCGCATTCTTTGTCTAATCGACCGACACATCACGTCATTGATCACCTAATCGATCACCTCATTTATCACCTCATTGATCACCCCCACATGCCCAGGTGTGCGTGGGCCCAGCGCGTGCCCATCCTGCCCACCTTCAGGGGCTGGGGGGCACCGAGGGGGGGCGGCGGGCAGGGGGCATAGCGCCCCCCGGGCAGCAGTGAGTCAAGGCGGTAGTTTGGAGTGAGTAAAATGAGCCTCAGAGGCTCTTATGATTATAATAATTATTATTATTATTTTCTGATGAAAAGTAACGTCAAGTTATCACTTTCATATCCCGATGAGATAACGGATACATTACTGAATTATTTTGAGGAAGGATGGGTAAATGAGACACATTTGTAAGAGTAATTTTTATCATTAATTGGCATTGTGAAGGATAAATTAATTTTATGTTCATACCGCCCCAGGGGAGGACACACCGCCCCAGGGGAGGACACACATCGCCCCAGGAGAGGACACATCGCCCCAGGGGCGGACACATGGCCCCAGGGGAGGACACACACCGCCCCAGGGGAGGACACACATCGCCCCAGGGGAGGACTGACATCGTCCCAGGGGAGGACACATCGCCCCAGGGGAGGACATACATCGCCCCAGGGGAGGACACATCGCCCCAGGGGAGGACATACATCGCCCCAGGGGAGGACACACACCGCCCCAGGGGAGGACACACATCGTCCCAGGGGAGGACATACATCGTCTCAGGGGAGGACTTACATCGTCCCAGGGGAGGACTTACATCGTCCCAGGGGAGGACACACATCGTCCCAGGGGAGGACACATCGCCCCAGGGGAGGACACATCGTCCCAGGGGAGGACACATCGCCCCAGGGGAGGACATACATCGTCCCAGAGGAGGACATACATCGTCCCAGGGGAGGACATACATCGTCCCAGGGGAGGACATACATCGTCCCAGGGGAGGACACATCGCCCCAGGGGAGGACATACATCATCCCAGGGGAGGAAACATCGCCCCAGGGGAGGACTTACATCGTCCCAGGGGAGGACACATCGCCCCAGGGGAGGACATACATCGTCCCAGGGGAGGACACACATCGCCCCAGGGGAGGACACACACCGCCCCAAGGGAGGACACACACCGCCCCAGGGGAGGACACACACCGCCTCAGGGGAGGACACACCGCCTCAGGGGAGGACACACCGCCCCAGGGGAGGCTACTATAGGAATGTATTTATATTATTGTTTTTTTACACATTTTAAATAGAACAATTATCTCTAGCGATATAACTCATTTTATGTATCAATAATAGAGCAATCATTGTATAGACCGTATTTTCTCTACCTATATATTATCGACATAGTAATTTATATTAACAATTTTCTTATCTTTACATCGCCAACACAGCAATCAATCAGCACACTACACAGCCACCAGATATAGTAGGTTACTATAGATAAATATACTATAATATATATACGGATATAGTAAATGATACTCGACACAATCTATACAGATGGTGTCGGCATAAGGAAGAACTATAAGTGTTCAATAAACAATATAACACTAATCTGCATGGCTCATAAAATCACTCAACAGCACCAAAATATATTTCTTTAAGGATATATAATATTTATTGACATTCACCTAGGTACCCACATTTTATAATCTAGAAACCTACTAGTATTATACCAGGCACGACTAGTTACACACACCCACGCTGTACGTCGTACTACCAACGATGAATCTCAAGATGAAAATAAGAATTAGTGAAAATGAATGAAATAATGAATTCTGTACATGATAATGGCTCAAATGTGCATATATTCATGAGTTAATGCTTGCCAATACTCGACACTGAATTATGAGAATATGTTATGGTCTTCATCATGTTAAAACTGATGATGCATAGGGGAAATTACGGTTGGTACATCGGTGGCCGAAATAAATGTAATAATTTTTACCATGCACCTTGGTCCGCCACTTTCATATCTTACGAATCGACTGGTTTATTCAGAAATATTTATTTAATTAAAATCATTAAATGTATGATGTATTAAAATTTTATTAAAGTTTCTACAACATTTTTTATTTTTTTACCCTTTAAGAAAAACAGTTTCATTTCATATACTTCTTCTGAAAGAGCCATTTCGTGACTCCCACCAAATTGAAGAATTGAAGTCTGAGAAATCTATCACCGCGCGATCGCCCACAAATTTGACGTTTATAGCCTGAGTAACCTAGGTATGATTCACCAAAAAAGGTATGGAAGATAATGCAATATTAGTATTGAACTGGAGCTACACCATGTCGCTGGAAGGTATCACAATATCGCAACGCCCAACAAAAATTACAGCCGCCCCAGCTTCGGGTAACCAGAAGCTGGGGCGGCTCTAATTTAGTTCGAGATTAGTCCCGCCGAACTGACGCACTTGGTCTCGAGGAGGATGGTACAAACCACGTCTGGACGTCTCCATCTGCAGACAAACAAAATCAAATTTGAGTCCTTATCAACAAACACACGACTGCACATGATAATAAGTCTGCCGACACGACAAGATAAAGAAAATAACAAAGGCCTTGCTATGTGACAGCAAGCATCAAGTTGTTCACTGGGAAAGTTTCGGAGGGGGGTGTCGCTATACGATATGTCCTTGGACAATGCAATCACGTAGACGGCTTGATTTTCATTTTGAGAGATGGTTTCTGCTCATAACTTCGTTAATTTATTCTACTCTACGAGGTAAATTTGATGGAGTAGGGTAGAAAATAATCGGGACGTGGGAAAAACAAGAGAAGTGAACATCGCGGACGCTTGCTTAGGGAAATAAGTTATAATCTGTAGCTAGTGAGTAGAGAGGTGGCTAAATCTTAGCAATGGTAAAGAAAGGGAATAGTAAGAAAAGGCAATGTTTGGTAAAGTATAAATATAATAAGTGATATGTGGTATGCAGAATTACCGGCTAGGGAGTATTCCTGTCAGCAGGATTGGTGGCTGACGGAACGGAGCATAGAGTGGCAGATCTGCTGCTGCAGGCGCACAAGTGTCTGAAGCTGCAACAAATGAATTAAGGCTTCGTTAACGAGGAAAGCTCTCAGATCTAACAATAGCGAAGCATTGATGTCAAAAATATTTGAACTCTACAGCGAAATTGCTCAAAGTTGGAGAGCTTGACAAGGTTACGTCTTACCTTATCCAGCTGCGAGTCAAAGTCTTGCTCTCCGGTACTAATTAGGGACTCCAGGTTCCTAAGGTCTTCCATACCAGCAGCAGCAGGGTCGGCAGGAGTCTTTACCGCGGGAGCAGCAAAAGTTTCCGGAGCGGAACAAACAGGAGTTTCTGCCACAAAATCAGGATTAGTCTCGGCCAAGAAATTATCAAGGTTCAGTATCAAAGAACTCGTAGAAGTTTTTGGTGTATCCTCTTTTTGGTGAACTGCGCGACTTTCGCAGGAGACTTGGCAAGCAGAAGAGGGCTGACCTCCGGCAGCTGCAGTGGTCTTAGGCATGCTGGATGACGATGTAGACGAGGGAGCAATGCCAGAGTCCGAAGAAGTGGACGATTTAGCTGATGGAAATGTCGAGATCAATGAGGGACCTATAGGTTGATCAGCTTCGTGAGTTATAATATGACTAGTTTGCACAGCATCAGTTGGTAACGCCACCTCTTTTAGGGTGGTCGGTGGCCTTAACAGCTTGTAGGCATGAAGCGAGTCTAAGGCGACATCAAACAAGCCTGTCATGCGTTCAAGAAAATGAACATCCCTTAAAAACGGCTCTTGTGTTCCACTAACGACACTTAACGTTTCTAGCGCAGTTCTAAAAGACTCGAATTTGTCCTCGGAAGGTTCTTGTTGAACGCTGCCTTTCATCCGGCAGCTTAAACACACAAGCAATCCGCCGCATTCCGAGCATTTGGGTCCATTGGGTTGCTGTGGCTCCGTGGAATTTACAGTTGATCCATCGGCTATTCTAGGAGGAGATGTTGTGCCGTCTTGAGTTGAATATTCTCCCTCCTCAGAATGATGGTTGCTGCACATGATCGAGCTCACCTGTTGCACAGCGCATTCGGTGATTAAAAACAAAAAATTGTCTCTCGGAATAAATTTGTTCCATTTTAACCTATACCGGTATTTATCTTTTCAGTATTGATTAAGCCCAAATCTATCTCTTGAATCGGCTGGTCGCCGATTTAGGACATCGTAGAATTTTATAGTTTGTTGGGGATTTGAACTCGTAATTCGCTACTCCAATCTTGGTGCTCTTAACTTTTAACACTCTGCCACTCTTTCCTAGATTTATTTCGACCAACAAAAATGAATTTTAAAAATATGCAGTTAATCTTTCAAAGGAAAATAACAGAATGTTAAAAGTTTTGGTTTCAGATCATATATGAAAGCAAGTTAAATAGATAAACTTACCACAGTGGATCCTTCATCTTGAACAGATCTCTGTCTCTCCAGTCTAAACTTTCTAGATCTTCCTGCAAACGCTTCTTCTTGGTCGTCGTCTTTTTGCTCCGTGTGACAGCTCGGCAGAGACGAAGTGACGTGCAGAGCGGATTTCCTCAAAGGTTTCAGGCGAGGTTCGCTGCAGCAATCGTCGTCTGCTCCCTTGTCTGAGAAAAAAATTTCTTCTTCGATGGTTTCGTCGATTTCTTTGCCGTGAGAAGCATTGCTCCAACTGGCGGTTCTGAGCCTTTTTGGAGTGCTGGTTCTCCGCAGCTTCTTGTGCAGATTTTTTTCCTGGGGGGTGTCAGTGTCGCTCTCAAGAGCGTCCCCACTGGGGATGGTCTCGAGTCGACTGTTCCTGTTGCGGCTGACCTGCAGGTAGAGAAGTCGTCTTTGCTCCTCCAGTTCCTCCTCGTGACTGTCAATACTCGTCATGGAACTCGCCATGGACCAAACTGAGCTTTGGCGGCACGCGACCGCATGACCACAAATGCTGCTCTCACTGCCGCTTTTGCTGCTCTCGACGGACGTGCAGCGTTCGACCAACGTCGTTAGCTTCCCCACGGGGGGCTTAGCGCAGAATTTCTCCTGATGCTCCTCTGCGGGTTTGCTTTTCTCGTTCAGCAGCTCACCGTTGCGTCCCAAGTCAAACGAAGACTGGCCGATAATGAGGCGTTTGCTCACGGTCTCGGGACTCTTGCGTCCCTGGTTGTTGAGAAAGTCCCTATTCTCGGGGGTTAGGACGCTCAACCAGCGACTGCGCTTGGGTTGGTTTGGGTCTTTGGAAGTTGTGTCTTGGTTGGACTCTATACCGCCACTCCAGCCACTGGGGGCCTTGCCGCCGACACTGAGGCGGCCACTGCGAGGTGCGGCTCCTCCGCTGGGGCTTGAGGAGCAGCTGAGGCCACTCAAAAACTGCTCGGAGATGGACCGCTTGGTGACGCGCTGCCTTTTGCGTATGAGATGGACCGCGGACGAGAACCTGCCGGAGGTCGACGGCTGAAACTCATCATCGTCGTCACTGAGGGCGGTTGAGTCCTGATGTCGCTTATACATCTCGAGCAGGTTGGCCAGTAAGGGCGAGGTCGCCATCGACGCCTTGCGGACACCTGCATGATATACCGACGTTAAAGCAAGGACCTCATGAGATAAATCGTGGCAAAATGAAAAGAAAAGGCGAAGTAAATAACAAAACTTTCTGCGTGAACTGAACAAATGTATAAATATAAATAAGGCATTGATGAGAAAGGCCATCTTGTATTGGAAGAATCCAGGTTAAGAGAGCGAATAAAATAAGCCCGACTAAACTGCTCATAAAAAGCGTACACCAACAGAACAGATGAAGTCAGGCGAGGCAAACTGAAAAAAAATACAAGTAAATATTTTGAACAGATCATAAGTTATGCACAGCAAACTGAATAAATGAGAGCACAAGTAATTAAAACTAAAATTTAGCGCATTGGCGAACATGGAACAGAATAAACGGTCTGACTAGACCATTAGTGGCTGGCTGGACCACTAATGGCTAACTGGACCACTAATGGCTGACTGGACCACTAGTGGCTGGCTGGACCACTAGTGGCTGGCTGGACCACTAATGGCTGACTGGACCACTAATGGCTGACTGGACCACTAATGGCTGACTGGACCACTAATGGCTGACTGGACCACTAATGGCTGGACCAGGGCTGTGCCCCATTATCGTCTCCCGAGGGGCGGCGCGGGATTGAAATAATTTCGCCACAAAATAAAAAGAAATGAAACGACGTGACACGCGGCAGCGGGAAATATTAATAATTGAAATAAATTTATTTGCTCGTTAAGTTATGGGACAACATTAGTGAATGACCCTTAATGAGCTTTTGCCTGGCTCACCGAAGAAAGATATTCCAATAATTCGTCTTATGGGAATTTAACGGAAAATAATTAAGCAGTAAGCACTTAATAGAAATAAACGAAATTAGACGAAAGGCTTGAACCTGAAGGAAAATAATAAGGTGTTTAACCCGAATGAGAGTACGGAACTCAAATAGAGTGCGCAAATAAAACAGAACGCGAACACTGAACAGCTAAAACTTAACGCGAACACTGAACAGCTAAAACTTAACGCGAACACTAAACAGCTAAAACAGAACGCGAACAATGAACAGCTAAAACTGAACGCGAACACTGAACAGCTAAAACAGAACGCGAACACTGAACAGCTAAAACTGAACGCAAACACTGAACAGCTAAAACTGAACGCGAACACTGAACAGCTAAAACTGAACGCGAACACAGAACAGCTAAAACTGAACGCGAACACAGAACAGCTAAAACTGAACGCGAACACTGAACAGCTATAAAACTGAACGCTGACTCACCCAGTTTGCCGCTCACTTCAACAGTTGAGTATTTCAACAGTGGTGACTATAAACACAGTGTAAACTGTAAGTGGTGACTGTAAACACAGTGTAAACTGTAAGTGGTGACGGTCAACACAGTGTAGACTGTAAGTGGTGACTGTAAACACAGTGTAGACTGTAAGTGGTGACTGTAAACACAGTGTAGACTGTAAGTGTTGACTGTAAACACAGTGTAGACTGTTAGTGGTGACTGTAAACACAGTGTAGACTGTAAACACTGACCAATCACAGTCCACGTAAATTACGATATCAGCAATCAATCACCGTTCAGATATCGGTCTATCATGATTAAGTTAAGATTATAATTAAAGCTACGAGCGCAGTAAAATTCTTCGAAATTCTGACGACAGATTCGCCTTTATGACACAAAACACGCACACAAATTATAACTAATTTATTCGTCGTAGAAGATCACACAAAATAAATAATCTATACAATGATTAATTAATGGATATAACTAATGGATACCATTAGGAAACTCATTATCCATCGCCCCAGTCAAGGTAACAACTAGTGGCGTGACTAGTTAGGCTAACTAGAGCCAAGTTGCTAGTGTAACTAGCGGCTGGTAGCCTCCGGTAGGAATAGCATTACGCACATGAAGATAACACGAGACTCTGCATTTAATAGCTCGTAATTCCCAATCTTGCTAGGAATAACCCATTTTCCAGTGCATTTAAGACAAGCACTTTTTAAAATGCAAGTAAAAATTATATCCGTTTGAAAATTACTTTTTAAAGACAACACATCCAAAAGGCCGGTGTCTCCTATGTAACACTTGTACAATGAATTTCTTATTTTATTTTCATATAATAAAATGCATTTTCCTTTAATAGTAAATTCTTTTAATTTTGAATTATTTATTCTATCACTTGATTCAAGCATTGTCTCCAACTTAACGCGAGTGTGCAAAATTTCAGATCTATTGGACAGGTGAATAACTTCATAAGAAGTGAAGTTAAAGAGAAGTCTTATAATAACATTTGAAATAACGAATAATAAAATAATTATAAAGAAGTCTTATAATAACATTTGAAAATAAATAATAACATAATAACATAACTTATGCACCAGGTGGAATAAAAATACATTATTACCATTTTCGGCACAATAACAGTTCAGATAAAATCTTAGGAAGAAATAACATAGTGAATACTAGTAAACGCAACCATCGATCAACGACAACAATCTATGATAAAAAACATTCAAATATACAAAACGTATACATGACAACAATAAGTACTACTCAAATGATACGTTAATTCTTTAAGATTAGTTATAGTGAGAAAAGTTAATGGGAATTAATGACGTGAAACTATTTAATGTAAAGCAGGCGATAAGACGTTCTAAGAACTACATAATGCCAGTATTAATGTCATTCGATTGCTTGAATCTCAAATTCACTAAAATTTAAAAGCGAAGAAAATTCCGCAATTCACCATGTTTCTATTGGATATGTTTTGGAGTTCAGCTTCATCATCAGTTCGAAAATTTTATAACACAATCAGAAGTTAATACAGTCATATTAGAAAAGACACAAATGTTAAACAATAGATTTACAAACGTTTTCAATAGAAATATGCATACATGGTGAATTTTTGTGGAGATTTCTTTGTTGTGCGTAGTATAATACGTAGCAAAATGCGCAGAATAATACGTAGCGTAATACGTAGCATAATACGTAGCGTACTACGTTGTATAATACGTAGCGTAATACGTAGCGTAATACCTAGCATAATACGTAGCGTACTACGTAGTATAATACGTAGCGTACTACGTAGTATAATACCTAGCATAATACGTAGTATAATACGTAGCGTACTACGTAGTATAATACCTAGCATAATACGTAGCATAATACGTAGCATAATACGTAGCATAATACGTAGTATAATACGTAGCGTATTACGTATCAGCGGAAGCATGGATTGCTCGCTAGGCAGCGTTGAGGTCTCCTTGGGTCGACGCTAAGCGAGGCCGCTACGCAGCGCCGCAACGGCCCAGCAATAACAATAACGTCTTTACTATAATGAAGCGTCAATAACAATGGCGCTTTAATTATCATGTCGCATTAATATTAAATTTAAGCAATAAATACTATTAAAAGCTTGGAATAAGCACCAAATAAAATGCTGCCTTAGATCTCAACAGCATGGCGGTGACATGGTGGAATAGAGGAGCGGGTGACATGGTGGAATAGAGGAGCGGGTGATATGGTGGAATAGAGGAGCGGGTGACATGGTGGAATAGAGGAGCGGGTGATATGGTGGAATAGAGGAGTGGGTGACATGGTGGAATTTAGATATTACTGAAACGGACTGAGTGTTGCTTAGCGTTTCTAAACAGGAAGACGAAAAAGAGAGGCAGGCACGAAGGGCAGGCTACACTAGATGCTACACGAAGGGCTACATGTAAATGCTACACGAAGAGTACATGATCGAAGGCTACACGAAAGGTTGCACTGTCAAGTACTGCGACTTGTGTCGCTTGCTGAGGCTCTGAGATTCTCGCTGTACAATTGGACTGAATTTACTGACTCGGGGGAGGAGGAGGGGTGCAGACTTGACTGAGAGGGGTGAGGATGAGGGGGTTGGGGGGAGGTGGGGGCAGTAGTGAGGGATGATCTTCTCAGGGTAATTTAGGGTAAACCTGCTGAGGATCTTGTAGTGATCTGAGCCTTCATATCGCAACGTTAGAGATAAGCAAGAGATAAGGCAGGCTCGCGACGACCATGATAAGGATTGCGATGATTAAGGAACACGAAGACGAAGGCTACGAAGATAAGATAACACGAAGATTTAGTCGAAGATGATAAATGACGTGTGAACAAAATATGAGTGAAGAGTAAGTGAGTCAAGTAAGAATAAGAGTATAAGTAAGAGTAAGAGTGAGTAAGAGAGATGAGTCATGAAGTCAATTAGGTTTTTGATTAATTAACACGTTTCACTCACAGTCACAAACGTAACTCAGTAGGTGAATGATACCATCTCACCAACAGCAGCCAAATAATAGTGAAATACAAGCAATTTCACACAAAACAAACCTCACACACAAAAAAAAACATCAAACAAAATATCAAAAACAAACGGACGCAGTGACGACAGCAGACGTTCGGTGATCCAGCGGCGGCATGTAAAAAGCAGCAAATTAGTGAAGGTGTCAATTACATAGCTATTACTTGTCTATTACATGCCCATTACATGTCTATTACACGCCCATTACATATCCATTACATGCCCATTACATATCCATTACATATCCATTACATGTCCATTACATATCGGTTACATGTCCATTACATAGCTATTAAATATCTATTACATAAAACCTAATAATAAAATATGCACACATAAAATTAACTTCAACGCCCACGATAAGTCTATCCAAAGTCTAGTCAGTTTCTTTTGCTGTATTCTTAATGTAGAAAAAAGAGCAATATGAAATGCCGTTGCCCTCACCTAGTAGTCCCCATGCACCTAGAACTCTAGAGAGGCGCAGCCGATGGCCACCAAATTTAACTATTAAACTAGTCCTGTAGCCAACGCTGGGTCTAAACATGCACAGCTACACTTAGACTCAGAGCTACGATGCTCTAGACCACGCTAGAAACTGTTAGACCACGATGCCCTAGACCACGCTAGAAACTGTTAGACCACGATGCCCTAGACCACGCTAGAAACTGTTAGACCACGATGCTCTAGACCACGCTTGTAAAGTATGTTGCAACCTGACTTCTTGGAACGAATTTTTCGACTAACCTGACTTCTTAATTATTAGTAAGAAGTAGTCGACGCACTGTTATAAATTAGAGCCGTATTTCCAGCGAGAGCTGTTTTATGGTCAATCCCATGTACCTATGCAAGTTCTTGTCTTTCGTAGCCCAATTAAATTATCTGCCTACCGAGGAAACTTAAAGTGGTCTTTAATTTTGTTGTGCACAACATTTGTGTATAACTTTGAAATTACGACCGGGGGTGTCTGTTAGTCAACTATATTTCTACACTGTGGCAAGTTAGTCATATTTAAGTTGCTTATTAATGATCCACTTTGCGTTAACGAACATAATCCGCTGGATATTTGATTCAATTGATTGCCTCGGCATTTCTCTTGCCTATGCGAGGGCGCTTTAAAGCTACTTTAATTGGCGGAACTAGAGTGAATTCTAGCGCTGCTCGCTACCCTATTAACTTTATCCTGTCTATTAAGCAACACCGCCACAGTCACTCCTCAAGTAGCCTCAGCTGCACGGATGAGTAGCCCCAGCAGGGCCTTACATCCACATCTACCCCGCCCCTCCCCTCTGGCAGCAGCCAATGACAGGCTCAACCTCCCCACCAGCCTCTCCCTCTCCCCCAGTGTGGAGGTTGGGCCATGTTGGGTTTGCGCATCAATGAACTTGAGGCAAACTTGAGTTTCAAACACATGCACTATGACTTAAGCGATCATAGGCCAATAGGATTCCAAATAGTAAATTCCAATGATCTACTATGATTCATAATGGTAAATTCCTATGATGTGCGTCCTCAAGATAGGAATTTGAAAGTCTGAAGTAAAGACATGCTAGCCTTTCTCATGCATCTTGTATCTAGCATTACTAGCGCACCCCTCCCCAAACCTAGCGACGTACTAGCGCCCCCCAACCTCGCTCGTAGTGGGGGTGGTCACTAGTAGCGCCAACTAGTAGCGCCGACCCCTACCCTCACCCAACCTAGCGCTACTAGCACCGACTCCCCCAGGCACTACTAGTGACCACCCCCACCAAACCTAGCCGCTACTAGCACCGACTCTCCCAGGCGCTACTAGTGACCACCCCCACTAGCGCTACTATAGCGCCTATTACACCCCCCCAGGCACTACTAGTGACCACCCCCACCAACCTAGCGCTACTAGCGCCTATATCACCCTCCAGGCACTACTAGTGACCACCCCCACCTTGGTAGGACAGCCCCGGCAAGAAGTTATTGGTCTCCAGCAGGTTGTGGTAGCGGCTCTCCTGGTCCAGGAAGCGGCCCAGGTCGTTGCCTTTCACCTGCACGGCAAACCTTCCTTTATGTCAGTCTTTCAACATTCAATTAATTCTCTTTATAATTTCCCTTCGCATTTGACACTCAATATACCATTTTATCTTCTCTTAATTCCCCCTTCATATCTGCCATTGAAAATTTATTTCAATAATCCCACTATTATTCGCTCATATGAACAAGTCAATATTGTATTCAGAGCTCCTTTCATTGCTGCATTCATCACTATAATTAAATGTAAGGAATTAAAAAAAATTAAAGTTTGTTTCTCTCTGCCAGGTGTTTCCTTCCGTTAACCTATTCTTGACAACTCGCAGGCCTCCAGATATTCGGGCCAAAGCATTGCGCAAATTAAACATTCATATGCGAGCATATATCCTGAATCAAAAGCTAGGATGTAAACTAAACTCAACCATAAAATTAAGCTAAAGTTTTGTCAAATTTCTTCTAATATAAACCACAGGACAGTTCCTGCAAGGGATGGAAGCTCCTGACATCAAACAAAAATACGCAGTTCAAGTCTGATTTTGATAGAACAATTCTAAAAAAGCCGTGTGGAATATCGCGGAGTGATGAAGTCATTTTCTTTAATTTGCTAGGCAATAAAGTCTTACAGCCGAAGTGCTTACGATTCCCAAATAAACGATTTAATTCAGCACCTCACCTGCGAGGGGTGGTCGAGGAAGAGAGAGGGGATCCTAGAGAGGGGATCCTGGAGAGGGGATCCTGGAAAGGGGATCCTGGAAAGGGGATCCTGGAAAGGGGATCCTGGAAAGGGGAGCACCTCACCTGCGAGGGGTGGTCGAGGAAGAGAGAGGGGATCCTGGAGAGGGGATCCTGGAGAGGGGATCCTGGAAAGGGGATCCTGGAAAGGGGAGCACCTCACCTGAGAGGGGTGGTCGAGGAAGCGAGAGGGGATCCTGGAGAGGGGATCTTCGTCCTCGCGCTGCCCCCCAAAGCCGAGGTTCATGAGCACCTCAACGGCGTCCGTGCGCCGTCCCTCCAGCAACGACTCCAGGGATGACCTACGGGCGTTATACGGGCGTTATAAAGGCGTTTTAAGGGCGTTATAAGGGCAGTATAAGGGCGTTACAAGGGCGTTAACGGAGACAGCTACAAGATATCACAGACTAACCGACAATTCTCATGCCATCGACAAATTGACAAAAAAAAATATTGGCAAAATCAAGCCACAAGCAATTATGCCACCAGACCGCCGATCTACACGCATCATTTTCGTTCGTCACGTAAACAAAGTTCCTACGATTAGACAGCTGGTGCAGGCATTATCAGAATTTCGGATAAACTGAAAGATGGCTCACCATTTATGATGACTGCCACACGCGTGCGATTATCGCTTCATAACATCAATCTATTCCCCAATAAGTAATAGCAGTTAACTATTAGTAGTTAACTAATATATATTAGCTACCTATAGTAATAGTAGTAAAGTGACCGTCACATGACCTGAAACACGGAACCTCCGTTTATACGCCAGAAAAATCATAATCCCGATGAGCCAAGTTGAAGCGACTAGTAAGGTCTTACCAGCCTCTTTTAAAAACGATTAACCGATTTTTTTTGTTATAGAAACTTCTAATAAAGTTGCATCACTGGCAGAAAGACCCAGTGAAAATTTACAGACGCGGTAGCTTCTGATTTGGATTACCAGAAGCTGGGGCAACTCTAAATTTTGTTAGGGGAGTAAATAAGAGACTAGTATAATGTAGAAGCACTGGCCGAAGCAAACTAAGATTTGCCTCAACTTCTGGCACTCTGGCTCTGAAGCGGCTCGAAATTTGCCGCGGGCTGATGCCCCAGAGACGCGGGCGGGTACCTGCTGTTGACGGACGCCCCAGAGACGCGGGCGGGTACCTGCTGTTGAAGGACGCCCCAGAGACGCCCGAGACGTCGCTGGTGACGCTGCTCTGCGGACCACGGCCCGCTAGCGCCCTCCGCTTCTCTGCGCTAATGGCCGACGCTGGCGCCTCTCCTGCGCAGCCATTTATGTCCATTACACACAGCACTGTTATCCCACACATCCCGCACTGTTATCACACATATGGGGATTAAATTTCCATACATCCAGCAAATACATCACAAGGGGTGACAGTGTGGGATGTGGGATCACACGTCCCGCACTGTTATCCCATACATCCCGCACTGTTACCCTACATATCCAGCATTATTATTCCACATATCCCGCACTGTTTTCCCACACGTCCCGCACTGTTATCCCCCATTGTTATCCACACATCCTGTCCTGAATCCGCCATCCACCGTACAGTCATCCGCCACCCATTACACAGCCACTCGCCACCTACCGCACTCACCCGCCAACCACCGCACAGTCACTGGCAACCCACCGCACAGTCACCCACCACCCACCACATTCACCCGCCACCCACCTCACGGTCACCCGCCACCCACCACAGTCACCCACCACCCACCACAGTCGCCCGCCACCCACCACCCACCGCCGTGTGGCACAAGTAGTGCATCGCTTCTGTCCTCCGACACGTTGGCTGACACGTTGGACGGGCTATCAACAGAGAACGTGGAGACAGAGTCTGTGCCAACCGCAGCAAAGTCTGCGGCAACATCAGCAGAGGCTGTGGCAACGTTAGCAGAGTCTGTGGTAACATCAGTAGAGTCTTTTGCAAAAACAGTAGAGAGTGTGGCAACAACAGCAGAGTTTGTGGCAGCATTAGCAGAGTCTGTTGGCTCTGCAGTCGACGCCGTTGACAGAGTTCTGCTGTTCTGCAGCGTGCAGCAGATTGTGGTGAAAGCCGAATTTTCGGAGGCAAAAGATGATTGAGGCTTCGGAGTGATTGTTTCGTCAGGATGTACAGGATCGGAATGAGTGACGGGGTGATTGTGGAGTGAAGGGTGATGTGATGATGTGTGGGTGACTGGGGTGGATGTGATGGAAGTGTGTGGTGGAAGAGCAGCTCCTCCACAGCGGGGGTGGGTGGTGTTCGTCCGGTCTACTTCTGCTCTGCAGGTGAAAATAAGACAACCAATTATGGCATCTGGCGGTACTTATTGTGGCAGGGAAGAGGGTATAAATCAGAGACAAATTGGTATGGCAGCAACAACACCAACAATGCGGTTGACATGTGCTAGCCATGTGGCAGCGATATGATAGCCATGTGGTGGCCCCCAACCCACTAGACCGTTACCAGGTTACCATTTGTACTGTTATTACCTGTCAAGAGCGTAGTTTGGCAACGCAGAATCTCGGGACAAGAAACCAGCGTTTGTAGGTTCCAAGAGATGAGCTGAAATCAATAGACAAGCGCAGAATCAGTTCCCTCACCAAGGCTTGTCAGGCGCGCGTGTGTCCTTACCAAGACATGTCAGGCGCATGTGTGCCCTTACCAAGACTTGTCAGGCGCACGTGTGCCCTTACCAAGACTTGTCAGGCGCACGCGGAGCGCATCCATTGATGTTAATGAAGTTCAATGTAGCGGAACAGCAATCAAACGCAGCAACTGATGAGCGCGTGCAATGTGGACATGTGCCTCATGAACATGTGGGCATATGCCTCATACACATGTGCCCTGTGGACGTGTGTCTCATGGATAAAGTGATCCTTCGTTTTACGCAGTTTTACCTTCCACGGATTCGTTCAATTGTGGTTTTTGTCAAGAAAGTTTTTTTGTCAAAATATACGAGGCTGACATTGAGGGAGAATATGGAAGTAAAGCTGCAAGAGGGACTGTGATTGGTGGGTGCTAGGGAACGGTCCAGATGACACGTTGTAAGAAGGACTGTGATTGGTGGGTGCTAGGGAGCGGTCCAGTTGTCACGTTGTAACAGGGACTTTGATTGGTGAGTGCTAGGGAACGGTCCAGTTGCCACGTTGTAACAGGGACTGTGATTGGTGGGTGCTAGGGAACGTTCCAGTTGCCACGTTGTAACAGGGACTGTGATTGGTGGGTGCTTGCGAACGGTCAAGTTGAAACTTTGTTAGAGGGACTCTGGTTGGTGGATGTCAGGGAAGGGTTGGTTGGAAAGCTTCATAGAATTAATTTTTAATGCAAAGGACGGGTTGTTTAAACTTTAGGGATGGATTTAGAATAAATATGCGTTAAAAATTCTGATAAATACTTTTCCTCCGTTTCTTCTAAATTGTTTTCTGAGCGTTTAACGAGGGATCACCGTTGCAATAACAATATGAATGGCCATGTTCAAAATCATAACAATGATGACATAAATAGTAATAGACATAATCATAGCAAAGACGATATAAATAGTCATAATCATTGCTGCAATCATAGCTACAGTACAGACAAAATCATAGACATAACTGTTATGAGAAATGCTCTCTGGTCACTAACTAACGTGCATTGAAGAACTACTTCTGCCCGACTATACCCATAGACAAAATCATAAATATAATCATAGAAATAATCATGGAAGTGATATACATCACGAGACCAGCAGCGCTTACCCTCATCACCCAGCCTGAGGGTGTCGTGGGGGCCGTCCAGGTCCGGGGGGAGAGGGAGGTCCTCCGCCTCCCACGACTGGCAGCGCCTGCCGGAGACGAGGGGCGCAAGAGTTATTAGTTACTATAATAATTACATCGATGACCGTAATTATTGAATTAATTTAATAATTAATACTGAAATAACATCCAGCATTTTTCAGGCTGAAAATCAGCAGGATTCTATTCGGTAAGCGCCAGGCTATGGTGAGACGAAGCCCAAAAACATTCAAGAATTGCAAACGGACCGTTGAGAATTGTAAACGAACCCTTGATAATTACAACGGACCCATGAGAATTTTAAACGGACCCTTGATAATTGCAAACGGACCCATGAGAATTGTCAACGAACCCTTGATAATTACAAACGAACCCATGAGAATTGTAAACGGACCCATGAGAATTATAAACGGACCCTTGATAATTGCAAACGGACCCTTGATAATTGCAAACGGACCCATGAGAATTGTAAACGAACCCTTGATAATTACAAACGGACCCATGAGAATTGTAAACGAACCCTTGATAATTGCAAACGGACCCATGAGAATTGTAAGCGGACCCATGAGAATTATAAACGGACCCTTGATAATTGCAAACGGACCCTTGATACTTGCAAACGGACACATGAGAATTGTAAACGAACCCTTGATAATTACAAACGGACCCATGAGAATTAAAAAACGGACCCTTGATAATTGCAAACGGACCCATGAGAATTGTAAACGGACCCTTGGGAATTGCAAACGGACCCTTGAGAATTGCTAACGGACCTTTGAGAATTGCAAACGGACCTTTGAGAATTGCAAACGGACCCTTGGGAATTGCAAACAGATACTTGAGAATTGTGAACAGACCCTTGAGAATTGCAAACGGACCCCTGAGAATTGTGAACGGACCTTTGAGAATTGTGAACGGACCCTTGAGAATTGCAAACGGACCTTTGAGAATTGTGAACGGACCCTTAAGAATTGCAAACGGACCATTGAGAATTGCAAACGGACCCTTGAGAATTGCAAATGGACCCTTGAGAATTGCAAACGGACCCTTGAGAATTGCAAATGGACCCTTGATAATTGCAAACGGACCTTTGAGAATTACAAACGGACCTTTGAGAATTGTGAACGGACCCTTGAGAATTGCAAATGGACCTTTGAGAATTATGAACGGACCCTTGAGAATTGCAAACGGACCCTTGAAAATTGCAAATGGACCTTTGAAAATTACAAACGGACCTTTGAGAATTGCAAATGGACCTTTGAGAATTATGAACGTACCCTTGAGAATTGCAAACGGACCCTTGAGAATTACGAACGGACCCTTGAGAATTGCAAACGGACCCTTGATAATTGCAAATGGACCCTTGAGAATTGCAAACGGACCTTTGAGAATTATGAACGGACCCTTGAGAATTGCAAACGGACCCTTGAGAATTGTAAATGGACCCTTGAGAATTGCAAACGGACCCTTGATAATTGCAAACGGACCTTTGAGAATTGCAAACGGACCTTTGAGAATTATGAACGGACCCTTGAGAATTGCAAACGGACCATTGAGAATTGCAAACGGACCTTTGAGAATTATGAACGGACCCTTGAGAATTGCAAACGGACCATTGAGAATTGCAAACGGACCCTTGAGAATTGCAAACGGACCCTTGATAATTGCAAACGGACCATTGAGAATTGCAAACGGACCCTTGATAATTGCAAACGGACCATTGAGAATTGCAAACGGACCCTTGATAATTGCAAACGGACCATTGAGAATTGCAAACGGACCCTTGAGAATTGCAAACGGACCCTTGAGAATTGCATACGAACCGTAGATCTTTGCAAGCGAACCCTTAAGAATCGAAAACGGACCATTGAAAATTGTAAACGGACCCTTGAGAATTGCCAACAGTTATTTGATCATTTCAAATGGACCGTCCAAAATTGATAGCTATACCACACTGAGACAACGCTCTAGGAATACAATTAAACAAATACTGTTATATAATTAAACAAACCGCAGCTGTGCCGGCCACAGCTGCAGTCTCTGAAAACCATTAGTTATATAAGCGGTGGTACCTTATACACAATAACTAGAAAGTTTGGTCAACGTCAAATCTCTCTAACGTTATTACGGGTGGTACTAGTATGGGTTATGTGTCACTAGTATGGGAGATGTGTCATTAGTATGGGTGATGTGTCACTAGTATGGGTGAGGCGTCACTAATATGGGTGATGTGTCACTAGTATGGGAGATATGTCACTAGTATGGGTGATGTGACACTAGTATGGGAGAAGTGTCACTAGTATGAGTGATGTGTCACTAGTATGGGAGATGTGTCACTAGTATGAGTGATGTGTCACTAGTATGGGTTGATGTGTCACTAGAATGGGAGATGTGTCACTAGTATGGGAGATGTGTCACTAGTATGGGAGATGTGTCACTAGTATGGGAGATGTGTCACTAGTATGGGAGATGTGTCACTAGTATGGGTGATGTGTCACTAGTATGGGTGATGTGTCACTAGTATGGGAGATGCGTCACTAGTATGGGAGATGTGTCACTAGTATGGGAGATGTGTCACTAGTATGGGTGATGGGTGATGTGTAGTGTGAAGCTATAGTAGTTAGTTAGTTAGTTTGGTGGCCACATGTTTACTAGCGCTTCAGCTATTTAGCTATCTCGCACCGAAAGTCATGTTGAACATCACCAAAGAGGTGGAAGGTCTCAATTATCAAAAGTTCCTCAAATCAAAAATAGGTCATCACCCACAAGGGTTGGAAGGTCTCAATTGTCCAGCCCGCTGAAGCTGGCTCGAAAGAAGCAGCGTTAGCATCTCAAAGAGACGAAGTGACAAGGAGGGACAGGTGAAAAGCAACAGAAACGAAGACACTCGAACCAGAGGTCGCTTACACGGGACGTCGGCCGCCCGCACGAGAGAGACAGAGAAGGGAAATGTAAGGAATCCTACCTACATAATAACTTAATGTAAGGAATCCTACCTACATAATAACTTAACCCTACAACTGAGACCTGCAGTCAGACACCGCGAGCTCAGCGGTGGGGCGCTCAGGAACAATCCCCCTAGGAGCGCAAAATCCCATAGGACTTCTGACGAGCACAGACACCCGTCAGAAGTCCCCCCTGAGGGGTGTGAAGCTAGTATGTGTCACTACTCACTAGCGGTCATAGTTATAGTCTATAGACAAAGAGTTAATTGCACTATGTTGTCCATATATTTATTACGATATTGATACAACTTTATGATATAATTATGAGGCACGTATGTATAATTGCGTAAATGTGCAAGTCACACCCCATCACACAACACAAACGAGCAAGCAGCGCCTGCTCTGTGTTTACGACGCTCTTCGTGGGTACACAAGTTGTCGACAAGTTGTCTGTATACCGCCTACCCCACGTGCCTCACCTCACCCCACGTACCCTGACGTGACCCACCTCACCCCACGTGCCCTGACGTGACCCACCTCACCCCACGTGCCCTGACGTGCCCCACCTCACCCCACGTGCCCTCATCACCCCACGTGCCCCACCTCACCCCACGTGCCCTGACGTGCCCCACCTCACCCCACGTGCCCTGACGTGACCCACTTATGTGAGCCACGACTCACTAAAAGTCTGCAGTGACTCACACCCCCAGACAGTTTTATACTATAACTAATAATTAATTATTAGTGCTAGTGGCAAGCTAGTTTCGGTGACGCAACGACTACAAATAATGTATTGAAAAAACCGTAATCATGTCAATTAATTCAATACAATTACCACACCAATAGGTTACCGTTTTAGTTGGAAACTAGGCGAACTACAATCGCCAGACGGTGCTTACTACCACACACGAGAAATTAGATGCTTTGCTTAAAATTGCACATTGTTAGGCTACTATAAGAGTTAAGGCGTTAATTGGTACAACCTTTACGTCAAAAAGTCAAAAATTCGGTATTCCCCCGACTTGCCTTTTATCGGTTCAGTTGAAATAGGGATTAGGACCAAGAATTGCTACAAAGTTGATTAGCGATATGTGAAGTTAATTAAGTTGAGATCAAATTACCCGAGTATAGCGTTAGCTCAACTATTAAATCTCGATCGCTATTCAAATTGATCCCAAAATTGTCCTAAAAATTACGTAGCGATCATTTTTAATATAAATAAAGCGAAAAAAATCGTCTATGTGTCACGCGATGCTAGTAGGACGGCAGTGCCAGCAGGATGCAAACTCTTAACCAGGGCCTAATTTTTTCTCCTTCTTAACTAATACAAATAAATGGTCTTTGCCCAACTTCACATTTAAGTTAATTTCGCAAGAAGGTCGTGAGTCGGTGCAGCGTAAATAGGTTATATACTTATATCCTTTATAGTCATCCTGCCTCACCAGACTATAGGCGTGGCAGGATGCACATTTTGCGAGCTTGCGTAAGTACTATTGACTGAAGACCTACGGCGTTATTATCTTTAACCCTCTACCACAGTATGCCACTCTCCGGGAACATACAATTATACGTGAACTATTGAGTGTAGCAACCCGAGGACGTTTGTACGCAACAGAGAACATTAAAGTTGTCGTACGTGGCGGCAACCATCAGTGCAAGTCATTCTGCGCTCACTAGAACCTATCCTTTTCGCTAAGTAGGCTCGTGACAATATTGCTCCGGTTACTCATGTCAGGCGGTAGAGGGTTAATTTAGCAGCACATCACTGGTCAAGATTACGGTAATCCAGTGTACTATGTGGACTATAGTTCTGAGGCCGAGTTTATTGAACGCTGAGACTGGGCGTTGGCTACAGGGCTAATTTAAGATTCGAATTTGTGGCCTAAGGCTGCTGCGCCCCATACGAATCAGGTTGCTACCCAAGAGTCACCAACAAATGAAGTCATAATTTTGAACATCATCAAAGTTATGAGATTTCAGATTCGATACATTTACTTACATGACAAGGACGTACGTTGGCTGCTTACACCTCACCATTCACCAACACGCTATACACCATCACGCACATGCGCAGCGTCTACACGCGTGTGTATCAGAACTCTTGTACAGTCCAAAGCATCATCATTTTAGTCTCTAAAGTATATATTATTACTTTTTAATGAATAATTCTTCTCAATTAAATTTTACCGATGAGACTTACTCTTAGAACGTCGCCTCCGAGACAAAGCGTACAAGTTTGCCCGCCTCCTCAGGCGCCGTTCCCTAAAGCGCGGAGCTTCGGAACACAGAAATAGTTTCACATAAAACGTAGAAAATATCTGCATTTTATGCTACTTTTCGATGAAGTCAGCGACCGGGTAGAAGTTACTGCCTTACTGCTGCCAGAAGCGTAACATGGTAACTAGAATTAGGTAATTCCTTGACATTTTCACTGTTATTGTTCTGACTATATCTTCTACATATAGTAATAACAATCTCGTCAGCATCACGCAAACGACTGCTAACTACGTCAACGTTTGTTTACTGCATGTAAACATCTGTTGACTCTGAGATAACGTCTCTTTACTGTAAGTTACAGTCTGTATACTAAACGTTAACGTCTATTTACTTAACGTTACTTTCTGTTTACTTAAAGTTAACGTCAGTTTGCTGTTGGTTAACGCCAGTTTACTGAAGGTTAACATCAGGTTACTGAAGGTTAACATCAGTTTACTGTAGTTTAACGTCAGTTCACTGCCCATAAATATGGTATAAGTGACATGAACAAATGACAGACACTGAGCCTTCACTGACGCCTAATACGAGCTATCCGCACTCCCCACCTCAGCTGCACTCAGGCACCTTATATTAGTGCAAGGCTGCATTGTGAGAGCCACATTAATAAATACAAAGCATAGATGTAAATTAATCGAGTACAGAAAGCAAGAAGATTACGTGCTCAATTTATTAACGGTAGAGACAAGAATAATTCGCTGGTGGTGGTTAACGGCGCGTGATGAGTGTGTGCTTCAGTTGTTGAGATCAGTCATTTTTCAGATCAGTCGTATTATCATACATATTCAGCATGCGTCTTCACCAAAACAATGAGGAAAGAATAAAAAATTATTAACAAAGATATAGCACTCCAAGTTGAGGAAAATATAGATCAAAGTCGTACTCACGTGATGTGGGTATCAGTTGGGCAGGGCAGAGATGCGACCCACTCTTGAACTGTGATGGGTGATTTAGGTGGAGTGGTGCGTGATTGACATGAATCATGTTTAGTACATGGGAGGAGTGAGTCATTATCACCACCTAATTTAAGTTCTGTATCGCTCAATCCAACACCACCACTTCCACCACCACCTTCACCACCGAGCAGACATTCACTTCCGTCATCAGATGACGACGGAAGGATCAAGAGAGGTGCATTCAGGCCGGTGGCCGAATCTATGTTCGACATGACTTCTTGGCTGGTGATACTCAGGATTGCATGGCTGACTTCTGTATTGTCGACTAATTGGGATTTCGATGCATTACTTGTGTCAATATTTACGTGAGAGTCACTCGCCGAAAAAGATTCACGCGCGCTACCGTGGTTAGCCAAAGTGGACACCCCCGACAAATCGACGATACCCAAATGGTCATCGTATGCTGAAGAATTGCTCTTCACTGACTCACTGACCGTTTCATACTCAGTAGTTTCGCCTCCGCTGGCAGTCTTATAGCCTGCCTCACAGCTTGAACCGGCAACTCTACCTGACTCACAATAGTCTACCTCACAACCTGGAGAAGCAACTCTACCTGACTCACAATAGCCTACCTCACAACCTAGAGAAGAAACTCTACCTGACTCACAAACACTCACTGAAGACGTCTCACCACTCGATTTCAGCTTCAGTTTAACCTGTGAAAGAGGGAGTGGCTGCACCGAACTATTACCTGTTGATGATACATTATTCAAGAGTTCTTCATTAACAACGCAGCTATTTGATACCTTGCCTGCAGCTGCTACATCGTGATCAGGACTGCCAACACTCGGCATTTCTGATTCACCTGCATTAGAGTACGTAGCCTTCTTCTGCTCTAAAGTGCCTGGATTGTAGATAGATTCCTCATTTGTATTTATGTGATCAACCGCAACCGAGTCAACTAGCTCTGAACGTACTGTCTGGTCTAAAAGTACCACTAATTCTGTCTTTGTTTGATCATTAGTTACACAATTCGTAACCTGGTCTGTCGATGATACTGTTGCAATAATAATGCCAGCGTCTCTGTTGGCTTCTTTGGACGGTGAATGAAATTCAGCAACATGCGAGTTTGGCTGTTTCTGCTTGGCAGAGCTGCCTTCCTCCTCCATAAGCTCCTTTTTACTGGTGTCCACAGAGTAAATTCCATCCTCGTCTTCCGATGGTTCCTGAAGAGTTAATTCTTGCAAAAGTGAAGAACCAGATTCCTTTTCTTTTATCAAAATATCTGCGGGCTCCAGGATGGAACACTCATCTGCTTCGAATCCAGCTGTATGTGACGCAGACTTCAGCAATGAATTTTCGTCGTCGGTATTTCTAGCCGTTGGTGGCGATGGGGAGATGTCAATTAGAACCTCAACGTGAGGCATGGATGAATCTTCATTGTCTATCCGGCATGACTGAAGGGTTGACTTCCCACGACCGCGTGAGCCGTGGTTACTGGCTTCTTCATTAGACTGCAATTTTTCACGGGTTGAAATTTCATTCGTTGCCTCCATATTATCGTCGCTGGAAGTTTTAGTGATGGCAGAAGATTGGCCGGGACATTCATCGATGCCAGGCTTATCGTCATCAGTTGGTCCATGGGCCAGACGACGCTCTGATGCTAAAGGAATATCGTTTCTGCGTTCAGTTTCGTGTGGTTTGACTGACTCTGCTTCTGACGATTTTGAAAATTTAATTTCAATCAAGGGCGATGATTCTTTTGCATCCGCTTGCATCGATTCTGTCTCAGAACTGACCACACATTCTGGTTTTGAAACTGCACATGATTTGTTGTCAGCTGTTTTCATCGACTCGGTTTCAGAAATCGGCACTGATTCAGTTGCCGATGACACAAAAGATTCCGTCTCTGAAGCTGTGACAGAGTCCGTCTCCGATGCGATTAGGGGTTCCGCCTTCGATGCAAAACTTATCGTCGTGGTGACTTCTGGACAAGAGACTTCTTCACTTTTCCCCGATGAATCAAGACAAGCGACAGGTGGTTTGTCGTGACTTGTAACATCAGAAGAAACTTGCGCGTCGTCCTCCTGTGGCTCCCAAGGACCCATCGCAGTCATCGAGTTCTCTGTCATCTTCCCATCAGTCATGCGCGGTTCAGCTTGTGGCTCATGTGTAACGGCTTGCACTAGATCAGTGGGGGGCTCAAAATTCCCTGACGATTCAGGCTCAGGGAAAGGCTCCAGTTCCTCTGCCAATTCAGGCTCAAGAGTAATCTGCAGTTTCTCTGGCAATTCAGGCTCAGGGAAAGGCTCCAGTTTCTCCGGCAATTCAGGCCCAGGGAAAGGCTCCAGTTTCTCTGGCAATTCAAGCTCAGGAGGAATCTCCGGTTTCTCCGGCAATTCAGGCTCAGTTAAAGACTGCAGTTTCTCTGGCAATTCAGGCTCTAGAGAAGATTCCTGTTTCTGTGGCAACTCATGCTCTGAGTAAGGCTCCAGTTTCTCTAGCAATTCAGGCTCAGGAGAAGGCCCCAGTTTCTCTTGCAATTCAGGCTTAGGAGAAGGCTTCATTTCATCTGGCATTTTAGGCTCGGTAGAACGCGCCAGTTTGTTAGTCAGTCCAGGTTCTGCGGAAGGTTCAGGTTCAGGTCCAGTAGGTTCATTACCAGGTTCAGTTGGTGCCACCATTTGAACTGACAGTCCAGGTTTAACGGGCGGCAACACTTGCTCTCGCAGTTTAGATTCAGTAGGAGAACCTTGTTTTTCTGTCAGTATAGGTTCGGTGAGAGACACCAGTTTCTCAGTCAGCCCAGGCTCAGTGGGAGCCTCCAGGTGCTCTGACAGTTCGGGTTCAGTGGCTGCTGTTGCAATGTCTTCAACAGGTTCCTGAGAGGCAGTTCCTGCAATGTCTGCAATAGGTTCTTGAGAGGCAGTTCCTGCAATGTCTGCAACAGGTTCCTGTGGTCCTGCAATGTCTGCAACAGGTTCATGTGAAGCAGTTCCTGCAATGTCTGCAAAATGTTCCTGTGAAGCAGTTCCTGCAATGTCTGCAACAGGTTCCTGTGGTCCTGCAATGTCTGCAACAGGTTCCTGAGAGGCAGTTCCTGCAATGTCTGCAACAGGTTCCCGTGAAGCAGTTCCTGCGATGTCTGCAACAGGTTCCTGTGAGGCTGGTCCTGCGATGTCTGCAACAGGTTCCTGTGAGGCTGGTACGGCGATGTCTGCAACAGGTTCACGAGAGGTTGTTTCTGCCATGTCTGCAACAGGTTCCTGTGAGGATGGTACGGCGATGTCTGCAACAGGTTCCTGTGAGGCTGGTACTGCAATGTCTGTAACAGGTTTTCGAAAGGTTGTTTCTACCATGTCTGTAACAGGTTTTCGAAAGGTTGTTTCTACCATGTCTGCAACAGGTTCTCGAAAGGTTGTTTCTGCCATGTCTACAACAGGTTCCTGTGAGGCAGTTCCTGTAATGTCTGCTACAGGTTGCTGTGAGGCTTGTCCTGCGATGTCTGCAACAGGTTGTCGTGTTGCCAATTCTTCCAGCAACTCTAGTGGCAGACGTTGGTCTTTCCTCTCAACAAACACGTCATTGTTCAGAGCAGACGTCAACCTCAACTCTTCTCTCATTAGCTTTTGCTTCAACTTTACTCGCTGCTCTTCGATTTTCATCCTAAGTGCTGCAAGTTTCTGTTCTTCCTCTTGTTCCAGCCTCAGCAGTTGCTGCAACTCTTCATTCCCAAGCTTTGGCTCTACTTCTTCTGTTTCAGCAACAACCTTCTGGTTCATACCTTGCCTGCCATCGAGTTCTCTGATGCTGGTGACCGACTTGTCGGTTGGTTGGTGATGCTCTTCTACTTGCTGTTCTTGTTGCTTCCACATTTGCTGTTCTTGTTGTTCCTTGCATTGCTGTTCCTGCTGTTCCCTGCGTTGCTGTTCTTGCTGTTCTCTGCGTTGCTGTTCTTGCTGTTCCCTGTGTTGCTGTTCTTGTTCTTCCCTGCGATGCTGTTCTTGTTGTTCCTTGCGACGCTGTTCCATATATTTAAGTTTCTCGTTGTCAGGGGCGTTTCGGAGGTCATCCATAAAGGTTTTCTCGAAGGCAGAAGTTGCTTCCTGTTGCTCTTTCAAGTCGACTCTTCTATTCTTCTCCTCAAACTCTTTTTGGAGCAATTTTCGCTGCCGTTTCAGCTCTTTTTCTCGCAGCCGTTGGCGCTGCAGTTCTTCTGCAATTAAATTGTTGGGCCAATTCGGCCGCACCTCGACGTCTGGCTGCTGCGTCGGCCTTGCTGAACGTACTTTACTAGTTCGCCCAGTGAGATCTCCTACAGACGACCGCGTCACTAAAGATGGGTCTGGTCTGGCGAAGTTGTGAACTCTGTCATCATTGACAGATTTCAGGGCATTAGATGACTTGGTTACGATTTTAGGTGTGAATAATCTTGTGGGATGAAGTGAAGTGCTGGATGGAGGGACCCAAGGAAGCTGCTTGCTTGTAGACGCGAAGTTCTGCGGACTTGGTGACGGTGATTTGTTAAAAACGCTTATGAGCTTCTTAATGTCGATGTATGAGCCTTGGTCACTTTCTTCTGTCTCGTTTGGAGCCGATATAGTCTCGGGAGGATTGTGTGGCACGCTAAAACCGCAATTGCTTGGTTTTCTTGAGGATAGACTGGAAGTTGAACGGTACTTGGGATTTTGCTTCGTGTTTTCCCCGAATCTGTAGCTGGAAGGACGTTCCATTCTAATTGCAACAGGGCTGTCAAATGCGCGTTTCAAGTCACTCACTGACTTGGTCTTGTATTTTGTTGTTGGTGACATGTTTTCAGTTGAGATCTCGACCACATCATGGTTTGAATTACGTCTTTCTCTCTCATAGTTCTCTTTTATTGGAGCAGCATAAGATGACTTCAGACTTGGGGTTTGTGGCAGCATTTGGGTATCGAATCTTGAAGCATAAGTAGAATCTACCGTTGGTAGATGACTAGACGAGCTGCTCAGCTGACGCTTGTGACTCGCAAGAGGATCTTCGCCAACTCTGTCCCGGTGGTAGGTAGAGGCATTGCGTAGACCAGGGTCTACCAACCTGCCGAGACTGTTGGGGACTCGATGAGATGCAGCAGACACCCGATCAGTTGGGTCATAATGAGCCGGAGGACCAGCCACTGGAGCACGTGTGTCTACTTGAGCCAGCAGAGGGTGAGTGGACAGTTTGGGTAACGGCGGCGGCGACGAAGGGACTTCTGACTGCAGGAAACTAGGAAATGTCTCTGCTTCGGGGCGGGCACAACAGTCGTCAGATCCCGCGGATGGCGGAGAAGAGATGTCTGGCAGTGGGCTGCAGGGATCCACTGATGCCACGGTCTGCGGAGTCACGCATTGTGGTGGCACGGCCATGGAAGACGGTGCCACGGATGGCTGTGCCACAGCCAGCGGCGCCACAGCCTGCGGCGCCTCAGCCTGCCGTGGCACAGCCTGCGGTGCCGCGGCCTGCGTCGCAAAAGCCTGTACAGCCAGAGGCAGCGGTGCGACAGCCAGCGGTGCCACTGCCTGCGGTGCCACAGCCTGTGGAACCACAGCCTGTGGTGCCACAGCCTGCGGTGCCACAGCCTGCGGAACCACAGCCTGCGCTGCACCAGCCTGCGGTACCACAGCCTGCGGTACCACATCCTGCGGTGCCACAGCCTGCGGTATCACGGTCAGCGATGCCACGGCCTGCGGAACCACAACCTGCGGTGCAACAGCATGCGGTGCCACAGCCTGCGGTGCCACAGCCTGCGGTGCCACAGCCAGCGGTGCCACGGCTTGCGGTGCCACGGCCAGCGATGCCACGGCCTGCGGTGTCACAGCCTGCGATGCCACGGCCTGCGGTGCCACAGCCTGCGATGCCACGGCCTGCGGTGCCACAGCCTGCGATGCCACGGCCTGCGGTGCCACAGCCTGCGGTGCCACGGCCTGCGGTGCCACGGCCTGCGGTGCCACAGCCTGCGATGCCACGGCTTGCGGTGCCACAGCCTGCGGTGCCACAGCCTGCGATGCCACGGCCTGCGGTGCCACAGCCTGCGGTGCCACAGCCTGCGATGCCGCGGCCTGCGGTGCCACAGCCTGCGGTGCCGCGGCCTGCGGTATCTCGGCAGTTGGGGGTGGACTTAAAGGCAGAGGCGGCGGGGACTGCAGGGACGGGTCCGGGTCCAGATAATCCCTCTTGGTCCCAGCGCCGGGAGTGTCCCGCGTCGGGTGGAGGGTCCCAGCAGGAGTGGGGCTGGTGGGGACCAGCGGGTGCCCTCTGGACGAGTAACCCACCGACGTGTAGTGGGTGGTGGGGCTGTAGAGGGAGCGCCGTTGCAGGAAGGGGGACTGGTAGCGTGAGGGGGCGCCTCGCCCCCCCGGAGCGGCCCAGGACGAGGTTAGCCCCATGGAGGAGCCGTACCTACGCAGCCCCACTGGGGGATCGGGATGCCCTAGCCCTGGCGGGGCGTGGACTTCCCCGTCACGTCCCCCACACGCGTCCTCAGCGTGGTTAAGGGCAGACAAAGACTGGGACGAAGACAACGTCGCCCGCGCCGTCGGTGGCCTGAAGACCTTCGCGTAGACCGGCGGGGAGTAGCTAAAGTGGCCGCCCGCTTCTCCCTCCTGAGAGAGCCTCCCACCCGCATACCCTAGGCCGGTGGCAGGTGGCTCAGTGGCAGCTGGCCCAGAACTGCCATGCTGCTGGTGCAGGACCGTCCCAAGTACGTCGGGTCCCCTCCCACCGCAGCCGTACCCGCTATTATGGCCGCCGTGTCGGTCATCATCGTCCCTGGCGCGGTTGAGGTATCGCATTTCATGCATAGAAATCGGCCTGTCGGAGCGGCGCGAACTGTAGGGCACCGCTGGCTGCGATGGACGGTCGTCATGTGGTTCATGATGGACAATGGACGGCGCTCGGCCATCGCGTGTGGTCATGGGACCGTCCGACGGTCGGGACGTGTTGCGTCTGCCGTAGTGGCCACAGCGCCAGGCGACATCCAGGCCGGCCACGTCTCCGTTCAACGGGGGCCTGTCTTGTGCGGTGCAATATCCTTCACTAACTATTTCCCTCTCATTTCCATTATTCACAGCAAATGAAGAATTGAAGGTTCTGTCACCAATCATGTTGCTACCCACACCATCACAACCACTTTCAAGACCCGCCACTAATATACCACCTCTCACACAACGTGCAGTTTCATCACTGGCTTCACTATCGTTGCAGGCTGCAACAGACGTATGATGTTGTCGTACCTCCGGCAGCGCTGCGCCGCCAGCTACACTTGGCACTTCGGGCGCATCAGCTGGCGCAGATGTGGCACTCTGGGGCAGCATCCCATAACTGCTCTGCTCTTTAGGATTTCCTGAGAACATTTTGCTCTGTGATTTTGAAGGTCAGAGTTCAGTTGTGAGTCATGCTGTGCGTGTACCGTTGACGAGGATGAAATAATTTTATTTTCAACGAGGTTCTTCAATTCTTACCTCAAGGCTCTGGCCAATAAATAATCTAAGACGTATCAATCCAAAATGAAACTCTACACACTCGTTTTTAAGTTGAACGACTTCTTGATTATTTTACCTCGCTATATCCATTCAAAAGTGAAAGTTAAAACTCCTTGCTAAATTAAATATATTGCTTATTCTATAATTCAAATTATAATAAAAATTCAAGCGCAGGATGTGCTTCTTTTCAACCACGCCTCAGGCGCGACTGTGTGTGCAGCCGCAGTTTAGTATTATTTTTTTCGTGTTGCCGGTAAAGCACAGCACAAAGTGGCGGCTCTCAGCTGGCTTTGTGGCCTCGTCAGCTGGCTTTTTGGCTGCCTCAACTGGCTTTGTGGCTTCGTCAGCTGGCTTTGTGGCTTCGTTAGCTGGCTTTGAATATCACAAGGCAATGGTTATGCTGCTCGGTGGTTCGGGTGACGGTAACAAATAACTTCCCATGACGCAATCATTAACTATTGCAAATTCAACAGCTGTGAACCACACCACGCAGCGTAGCTTGTGATTGTTATGGCCGTGTGGTGAAGAGTAATGATTGATGCTTAGCGTATGTGGTGAGCAGCAATGATTGGCGATGAGCGTGTGAGATGAGCAGTAATGATTGGTGATGAGCGTGTGAGATGAGCAGTAATGATTGGTGATGAGCGTGTGTGATGAGCAGGTGAAATAAGTTCGTTGACGGAGAGTTGTTCAAGTCCCGGCACCACAAGCTCGTTCAGTGGAACCTGCAATAAAAATTGAGAATTCACGAATGAAGTAGATTAAATTTTGTATTCAATAAATGTTATTTGTTCCAGTGCATAACTTTTATTGTTTGAGATACACCAACTCGGGGAATAGTCATGCGTAGGAAAAAGCGTATTATTAGTGCTATTTAATTGAATTATAGTAAATTGTCCAGGGATTAGGTAAATGAAGCTAATTATATAATTTCTATTTACAAATAGCGTAAAGAAGAACTATGCGGAACTAATTTAATGCAACATTTATATGTAATCTAATTACACACGTTTATCATCAATTGTTCTTTCTTAATATAATCGATAGAAAACGAAAAAAATTTCGTATTCGATGGAGTACTTCGATAATTTGCAAGTACTTCCTCTATACAACGAGATAAATACTCAGGAAATGAAAGCAAGGCACTAGAAATTTTCAAAAACGATTGATGGTAAAGAATCTTACAAGTTACACACCAACAACCGATCGTGCGTTCACTCTTGCTCACCGGCGAGGAGGATTTATCTTGCTAGGCACGAACTTGACTTTCTCAACGCTTTAGGTTCTGGTGCACGTAACTAATGAATTATTCCTCATTAAATATGTTAATACTTCTTGCGGAGGGAAGCGTGGGGGGTTGGGGAGGATGGATTGGGCGTGGAGGGGAGTGGAGGACCTGTGAAGAGAGGAATGGAAGGGAGAAATGAGGGAATGGGGTTGAGTGGAGTGGTGGGGAGTGGAGCGGGAGGGAATAGAAGAGCGTGGAGGGGAGTGTAGAAGCGTGGAGGGAGCGAAGTGGTGGGTAGTGGAACGGCGTGCAAGCGCGCGGATTAGCGTGGAGGGGAGTGGAGGGAAGTGGATGGGAGTGGAGGGGAGTGGATGGGAGTTAAGCCTGCCGTCAAGTCGTAAGCCTGCCGTCAAGTCGTAAGCCTACCGTCAAGCCGTAAGCCTACCGTCGAGCCGCAAGCATGCCGCTATGTCAAGTCGTAAGTCTGCCGTCAAGTCGTAAGCCTGCCGCTATGTCAAGTCGTAAGTTTGCTCTCCCGTCACGTCGGAAGCCATCACGCCATTGCTTATCAGTTCGAGTTTTTATCTCTAAAAAAATCGTCAACAAAATAAGTTACAATCTAAAAATTCAATCGCACTATTGCAGGTTAGCCTGGCCTTGTACGTATTGACAATTCCTGCAATGTTTGAATCCCGTGTCCCGAATATAGCTAAAGAAAATTAAAGCTAACGAAATCTATTTAATGAAAGACAAGTTGAATCCCCATATTTTTTATGGAACATTAAACTCCCATTTTACTTCCATTTTATACTATAAAAAGTATACAAAAATTCGTCTATCAAAATAATTTCAAATTATTATAATCAATTCTGACTTTCAGTTTACAAATTTTTCACTACCCCTGAGTTTTGTAATGCCTCGCTTCTCACATAGTATGAATACAATTTGAGATCCAGCTAATGTCACGACACGATAAGTATCCTGGATACGCGCCCCAACAGCCCCTATATACAATATCCCGACACGATAAGTATCCGGGATACGCACCCCAACAGCTCCTATAAATTGCAATGCCAGACTAGCTAGCAACATGTAAACCTTGTCAAGTATATATAATGTCTATTGTATTTTATTTATCACCAACGCTAAAAATAAAAAACTTGTCATTACACCTTAATCATTGCCTTCACTAGACCTTAATTGTAGCCTTTGCTAGACCTTACCTATTGCCTTGATTAAATTGTAATTATTGCCCTCACTAGATGTTAAAAACCGAAAATTTACGACTCAATTTGACACCAAAAGCTCCCTCTACCCGGCGGACCACGAGCGATTCACCACCTCTCATCATCATCACCATCACCGTCATCATCTAGGTTATAAATATAAAATGAAAGTTAAAAAATAAAAACGCATATTATAAGTCAGCACTCATGATTTCATTTCTTCATAAAATAAGTTTAAATATAAATAATATAACTCAATGACCAAGCCCCCATGCACCCTCACTCCTTCCTCCATACGACGCCTCCTCTTCCATCTCCGAGCCTACCCCAACCCAATCATAAACAAACATAAACATTAAATATAATAATATAATCTAATTATGTATTCAATACTAATAAACCTCATAAACAATAAATCTAATTATGTACTAAGCTCTTTTTTCGTCTGCCACAATCACCCCCCTCCCCTTGCTCCTTCAAGCCAATTTTTGCCACCTTTTATTTATTACTCTCAGCAAAACTAAAAACATCGTTTAGAAATATGGAGAGACTCAATAAATGGTAATACTATGCACCCAAACTACTCACTAGTGGAAGCAGTAGTTGTGGCACGGCGGTAACTAGTGAACTAGTTGGTGCGGCACTGCAGAGTTCAGCCAGTAACTAGTGGTCGGCTCGAGCGATGGCCTGGAAGTGAGAATTAAGTGTTAAAGAGTTCACTAATTAAATGACAGAGAAGATAAAAAAGATAATCTATCAGGCAGGCAAGACGGGGATGTGATAAGGGAATTCCTGAGCATCGCGGTGAGATAAGAGGCGTGAAGCTGCACCACGATAAGGATAAGAGGGCTGGAGTTGCACCACGATAAGGATAAGAAGGCTGGCGCTGCACCACGATAAGGATAAGGGGTGTGGAGCTGCACTACGATAGGGATAAGAGGCGTGGAGTTGCACCCCGATAGAAATAAGAGGCGTGGAGCTGCACCACGATAAGGATAAGGGGCTTGGAGTTGCACCACGATAAGGATAAGAGGCGTGGAGTTGCACCACGATAAGGATAAGGGGCGTGGAGCTGCACCACGATAGGGATAAGAAATGTGAAGCTGCACCACGATAAGGATAAGAGGCGTGGATCTGCACCACGATAAGGATAAGGGGCGTGGAGTAGCACCACGATAAGGATAAGAGGCGTGGAGCTGCACCACGATAAGGATAAGAGGCGTGGAGTTAGTCATTTAATCCCGACTGCCTTCTCCCAACCGTTGAACATGGCGGGGGATCTGTGATGATCTGGGATGTTATTTCTGGGAAATACGGTGGACCAATGATTTATCTTCATGAAAGAATCAACAGCTGTGACTGTTTAGGAATTTTGGAGGACCAAGTTCATCCAATGGTTCACGCACTGTTTCCGGAGGGGAACGCCATCTTTCAAGATGATAATGCCCCGATCCATACAACTGAAATTGTTAAAAAACGTCACGATGAACATTTTAATGAAGTTTAGCATCTCATTTGGTCACCACAATCACAAGGCCTGAATATTATCGAGCATTTATGGTCGATTTTAGAGATGCAAGTCAAAAGTCGATTCCCGCCGCCATCGTCTTTAAAAGAGCTGGAAGGAGTTTTAACTGAAAAATGTGTTAATTGCCTTTGGAAACAATTCACAGTTTGCATGAATCAATACCTGACAGAATTGAGGCTGTAATTGCCGCAAAAAGTTGACCTAAACCATACCAAAATATATTTTGTGGATTTTTCATGTGTTTCCCTTATTCTGTCTAACCCCTGTATGTATAGTGGATATATGCATAGTGGGTATATATAAATAGTTGCGGCTCGATGATAGCTGGGTCGCCTAGGTTGAATATGTCCTCCTGGTAGCTAGTTTGTATATGTTAAATGAGAAGCGTGTTTTTAATATAAGTGCCGACTTTATATTAAACCGTCGCAGCGCTGCGGCCGTCGTTTAGCTCATGAGCGCCGTGTAGCTACATCTGTCTGGAAGCCACAGACGCCATTGCGGAACTATTATCCGATCGATTATACATCGGTTTACGTGATTTTAAAATTCTTCTACCTTTTGCGAAAACCACCAACGGCGAAGTGCGTGCGTTTCTCTGTGCTTAAGGCTTTAGATCAGCTGACATCCATCGCCAAATCAGTAAAGTGTGTGGTGAAAATAGTATGAGTAATGGAATGGTGCAGAAATGGGCTAGGGTCTCTAAAATTGGCCGCACAAACATTCATGGTGAGGAAGGAAGTGGAAGGCCTTCATCCTTTATCGATGACCTGATTCATGAAGTGAACTGCAAAGTAATGGACAACTGATAATTCCCAATTTCGTTCTCAGCACGAAAGTTTTCTGCTGCTTCAAAAAATGTTCATTTCGAAATTGTCTACTCAACACACAACACACCACACAACCACACACCCCAAAAACACACACCATACAAACACACACCATACAAACACACACCATACAAACACACACCACACAAACACACACCACACCACACAACACACAACACACCACACCACACAACACACAACACACCACACCACACAACACACAACACAACACATGGCCCTAAGCTCGTCCTCGCACAACAGGATTTGTATGAGCTGCACGCGACTGGCGGAAACGTACGAATATTCTTCAATATTACGATGCTCGTGAGATTATGATGATCGTAAGATTACGATGGTCATAATTAATTGAGATTACGATGGTCGTAAGATTACGATGGTCGTCATTAATTGAGATTACGATGGTCGTAAGATTCCGATGGTCGTAATATTACGATGGTCGTAAGATTACGATGGTCGTAAGATTACGATGGTCGTTATTACGATGGTCGTCATTAATTGAGATCACGATGGTCGTAAGATTACGATGGACGTAAGATTACGATGGTCGTAAGATTACGATGGTCGTAAGATAAAGATGGTCGTAATCAAATAAGATTACGACGGTCGTGAGATTGTTATTATAGTAAATTGCTTCAGCCATCATCACCTCAGCAGAGAGGAAATATCCGTATAACCATTCTAAGTGTATATATAACCATTATCACCTTCCAATGAGCGTAATGAAGTGCAGCTAAATATTTGTTACATGTAACATTGAATGCTTATTATCAGTATGAACCCTAACGGCTTCCATCCCTAGCTTAAAATGATCACAACTCACCGGTTGTGTTGATATTAAATGCAAGTCATGAGTCACATGGAACGTTCAAGTTGATCACGGCGAACTAAAGCGGTCACGGCACCACAAATGAACTCTACGGCACCGCAACAACACCACCTCCTCTCACTGCGACGTCACGTGTGACACTGACGCAACCACAACTCACAAGCCAGTAGTGCCACTAAATTCTTGAGACACTTTCAAAAATTTCTTGACTTTCAGTGGAACAAAAGTTTATTCGCATACCCTACGTTTCTAAAAAACTTACATGGGATCTTACAAGGTAATGTTTCCATCAGATGGAAAACACTAAATAACGTGGGATTAATTATTATCATGAAATTACACGAATTTTCAGAAAAGTTCTGTGCTGCGGCCAGAAATTCTGTAGACGCGCGCACCTGCGAAGAGGTGAGTCAGACACGCAAGTGTTCAGTGAATAGCTGGGGACCTCGCAGCGTCGTAAGCTGTGGTCGTAAGTTGTATGTCGTAAGTTGTGGTCGCGAGTTGTATGATGGGCGTGAATTTTGGCCGTAAGTTGCAGGCGTAAGCTCACTAAGCTGTAGTCGTAGGCTCACTAAGCTGTTGTCGTAAGCTCACTAAGCCGTGGTCGTAAGCTCACTAAGCTGTGGTCGTAAGCTCACTAAGCTGTGGTCGTAAGCTCACTAAGCTGTGGTCGTAAGCTCACTAAGCTGTGGTCGTAAGCTCACTAAGCTGTGGTCGTAAGCTCACTAAGCTGTGGTCGTAAGCTCACTAAGCTGTGGTCGTAAGCTCACTAAGCTGTGGTCGTAAGCTCACTAAGCTGTGGTCGTAAGCTCACTAAGCTGTGGTCGTAAGCTCACTAAGCTGTGGTCGTAAGCTCACTAAGCTGTGGTCGTAAGCTCACTAAGCTGTGGTCGTAAGCTCACTAAGCTGTGGTCGTAAGCTCACTAAGCTGTGGTCGTAAGCTCACTAAGCTGTGGTCGTAAGCTCACTAAGCTGTGGTCGTAAGCTCACTAAGCTGTGGTCGTAAGCTCACTAAGCTGTGGTCGTAAGCTCACTAAGCTGTGGTCGTAAGCTCACTAAGCTGTGGTCGTAAGCTCACTAAGCTGTGGTCGTAAGCTCACTAAGCTGTGGTCGTAAGCTCACTAAGCTGTGGTCGTAAGCTCACTAAGCTGTGGTCGTAAGCTCACTAAGCTGTGGTCGTAAGCTCACTAAGCTGTGGTCGTAAGCTCACTAAGCTGTGGTCGTAAGCTCACTAAGCTGTGGTCGTTAGTTCACTAGGCTGTGGTCGTAAGCTCACTAGGCTGTGGTCGTAAGCTCACTAGGCCGTGGTCGTAAGTTCACTAGGCTGTGGTCGTAAGTTCACTAGGCTGTAGCCGTAAGTTCACTATGCTGTGGTCGTAAATTCACTAGGCTGTAGTCGTAAGCACACTAAGCAGTGGTCGTAAGCTCACTAAGCTGTAGTCGTAAGCACACTAAGCAGTGGTCATAGGTCTTGTTTTAGTCGTAATATATCGTATGTTCTAAAATAGCAACAAGTTCAATTCTACCGGTAATGTCCACGTTGATCCTAAGTTCAAAGAAGGTTTTTATTTCATACAAGTTCGTAAGTTCTCTAATGGTCGTAAGTTTAAAGGCTTTCGTAATTTCTAAGCCGATTTTAAGATACTCGAAAGTTAACAGTTGGTCGTATTACCAACTTAGAACCAGACGCTCTCACCAGAACCATTGGCATCGCGCATTTCTAACAGTTCAAGCCACAGAGTTCTAAAAGTTTTAAAAGCATAGATGTAATTAGTTCTAGTCATAGAGTTCAAGCCTTGCAGTTATTATAGTCCTAGCCGCGGAGTTGTAATAGTTCTAGCCGCGGAGTTCTATAAGTTCTAGTTGCGGATTTCTAATAGGTATAGCCGCAGAGTTCTTAAAGTTCTAGCCGCGGAGCTCTAATAGTTCTAGCCGCAGAGTTCTGAAAGTTCTGGCCGTGGAGTTATAATAGTTCTAACCACGGAGTTCTGAAAGTTCTAGCCGTGGAGTTCCCCTCAGGGGGGACTTCTGACGCATGTCTGTGCTCGTCAGAAGTCCTATGGGATTTCGCGTTCCTAGGGGGGGGGGACCTAGGGGTCCCCCCTAGGGGGATCCCTTTCGCGTTCCTAGGGGTAGGTAGTGTGGTAAGAGCAAACCTTCCTGAGCGCCCCACCGCTGAGTTCGCGGTGTCTGACTGTAGGTCTCAGTTGTGGGGTTAAGTTATTATGTAGGATTCCTTACATTTCCCTTCTCTGTCTCTCTCGTGCGGGCGGCCGACGTCCCGTGTAAGCGACCTCTTGTTCGAGTGTCTTCGTTTCTGTTGCTTTTCACCTGTCCCTCCTTGTCACTTCGTCTCTTTGAGATGCCAACGCTGTTTCTTTCGAGCCAGCTTCAGCGGGCTGGACATCTGAGACCTTCCGCCCCTTGTGGGTGATGATCTATTTTTGATTTGAGAAACTTTTGATAATTGAGACCTTCCATCCGTCCAGCAGTAGAACCCTTCAGTTCTACCGTCCAGCAGTAGAACCCTTCAGTTCTACCGTCCAGCAGTAGAACCCTTCAGTTCTACCGTCCAGCAGTAGAACCCTTCAGTTCTACCGTCCAGTAGTAGAACCCTTCAGTTCTATCGCCCGCCGCACAGTACGGAGGAAGTTAGGTGAAGTACTCAAAATTCTGAATGATTCATTGTAATAAATATATGCAGCAACAATTAATTATTCAGTCATACATATTTAAGAAAAAAGAGATTAAAAATTACTTCAATCTCGGTCATGGTGTAAAAATTGCCCATCTAAGAACGTACCACGAACAGTGACTTGAAAATTATACTTCAGGAACAGGCGTATAATTATCAATTCAAAAACATAACAAAGGTATAAAATCTCAACAAGAAATATATATACACATAATACTGAACGAGTATTTCTGTAAGAGTATACACATTATGCTAATAAATTAAAGTGGATCGACTTTTTGTCGTGTTTCTAAGGAATGTTGAATTGCCCGTGTTCCCGTGTTATGCTTTATTGAAATTCGCTTCTCTCGTAGCTAGGTTGCCAACGAACAGTTCAACTCTGTGGTGTCATCCTCCAAAGCAGAGCTCTAGTAATTAGCAATTATGAAGTGAAAAGTAAACTTTAAAACTTTTGCGCCTCCTAACGCAAACTTCCTAAGAGCAAACCTCCTTAGGTGCTTTACCAGCCTCACTTCTCATCCGCCAAGGGCATCGAGTCCAATAAGTCCTCTTCACTTGAGGACTGAAGTGGTTCATCACGCCGAGTCCAAAAGGAATAAGGTTGCACGCGAGACTAACTTCGGTCAACATGAGGAGGTGGACGAAGCTACGGAAAACGAAAAGGCGACCGCATGACGGAGGCTAAGGAGTCTTCCAGGGAGGCAAGAGAGTCGTTGGCGGGTGCGGGAAAATCGTCGGCCGAGGCGAGGTCGTCCAATACTAACGCGGTAGAATTGTCATCATAAGAAATGGAAGACCGGCTATGTTGGACTCCAGCAGGGTGCCGGGGGTGGGTGACGGGCTGCTGCTGCTGCTGTTGCTGAGGGTGGGTGATGGACTGCTGCTGCTGAGGGTGGGTGATGGGCTGCTGCTGTTGCTGCTGAAGGTGGGTGATGGGATGCTGCTGCTGCTGCTGAGGGTGAGTGATGAGCTGCTGCTGCTGAGGGTGAGTGATGAGCTGCTGCTGCTGCTGAGGGTGGCTGATAGACTGCTGCTCCTGCTGCTGCTGAGGGTGAGTGATGGGCTGCTGCTGAGGGTGAGTGATGGGCTGCTGCTGAGGGTGAGTGATGGGCTCCTGCTGCTGCTGCTGAGGGTGAGTGATGGACTGCTGCTGCTGCTGAGGGTGAGTGATGGACTGCTGCTGCTGCTGAGGGTGGCTGATGGACTGCTGCTGCTGCTGCTGCTGCTGCTCAGGATGAGTAATGATCTGCTGCTGCTGCTGAAGGTGAGTGATGAGCTGCTGCTGCTGCTGCTGAGGGTGTGTGATGGACTGCTGCTGCTGCTGAGGGTGGGTGATGGAATGCTGCTGCTGCAGAGGGTGAGTGATGGACTGCTGCTGATGATGAAGGTGGGTGATGGACAGCTGCTGATGATGAAGGTGAGTGATGGACTGATGCTGATGATGAAGGTGGGTGATGGACTGCTGCTGATGATGAGGGTGAGTGATGGACTGCTGCTGCTGCAGAGAGTGGGTGATGCACTGCTGCTGATGATGAGGGTGAGTGATGGACTGCTGCTGCTGCTGCAGAGGGTGGGTGATGGACTGCTGATGCTGCTGTTGCTGAGGGTGAGTGACGAGCTGCTGCTGCTGCATCGGATAGGTAGTTTGCTGCTGCATCTGGTGGGTAGATTGCTGCTGCAGCGGGTAGGTAGTGTGCTGCTGCATCGGGTGGGTAGATTGCTGCTGTATCGGGTGGGTAGTTTGCTGCTGCATCGGGTAGGTAGTTTGCTGCTGCATCGGGTAGGTATTTTGCTGCTGCATCGGGTAGGTATTTTGCTGCTGCATCGGGTAGGTAGTTTGCTGCTGCATCGGGTAGGTAGTTTGCTGCTGCATTGGGTAGGTAGTTTGCTGCTGTATTGGGTGGGTAGATTGCTGCTGTATTGGGTAGGTAGTTTTGTTGAGACGATTGCAGACGACGCCGTTGAGACGATTGCAGACGACGCGGTTGAGACGATTGACGACGACGCAGTTGAGACGATTGCAGACGACGAGGTTGAGACGATTGCAGACAACGCGGTTGAGACAATTGCAGACGACGCGGTTGAAGCGATTGCAGTCGATACAAATTTAGGCGTTATGTTTGAAGGTGCTAACAGGAAGGAACCCGGCCTAGAAGACGAGGCGTAGTTCATTGTGGTCGCTGAAGACCCAGGAGCCTGAAAGAATGTCGTTGATTGAGTGGAAACGGGGCAGCTCGAGATACGAATCTGTGGGAAAATAGATAAAATATCAAAAGTGATAGAGGCTGGAAGTACAAATGACAATCGTTGAATGGTTTCCAATAGGTTCTAAGGCTGGCGTCGAAAATGTACGTTACAATCATCGAGGGAATTATAAGTTTGACCGTGTTAGGCATTGTTAGAGCATTCTGCATAAACACCGAAGCATGTAATCTACTGCTTTAGTAATTCCTAAATAAAGTTAGAGTCATATTTGTTCAATGGATGTCCATTAGAGATGACACTGACGAGTCTATACCTATATCTATGTTAAGAATACAAATGGGCCTAGTGATTTCTTATATTTCAGCAAAACATAGTGAATAAACTAATGGTCCAGTCAATAAACTAGACTAATCCTGATTGAATTAGCAATGCCACTAGATAAAGTCATAATTTTTGATTAGCCGAATGATTCATTTTTTGATTTTTAAGAAGGAACGAGGAAATTAGTGAAACATTTAGGAAAAACTCACTTACATTGGACGATGAAGCCTGAACATTGGGCCAAGAAGCCTTGACATTGGGCGAATAAACATTGAAATTAGGCGAAAAGTCCTTAAAGTTGGGAGAAGAACCTGAAGTTTTCTTAGCACTTCTCACAAAAGGCGAGGACGGCGGAGGCATGAGTCGACCATCTTCTTCGTTTTCAGGGTGACTTGCGGTAAAATGAAGACTGCCTCCATTGGAATCAGCCACAGGAATATCCATTCTGGTACCATCCAGTGACTTCATTTTGCAACTAACTGGAATGTCGTTTTCAATGGAGCCAGCTGGCATTCCCCCAACTGGGTCATGTGGTGGATAGCCCGTCATTAACGAAGGCATGCCACCACCAGGGCTGGAGTGGGGTGGTGAGTAATCCATCTTTGCCGAAGACGTGCCACCACCAGGGCTGAAGTGGGGTGGCGAGTAATCCATCATTACCGAAGGCATGCCTCCACTAGGGCTGGAGTGGGGTGGTGGGTAATCCATCATTACCGTAGGCATGCCCCCACTAGGGCTGGAGTGGGGTGGAGAGTAATCCATCATTACCGAAGGTGTGCTCCCACCAGGGCTGGAGTGGGTTGGTGGGTAGCCCGCCATTTCGCTCGACAACACATCGATGAACGAATCGGGCGAGCACAAATTTCGTAGGTCGCTCAAAAAATCCTCTTCGAAGCCAAACTCATCCATGATTTCTCAAATGAATTTAAACGTTACGCTAAAACCTATTTTTGAAATAATGAACTTAAAATCTGGCAACAACAGCCTACCGTCAACAACAGCCTACCGTCTATAACGCTGCATTCTCCATGTAAAAATTGAATAAGAAGTGTTGAATTAGGTTTGAATATTTTGGGCATTTTTGTGTTATACACAAGTGCGGCTGGGACCAGCATTGTATGGTTAGTATAGTATACCGAATACAATGCACGTCAAGGTTCATCATAAAAATTTTTAAATTAATTACCAAATGACTCGTGCATGCGTAAATCTTCCACCATCACCAACAAGACATCCTTCATATTGCACCTCATCTCAGAAGCACTACTGCAGCATGACCTAACCTAACATCAGACTTTTCCCGGGGTAATTCGATCAACTGGCAAACGATGCAATACATTATTATTTCATCTAAACAAAACATGTCACGACTAATCAAAATCTTTATGAAAATTCACCCTTATTTGTTGTTTCGGAATGCTCCAAAAGTTCACATTCGTCACGCAAGTTCATATTCACAGAAGTTCGTATTCGTGTTGGAAACAAGCGTCACGACACACGGCAACCCGCCCACCGATGTTGCCAGATAAAGGCGGGAGCTTCACCGTTTTCTAGAGTGAAAGCATACAAAGTCATTTATTCGGACGTGGTTTGATATATGATAACTGTCTTCATTATGTGGCCTTCATATTATAGGACCAACCTCAATCCCTCTGGTCCCAGCCATCCCTCTGGCCCTTGCCATCCCTCAGGTCCCTGCCATCCCTCTGATCCCTACCATCCCTCAGGTCATTGAAAGTATATTTCATTCAGGAAATAATTCGTAATAAGGCGGGAAGGTAAACGTTTCATTTCACCCCAACACATCAATGACGGCAACATTCGTGAGAGTGGCAGGTTTAGTGCACCGTGTTACATTTGGTGGCAAGAAAGCACTGTTAATACGCCTCTCTAAAGCGCTCTGTCATCCACTTGCAATCGCTTGCGATTTACTAAATCGATATCCGACGCTCCGATCGTGAGAAATATTACGTTGATTACGCTAATTCTTACGATGTCGCAGTACGAGGCTTTTAAATACTTGGCTGAAGTAAGAAAACCAATTTGTTTATAAAAAGCCTCGATCTGTTCTAAGTAATGTACAAATGAATTAAATATGCAACTTGTCAAATCTCAAACAAATCAAAACTTCTATACATGTTCAATTGGTCTCTCTATTTCTAATATTTTTAATAGGTAGAACTTGGAGCAGAACACTTCCTGTGTAGGCGAGGGTGAGAAGCTCCACTTGTTTCGACTTAGCAGAGAAGATCCGAACCTAGTTACTATTTCAGGCAGTAAGTAGTTACTTGCATGCAAGTACGTAGTAAAATAACTTACCCCCCTGGTGTCCCCATACTATGATGGTGCCAATTATTGATTGATGCCAAGCCAACCACTTTAATACACAATTTATTTACTGGATTTACTGTAACGTACACAATACATGAGCAGTAATTCAATACAATACCTCATTGACTTATTGTAAGGTATTTGATGTGTGATGTAGTAATTCAATGTAATGCATGGCTGATTAATTGTAAAGATTGCATTTATGATGCAGGCACTTGCGCGAGACGTGCGTAGTCAGAGGTAGTAAGAACGAGACGAGACAAACTGTTTACTGCACGACATACACGGGACGATAGTAACTTACTAACAATAATAAATATGTTATTATATAAGCACAAGTATCACAGACATTTTTCATTTCATCACAGCCATTTTTTCAGTCATCATTTTTCATAACATGACACCATAGTACCAATGCTGTGGCGTAAAGCGTCACTAGCATGATGTTATAAATATGCAGTAACTGCAATACCAGGCACGCAGTAACTGCAATACCAGACACGCAGTAACTGCAATACTAACTGCAATACCAGACACGCAGTAACGCATAAAATAACGACCTCATTCCTCTGACGTCAACATTCCTACTTCTGTCAGCTGACAATAAAGCGCCTTGCAACCAAGCAACAACAGGAAGTGGTCTAGTAACCAGTACTTAGTTACCAGCACTGAGTTACCAGAGTACAGTTTTGTCCTCATGAGCTTCCAGAAGATTTGAACCGATCAAAATAGGAATGCATACAATATTAATAATGGCCTAATAGTGTACGAACTATCAGTGGTGGGCACAGTTCCGCTAATCCGCTAACCGCTAATTAGCGAAGCTAACTTTTTCCATATCAGATTAGCTGTTCAGCTAACTTTGAAAACCTTTAGCGGACCAATTAGCTTCCGCTAAATTTTGTTCCGCTAACTGGAAGTCCGCTATAAATGTATAAAAACCTCTGATTTAATGCTAAGTATCGTACGCCATGTGCCACGCCCACACCTATACTGCAGTCCTATGGTGGACGCAATGCTGGCAGGCATCACGAAAAGGTTTGGGCCCCTCCTAGAAGACAAGGAGTGCCAGCTGGCAGCGGCCTTCCACCCTAAGTTTCGCCTGTCCTGGCTGGAAAAGCATAATCACAGCCATCTCAGCAGGGTATAGAAGGCCATACAGACCGCCGTGGAGACAGCCCTGAGGGAGACCGTTGAGGAGGGCAGCAGCACCACCAGCAATGACGAGGATGGCGAAGATGACTTCTTCAGCAGCATTACTCAGCCCATGGAGTGCAGGAGGAGCCACTGGTCATTGAAGTCCAAGGCACAGAATTTGGTGAAGACCTGGCTGGAAAGCAGCTCGAAGGAGGAATTGACTGACGTTGCCTTCTTGAGCAAGCAGGTGTTAATGAACCTTTTCGTTAAGTACAACACAGCCATCCCATCCAGTGCTGCAGTTGAGCGCCTGTTTTCCATAGGCAAGGACATCTTGAGTTTTAAGAGAGCCACCCTGTCAGATGCCAACTTTGAGAGGCTGATGTTCACGAAGGGCAACAATCACCAACTCGAGAAGATGAAGGCGAAGAGCAAGCCAGAGTAAAAGGAGTGTGTAACCCTGGTGTAACCTTAATATTTCTTATTCGTTTAATAAACTGTATGTTGAATGTCAACTACTGCCTTATTTCATTTGTTCATTTAATTATTTATGTTACGCACATCTTGATCATCATCTGGGCCTATACTTTCAAAATTCGCTAAGTGAACGTAAGTATTTACGCTCTATTTTCTTGTCTACGATTGGTGGATTTTGCTTCAAAGGCCGTCAATGATTGGCTGATGAACTTCCGATCTCTTAACTTTTTTTGAAAGTATGGGCCCTGATCTTAGCATGCTACATCTTTTTGGAAAGCTCATTTTCAAGGCTGAAATTTCAGCTCTCTAGGCCTGTTTTTCAGAGTTCCCCCCCCCAAAAAAAAATTAAGCGAAAGCTTAATTTATATATTAAAAGTTAGCGGTTAGCGGCAAATTCTGCTACTTTTTTTTGGTGATTTATTGGTTTAGCGTTATCGAAGCTAACTTTTCAGTTAGCGGATTAGCGGTTATGGAAGCTAACTTTTAGGTTAGCTGTGCCCACCACTGCGTACTATGTAGTGTGACATAATAGTGCATATATAATAGAAATTGGCATGGACTTCATATCCAATGAAGGAACGGTTCTATCATATATATTATTTTAAACACTAGATTTGCAAAGAATTATCTTCAGTGTATGGGAGCATGGTTTCAAATGGTAGTGGAGGTAGTAATTAAGGTTGTGGTGATGATGGTAGCAAGAAGGAGAGTGAAGAAAACATGGAGCGACACAAAGTTGCCTGAAAGCTGAAAAAGAAATGACCAAAAAAGTTAAGGGCATAATAAATTTCAGAGGAGAGGGTTTTTGAGGGTATTTTTGGTCCGGAAAAAAAAAAAATTCATGGGAGTTCGGGGTGGACAGGTTGTATGTTCATGGCTGGTGAGGGCACGGCTGCTGAGGGTAGAGCAGTAGAGGGTAGTGCTGCTGAGCGCATGGTTGTTAAGGGAAGTGCTGCTGAGGGGAGGGTTGCTGAGGGGACAGTTGCTGAGGGTAGGCCTGCTGAGGGTAGAGCTGCTGAGCGCATGGCTGCTGAGGGCATGGATGCTGAGGGGATGGTTGTTAAGGGAAGTCCTGCTGAGGGGAGGGTTGCTGAGGGTAGGGCTGCTGCCGCAGCTGGACATCATTTTGAGTAGGCATGACTATGGCTACCTCAGCAGCACCTGCAATAAGAAGAAGACATGTAAAAGGTGCGTGATATCTGGAGGCTTTCTGCTAGTTAAGTGCACAACACAGTAGTAAAAAAATAGGAATATGCCTCTTAATTGAAGCTTCTAAAGAAACGACAAAGTACAAATGGAATAGAATGAAATCACAGCATACTTGGTAGTAGTGTTCAATATCATGCAGAGACACCATAAAAGTGAATAGGCTAAAAAAATTGCAAAAAAATGAGAAAACTGCCTGTTGTTGCTTTCTGTTACCCCTGTTACAGCAAGGTAATGGAAGCTACCATACCTCTGGCAATGCACATCAGGTAAAATCACTCTGAAAAATGTGTAGGTAGCTCTGGTAATGCAGCTCTGGCAACACACCTCTAGTAAGGCGTGCTCGGTTACGTCGTTTAGCAATGAGGCAGAAGGGGCAGAAGCAGCAGCACAAAACGCAGATGCAGACCAGCAGCACAGCCAGCACTATGCCGGCCAGCACCCACAGCAGCATGGCCAGACTGCAACACAATAATTCTGGTACTATATACTGCCTCTATATACCTACTTATATATACAGCGGTTGGACAAAATAATTGGAACACTACACTCATTAGTACCTACCTTTTCTTTAAAATCCTCCTCTGTCCAAAATATTCGTCAATCATCAGTTTCATTCACCCCTGTATATATACATTATACAAAGTACAAGCAAAGTAGGCTTGTAGTGCATAGGATAGTAATGTGTTGCAGCAATAGTTACTGAAATAAATTTTACAAAAATAAAACAATAAACTCTTAAGGGTTTGGGTGCAGCCACACAAGAAATGGGATGAAGCATACATTTTATGCAAATTTCAGCTTCAATGAATATATGTATAATATTCTTTAACTGGACTGTTCTAAAAGTCAAGTTAAATAGTAAAGTAAAATTATCACAGGGCATTGGTGACACTGTTTAAAATTGTGATTCAATAATGATAATAACGTTTAGAATTGTGACAACAGGGCAATGACAATAACGTTCAAGAATTGTGACCTGGCAATGGTAAAAACATTATAGAAATATAACAGTGCATCATTCAAACTCAATAGGTTGCTTACATCTGTCCAAACAATAAAGAAGAATTAGAAAATTGAATAAAAATCAACTCGTATTTGAAGAAGTTAACTGCCATCTGTGGATCAACTTACTCATGCACAACAACCTCTGGGTCAAAGCAGCAGTGGTAAGCATCTGGTCCATAGCCACAACAGACATATTCACGAGGCTGCTCAAGTTGAGGACAGACAATTTCAATGATTTGTCCAGTACCATTTACTGTTCCACATATCACTGCTGTCCCTTTGGTAATAAAAAGAAAAAAATGTTAGGCATTATAGACATATTGCCATGAGCAGCACTTGGCTGTATTTTCTATGTGCAATCATTGCAAGCAATTCTCACAGAATAATTACTCAGCCTGTATCATGCATATAAATATATAGGTAGGTAAATATTAATTAATTTTATTTTTTGCCATCATGGCTCAAGTACTGAACATCATATCATGATAAATTTTCCTTTTGAATATCTTCCACTTAGAAACTTTCTAAGTGATTTGTTCATTGCTCTACCAAATTTCAAATCAAAGATATTAAAGATAATTTAGAGAAGGTAAAGAAATCTCTGGCCATCTTCAAAGAAGAATTATTAAAAAATTGTTTTGTTTCATTCATCAAAAACTATACAGCAATACCTAGTAGCATTTTATTCATGGTGGAAAATGAAAGACTTTTTTGTTGGACTTCTCTATTGAGTCCTATAAGTAGACCAGCAAGCAGCAAGTATCATTGATGCCAACATTAACATAAATAAGATATTGAACAAAATCTTGAAGAAGATCAGAAAATTAGAAAAGAGCTGATTTACAAAAAATCTCACATATATTACTCTTTCATGGGGATATCATGGAAGAGCATGGTAGTTTTTTTAAACTATTTTCAATTGTACATGCAAATGAAGGCCATTATATTACCAACAAAATAACCTACAAATATTTGGAACAATTTTTTTTAATTTATATCACATTCAAGAATATTGTGGTTGTGGAACCTGAAGACGTGTGACTGTGCCGAATTGTTGTAGTATGTTGTTTTATTTTTTTAGGTTGTTGCAAAACGAAACAAAATTGTTAAGCTTTTTTTAAGACTGCTGTGAATACGGTTTAATTGAACTTTTTTTGTTATGATACGAGTGTGAACTTTTTAATATTTTGATGTTATTAAAAGTTTTTAGGCAGCGTGTATGACCGATATGAAGGTCGTGACCAGAGGACACCACGCATTTCAATTTCAATTTCACATGAAGCCACCAATATAAAGATGCATAATAAAATAATAATGATGAAGCTAATTAATAAGTAAGAATTATCATTGTGAGGCTGTGAGCCAGTACAAAAGCTGTCCAATTCTAGAAAAAATATAACTCAGTACTAGTAGTCAGTACTCACTGCAGACTGCAGTGAGTGACAGAGAGCTGAGAGCACATTTTCTCGTCAACGAAAACATGAAGTCATGGATAGACGGACAGATGGACAAACAGACGGACATGGCAAGCACAATAGTGTATTTTGTTCATAAATGAGAAAATGCACTAAAAAGACCTACACAAGGGCTATTCAATCAATGATATTACAATTTACTAAGTAGAAATGGCCCTCAATGGAGACTGGAGAGTTCATCACATTATCACAGAAATTTTAGTATAGTAAGTATACTGGTCCAAGACAAAGTGTAGCATTTGATTGACAAGCAAAAAACTATGAAGCTGTACAGACATAACTACAAAATTCAGGTTTGATATTATTTTTAACATGAATTGTATGGTTTGGAGAAAGGAAGCACAAGAGTTGTGACAGCTTAAGCCTACTATGTGTCATTGGCAATTGACATTAGCTAATTAGCTATGTGGACACTGGACACTAGGCAAGATTATTATTTTTTATTATTTCATTGTTCTAATAATCCAATTATATATTTCAAATTCATATCAAGGATACATACCAGACTGTATGAACCCACATAAAACTAATACCAATAAAATGCTTGAAATCATTTCCAAAATTGATGGTTGGTGAACCGTGAACTGACTCTCCTTAGACTCCTACACTATTGATTCTACACTATTACTTAAACCTCTCAACCAAACTGAGCTCATTCTGTCATTGGACACAAACTCCCAAACAAAATATAAATAGGTATGATGTCATTTCCTTGATAGGTAATCTCAATTTCTCAAATCTCAATCACCATCATATCAGTGACATCACCTGAAGTCAATTATCAACTTCCTGTGCTAATTACCCTAACTCATAACTCAGGCATGGTGCCATTATATATGCCTTCTTAATGAATAAAATAATGACCATCTACCTAATGCCAATGGGACGCGGGCGTTAGCTTCAGCCTTCAGGGCAAATTAATGAGTATATTTTGTGGGCTATGGAGTTTAGCTGCGCAAGCCGCAAGGCGCAGTCTGCGCTCCAAACAAAACACTTTTCGTAAATCACAATCCCAGTTTTCACTTATCAGCGCTCACTGCTCAGCAGTGACGCTGTCGCTGCTGCTGACGCAGCCGCAGGCATGACTCGCAGCAGACTAGCAGGTGTGCAAGACTACTTTCGCCACGATGGGTTACGCTAATTTCAAGTAGCGAACAATCAAAAACAATCCAGTCTTCACGATACACGTCAGCCGAGACGTAGTATAAGTATACAGTAAGGCCGCGGAAAACACGGCATCACGCATTCTCACAAAACGAACAATAGAATAAATAAAACAAGTAAAAAAACTTTTAAAAATCACGTTTTCTTAACAGACAAAAAAGAAAAACATTTACTCTTACATAACATTTAAGTTATGTAAAATGTTACGTAATGTTATGTAAGAGTAAATGTTTTTCTTTTGTGTCCGTTAAGAAAACTTGGTTTTTAAAAGTTTTTTATTTGTTTTATTTCACTATTTTGAGTTTTGCAAAAACCAGAAAAGCGTGGTTTTCAAAAATATTTTTATATTTATTTATTTTCTACTTTTTAGTTAGCAATTTTAGCAACTCAAATCAATTTCCAGGGTTGGCAAGTGTGGATGTTCGAGAAAAAACTCAATTCCAAACCGTGAATTTTTAGTGTACTTTTAATTTTTTTTGTAATTTTAAAAAAAATTTTAAATTATTATTTCTGATGATCAAATCTTGAATTGTTAGGCAGCATAAGCATACATGGCAAATTTCAACTCACTAGGATGTTTAGAAGAGCTATAAATTAAGGTTTGAATTTTTGATGACAGACGGACACGAAACGAAGTCAAGAAAAACGTGGTAACTTATCTTTGCTTTGCAATGCACGACGCACGTCAGCTGTGACGCAGGACTCCCAGTCCCAAATCATGGTTGAACCCATGTCCCAAATAGTTAATAGTCCGCCTCATGATCATGAGGAATATGAAAGAAAAATGCATTTTAAAATTTTTGATTTGCTAAATAATTGGTTCTCATTTAAAATAGTTTCTGACGGTAGCTGTTAGTTAAATGTATTACAAAAATGTCAAAAAACATAACTAAAAATATATAAAACAGTGTAGTTTGACGTTTCATTCTTTAAAGAGTTGAAACTTGCTGTGCCATTGTCACCAGATCGCATAGCTTCATTGTCAGTATTCAGGAAAATTTTCAGGTCAGGAACGGTATTAGATCAGGAGACGAGCTACGCTCCTGGAACTAATATTTCACAACCGAATCGACACTTCAGCGAACTCGCCTGCGAGCTCGAATGCAAAACCTAACTTCATTTTCAACTCTGGCACTCATAAATCCGTCAATTATGAACAGATTTCATTCAAATTTGAAATATAAGTAGATAATATCAGTAACTTGCGGGGGGAATTTTTTCAGATTTTTACATCAATACGCTGAAGTGTCGATTCGGTTATTTCACAGGGAGGTTCTTCGCTTGCGCCATTTATCTTGGCGCTGGCGAGATAACGTGTGTGGCCAATAGAATGAGTAGTCAGCTAAAGGAAAAAACATACAACTTATCAGTTCCATGAAACAAGATTCAAAATGTGTCGGAAGTGATTCCTAAGTGCAATACTAATACTGCCTTTTAAGCAGCTCGCATGAGTCATAGTGAAGCTAATATAAAGCACGCGTATTATGATACAAAGCAGCTGCGTTTTAATGCTGATAAAGTGATAAGTGAAAAGGACATCAAGAACAATGAACAGCAAGATTGCAGTATGAGAAGACATGATTGCAACGAGAGAGTAATGATTGAAAAGTCTAGAGTGGAAAAATATTTGGGAGTTTATGTCGCCAAGGAGCTGAAATTTTCCAGGCATATTGAAACGCAAGCTAATAAATCCAATAAACTTCTTGGACTGATCAGACGCTATTAAGAGTTTCTGGATGCAGAAGGGATGAAGGAGTTGTTCGCTGCTGTCGTGCGCCTGAACTTAGAGTTTAGAAACGCCGTGTGGTCACCGAAACTTGAAAAGGACAAAAAATTAATAGACAGTGTTCAAAGACGTGCAACAAGAATAATTCCAGGCTTAAAGGGCAAGTCTTATGAAAAATATTAAGGATTACGAAGCTTCCGAGCCTCTTTTATTGACGTCTGAGTGGTGACCTCATTGAAGTATACAAGTATACTCATGGTTTATGCAAGGTCCCAGAAGGATTACTAGAATTTGAAACAAGAACCAACACCAAGGGCCGATGCGATAACATCTATGCGATAAAACTTTTTCTCGCTTCGAATCACCGACACGAGGAACACCCTCCCAGATTGCATCGTTGACGCTCCTAGTACAAACGCTTAACGACTCTGGTACATAATCATACGACTCTGGTAGAAGTCTAGTAACAATTCCAAATTATCGTCAGTTTGGGAAAGATCCGGCCAATGAAACTGTTTTTAGATCTCCTGTGAACAAGTCACGAAAAGTACAAGAATCGGCGACAGGCCACATCAGGCCTACTCTTCAGCGCCGACATCGCTATGATTTTACTAACCTGCTATCGATGGCGGCGAGCATAAGGGTTGATGATTAATGCATGAATTACGTACCTCAGCATCAATTAGTAAATAGGAGTTAAGAGGTGCAGAGGCTCGCTCTTCACTAGTAGGTGAGCACAATAACTGCAAACTAGGTTGGCATGATTGTAAATTTAAAGATCGACAAAAATTTCAACAATAGACATTATTATATATCATAATTTAGTATTTTCATTAGTCTTTATTACCACTATCTCAGACGAGCATGAGTCACTTTCAAAGATTTTGTTATACAAGAGACAATATTGGATTTTTTCCCTTGCAACAGGACATCGATATTATGCTTATTTCCATTGTATGGATACATAAGACAAATGTATTATGAAGCATTCTTATGTATGAAGCCATTGAATTAACAGGCCATTGCAATGAAGCCATTGTATTCTGCATTAATAATGCGAAATTTACCGAAAATCCAAACGGTTAAATTTCCTATTTAAATTCTAGGAATTTGTATACCATTAAAGTTTCCTGTTGAAATGCTAAAAAAATTTATCGTTAGAGATAAGACGTCTTTTGTGATGGCCTACCTAAGATTAATTGGGTTGGAAGCGCATGGAATTGAAGTGTCTGGCTAGGCTGCAAGTTACCGAAAATTCAATTTGGATTCGACAGATCTGGAATATGTGTATTCAGAATTCAAAGAAAGATTTATATAGGAAAAATCTATCGTGACCCCTAGAATAGATATAGCAGCGTAATTAATTCAGAAATCATCTGAAATTTCTTTCCCTATTTATTAAACCCAACTCGTCCAACCCGTTGGGGTTCCGCTCGCTTAACATCTGTGAAGACATTATTTATTTCAGCGAAAATCAAGCTTAATTCAGAGATAAGCTCAGATGACTAAGTTGAAGTCCTTCATTCAAATTGAGTACAAATTAACAAACATATCACAAGAAGAAAATTCTCGAAAACTTTCACCGATGATCCATTGTGAATTGAAACATGTTGGTGAATCTAAAAACAGGATGAATATCCTCTGGCTTCAAATGAAACACTTGAATGGCGGTGATTAATGAGCTCAACCTAGTCCGAATGGTGCCCCAGTATCAATGCTGCAAAAATGCATTATTTCCTAATCGAGTTTTTCACGTTGTTATTAGCATCGCAACATGTGTCCCTGACAACAAAACGTGAATTCCTGTAATTGATGACTACGAACAAAGACACTAGTGATCAAATTGCCGTTCATAGAGAGAATGTTCAAAGTAAATGATCATCAACACAGAACGTCCATTAAAAATCATACAGTGAATAGAAAATTGAAAAGGTCACAGTATTGTTGATTGTGACAGATCGTACCAAGTCGAAATTGATGATACAATCGAAAACATATGCATTGGCTTCGAGGGTTTCGACCTTCATTGTGCAGCAAAGGTTTGTAAAATCGCCGAGTCATTGAAGCTATTGAGAACAATTGATGAATGAATAACATTTATAAAATAAAAGTTGGAACAATTCCTGGAATCATACAGAAATGTGTATTTCCTATAAAAGCTAGTCCACCGTTCGTCGAAGTGAAGCATCAGTCTCTCGTTCATCCTGACAGGAGCAAGAATTAAGGTGCAACCTGAATCTCCTGGTATTTCGGTCAAAACAGATCAATTGGATTTAATAACTAATTTTGCGTCTCTTAACCACTGATAAGTGGATACACTAAAGCCGTACATCACAAATTTGAAGAAAACTACGGCAATGCATCTGATATTAACTGTGGTGGTTTGCTTAGCTTGGTGGGGCGAAGTTAAGTGTTGCAGTGTTAGCAACCTCGTACTTCAAAATAATCAAGTCTACACGTTCACATCGATAAATTTCCCGTATGCGTACCCAGACACGTATCATACGTGCGTTTTTGAAGGCATAGCACCAGTTGGTCAAAAGGTTTACGTATATTGCGACGCATTCAGCGTCATGTATGACAGCAACTGCAACTACGCACGATTCTTCTACTCACCTTCTGGAGATGTCAACTACGCCGACGCCGACATTTACTGTGGCTATTATCTTATGACCTTACCTTATGACCTTATGATGAGTTTAGGACGTCGCAGTCCACGGTCACGCTGATGCGCCGCCTTCGTCGTCCTCCGTCTCCTAGTCGTCGTCGGATGTAACGTTGGACGTGTTCCGTCTATTTTTTTTTTTCGCTTTCTTTGAAATTTTTGTAAAATTTCATTACGCAGTTCGTACATTCATAAGAAGCTCTGGATTGATCGAGCCTTATAAGACAATATATGTCGGCAAATCAGTACATTTTAAATGTATGAAAAACTGGCATTTGCTGCATTGCAGTACAAGAGTCGCATCGCAAAGCTCCTTGCAAATAATGCAGGAACTATCCATAGGGGGTTGCGTAACAACACCTTTAGCCATCTTACCTCGTCTTTCTTACTATACTATTACACTGAATATTTTACACTATTACACTGAATATTTTACACTATTACGCTGGATATCCTGCCTTACACTGCGTTCTGTCCCAGACTGGACAGTGACCACACGCCTTACTGCGTTCTGTCCCTGACTGGACAGTGACCACACGCCTTACTGCGTTCTGTCCCTGACTGGACAGTGACCACACGCCTTACTGCGTTCTGTCCCTGACTGGACAGCGACCACGCGCCTTACTGCGTTCTGTCCCTGACTGGACAGCGACNTTACTACAGCTTAACACTTATTTGTATCAGTGATTTAATGCAAAACACTTGTCACTTAATGTAAACACTTCACTGCTTCACGTATTGAATGCTATAATTTCATTCTACCGATCTGTTTTTCGGTCTTTTCGGGTCTTTTTCATATGTAAAAGAGTAATTTTCTGAACACTTTCACACTGAACAAATTATACTCTTTTTTACCGACTTCCCTTATTTTCCGCCGAAACACTGGATTACATCTCTCAGGCCCAGTCTGTTTAATTAATTAACCACTGCTCATCAAAGAAAAATTATCGTCAACTGTTTACTTCACTGAGAGCCGGCCGCGACACGTACGTCCTATCCCGACGACGTCTAGTAGGGAAGTCCGTCACTGTCCGTCACTTATCCGTCACTGACCTTCACTACCATCACCAATCGAGTGGCACTGAAGTTCGTGAACGCTTTTTATAACTATTACAGTCAGCCTGGGTTCAGGTGCTACATTAGCACGTGGCCTGACGCTACCACTACCACGATTACGACTGGTACGGTTACTCCCTCAACACCAACTACCAAAGCTCCTTCAACTACAGCCCCTACTAAAGCTCCATCTACTACAACCACTGCCAAAGCTCAGACAACTACAACCACAACTAAAGCTCCTTCAACTAAAACCACTACCAAAGCACCTACAACTACAACCACTACCAAAACTCCTTCAACTAAAACCACTACCAAAGCACCTTCAACTACAACCACTACCAAAACTCCTTCAACTAAAACCACTACCAAAGCACCTTCAACAATAACCACTACCAAGGCTCCTTCAACAACATCCACCACTACCTTGGCACCAACAACTGTACCAGGCACCTGTGACTGTGGACGCAAGAAACTAGCAACTCGAGTGGTAGGTGGGCAGGTGGCTGCTACGAACGAGTACCCGTGGATGGTAGGCGTCCTCGAAGTGGGAGACGCAGAACCTTTCTGTGGTGGAGCCCTAATCTCAAGCCAGTGGGTGTTGACTGCCACGCACTGCTTGCTGAGTTTTACTGCAGCAAATATAGAAGTGGCGCTTGGGGCGGACCAGCTCGGGATAAACGCTCAGTCTGGCATACGAGTAAAAGCTTCCCAGCTAATCACGCATGCTAATTACGACCCTAATAACGTCAACAACGATATTGGCTTGATCAAGTTGGTTACGCCAGTGACGTACACCACCACAATCTCACCTGTGTGTCTGCCTTTTAAGTTCCCCAACTCGGACTTCAATGGAACCTTAGGAACGGTAACGGGATGGGGTACGACCAGTTACCAAGGCTCCACGTCGGTGGCTCTCAGGGAAGTTGACATACCCATCCTCAACACGCAGAGCTGCTCCAGTTACTACACGTATCCTACGGTCCTGACGGACAACATGTTCTGCACGCTGCAGGCGGGCAAGGATGCGTGCCAGGGGGACTCAGGCGGCCCCTTGATGGTGCCGTCTGGGGGGCGTCTGTACCAGCTTGGGATCGTGTCCTGGGGGATCGAGTGTGCCACGGCCACCAAGCCTGGAGTTTACACGAAGGTAACCAAATATCTTCAATGGATCGAAACCAACACTGGGGCGAGCTTCTGCAAGGTCTAAACTAAAGCTGCACGACGCATTGTATCGAGAACTTATCACGCATCAATAACTTGAAGGTATAGAGAGCAGATTCAAATTCTTTAATTATACTTTACTGATGAAATCTAAGAAAAGAGTGATTTTGCATATTTTCAAAAGCTGTGGCCATGGCAGACACAATCAAAAATTATTTTAAGAATCAGGTGTCCTGGTAGAATAAAAAAATTCCTAGCCTCGATAGAGCCTTCAAAGGTTAATTTTTACAAAATGTCTAGTGTATACCTGAAATGTTTATGAGTGAACCACAATTTTCTTCCTATGATTGACACTTTACAGAAAATTATTTTCAATTCTAACACAACCTCATGAGCATTTCGTGACGTAATTTAGTATAGGCTAATGGACTGCAATGCAGCTGATAATTTCAGTGGGGAACCACATATTCGGTGATGCAAATTAAATCATTTCAGTAACTAATTTATATTAATATACATATCGTAACAGTAAATGTGGCATGATAAATGTGTTAAGACAAGCAGCATGCTAGATCAGCATGCTAATGAGCGTGCGCTCTGATCACTCGTCCTTTAATTACCATTACACACGCTGAACAGAAAGCTATTCTTCCTTACGTTTATCAAATGATAATGCATTGTATCGAGCTCTATGAATACAATTCATTTCCTTATTGTGAAGTATTATAGCATTATTAATGTAATATGCGCACCGATTTTTTTGTCGTTATCATAGACACGAAATTCGTTTGGAGCTTCCAGAACTCCGTCGGAATTCGGATCGAGTGACAGTGACATTTTAACTAGAAATAATGAGTGTGATGTTAACTAGAACTCTAACGAGTGTGATGTTAACTAGAACTCAAATGAGTGTGATGTTAACTAGCACACTAATAAGTGTGATGTTAACTATAAATCTAATGAGACCGATGTTAACTAGAACTCTCATAAGGACACCATTTGGAGTTAATTTTTGCAGTAAAGGATAAATTGTAAAGGATAAATATTTCCGATATAAAAATTTGTTTTATTCTGCATGCATTAAATTTATTAATAATCAATCATTAATATAATCATCATTGATAAAATCTTTCAGTTCAGGTGGGTTACTAAGGTTTGGAATAAGTAAGCTGTTTAATCCCATGTACTGCTATAATGAAATAAAAATTTAATTGAATATTGAAGTTCTAATTACACCTGTCATTACAGCTTAGTTCTAATTACACCTGTCATTACAGCTTAGTTCTAATTACACCTGTCATTACAGCTTAGTTCTGATTACACCTGTCATTACAGCTTAGTTCTAATTACACCTGTCATCAAAGCTTAGTTCTGATTACACCTGTCATTACAGCTTAGTTCTGATTACACCTGTCATTACAGCATAGTTCTAACCACACCTGTCATTAAAGCTTAGTTCTAATTACACCTGTCATCACAGCTTAGTTATAATCACACACCTACATATACCATTAAAGGGCGCCAGGGATTTATTGCAAACATATTGCTTATGATGTCATAATTTTAATAAATTTTGCGTTAATGATTAAGGCTAGGACAACTAAAGAACCATAACATACGACACGCATAAAAGAGCACGCCCTGTGACACGCATTCACGCACTTCAACGATAGGACTAGTGGAACTATCTATTATAATGTATAGAATGAATAGGTAACGCCTGCAAATTAATGTCATTAATATATCAAAATGAAAAGTCGAAAATAACTAAGTTTTAATATTTCTACAACGAATAAAATTTTAAATACTTGTTTATTAGGTATTTCCATCAATTAATAGATTTGTAAGGATTATGTAGCAAGCAATATAATACCACAAAATATTACTATTGAAGTGCAATACATTAACATATAGGAAAGGCTTAATAAATGAGCAATCATTCGAGCAGAAAAAGGTCGAGTTATAAAGATTTTTACGTTTTAAGAACGAAAGTCCCAAATGTTTCAATTGGAGCCACTGCTACTCGACTAAAGTCATCTCACCACCAAATCATGACCACAGAAACCAAAGATCCGCAAAACTGAACAATAAAAATAATTAAAGATCCTGCCGCAACATGAATACCGTTTGACCATATATAGACACAGAGTGCAGCTCGCACTTTGTTAAAACAGAAAACAATCTCAAAGGGTAATTCTGTCGTCAAAAATGGTGTCGTGTCGAGAAAGTGAGCACGAAAGCTTTTAAAATGTGAAATTCAAGAACCATTAGAATTTTTTATTGTAGAATTCGGGTTTCAACGCGTCAGAAAATTTACAAGATATTACAAGGGATTAAGCGGCATCGCAGTTCGTCGCCAGACACGCCATGTACTGATGAATCTGCAAAGCAATTAAAGTCTGAGTTAATTAAGCACTGACAACGCAAATCTGCATGACGGTCTCATTTACATTTGTGTCTTAATTGTGGGCTTCGATTCCTTTCGTATGTGCTTCTTAAAGACCAGCAGTGCCAGTTAGTCTTGTTCTCACCAGCAATTGTTATGCTCCATGAAATAAAATATTTATTTTGGTAATGGAATTTGTAGTGTTTCTCGTGACTTTCTTTCAACAAGATTTCTCAAATAGATTCCCATATGACCTATTTTTTCATTGGCGTTAATAACAAACATCAGACAATAATGCAAGACAGGCCCTCCACGAAGGAAGAGATGCAAGAAAACATGACAGAAGTGAATAAGGGAGAAATAATACTGAGGAGGAATTCAACATATGAGTCAGGTTTAGTCAAGTTCAACATGTAAGTTGGAGCAACTTTGGATTGAACTTGCTTTGAAGTTGCTGAGAGGTTCGGTGGGGCAGCTGTCGAGGCCGCGTTTGATTTTAGCCTCCTCGCCGCTGCCGACCGCCCGCCGTGCAATGGAGCCCTTGAACGCATCCACGTCAAAACTGCCATCCGCAGCTACCTGTGTAAACACAGCATTATTGCTTAACGCTTTGAACGCAAAAATCAAGCTTAGTAAATTAACCATATCTTCATAAAAACATTTCGGAGACCAGCTCAACCATCAGTTCGAGAAATTTTTGAGAATTCGAATACAATCAGTAGTGAAAATCCAAATCCACACGAATAAGAAAAACCCTACAAGTTCCCAAAAACGAAGCGTAAAAACTCATCAATTTCTAATTTAAATGGGATAAGAAGTTAAGAACTGTACAAATTTACATTATCTTGAAATCGCTCTCGGACACCGCCATCTCGCACTGCTCATTATGAAGGGGTACAGCAGATCGAGTGAGAAGGAATATCTTACAAATATTGACCATAAATTTTGGCGTGTGCTATTTTTTTTGGAATATGCGGGTATTATTGATTAAATATAACATTCAAGCCATTGACATTTAACAGGATGGGCGGAGCTGGACATAGTGTGCCAGTTTTTTTATGCCACGCATATAGGGCCGCACTAGCAAAACTCGACCAAGTACACGTAACGGCCTAAATGCGCATAGCGGATTAATTGCTCGTAGCCGTTCAAATGGTAAAGGTAGCGGCTGATTTCTCTTCTGTGATTGGTTTGTTAATCTTGAAAAGCCGTTAGTGATTGACTCATAAAGTTACAACTATTTTTCATAGTTCGTCCCCCGGCTTTCTTAAGCCTGTCAAGTGAAACTCTTGCTCCTGATTCAGATGACTTTCAACGGGCCACAGCTCGGGCCTATTTAATCTAAGCATAACATTTTACATAAATTTATGCTCGTATGAAGGTTATAGCTTTATTATTAAAATATATTACACCTACGAAGCATGGGTTGCAGTTTAAAGGCACATCAATGGACATGCAGTTACTCCAGCATTATTTGCAATTACTCCAACGCAACTCCGAAAGCTTCAAGCTTTATTGTACTTTCCAATAGCGCTTTTACTCATAAGCCGCTATTTCAAGTAAATAATATCCAAGCATACCGCCAATAATTTCTATTCCATTATTTTCCTGCATGATGGATTTCATAAAGTAATGCATAAACAAGGCAATAAGTCCAGCAGCTATCTCAATCAATCATCAGTTATGGAAAGATCGGGTTCCAAAAGCCGGATCCCTTGTGAATCAAGTCACGAAAAGTACAAGAATCGGCAACAGGCCATTGGCCTATTTCTTCAGTGCCGACACTTCTATTCTATTCTGTAACATAATTACGTTATACATACGTATCCCATCTTTCCTGCGATGCAGACTTGTAACTTCTTGAGCTTCTCTTTGAAGATAACGGGATCCGGGTGAGATCCATCTTAGAAAACACATAAAATATATTAAAAAGAACGAAGTCCTATAGAAGAAACAAAGTTTTATTAGGTATTTGCAAACTTCTCCGCAAATGCCACTTATTTATACGCGTGTGGTTAATGGACAGAGAATTTGTTTATTTAAATTATCAGACAGTCAAAGAAATTTTCAGTCTGGTCATTAATCGCACTTGTATAAGCAAGCAAATTCTGTCATCTAATACTAATTACCACTTATGTGTACTAGAAATCACTGCAGTACAGTACAAGTTATTTCTTCTATTTGTACTGAAGGAAATTCCAGTAAAAAGAGCGAAATCATAATGGTATAGAGTGATTGGCTTTGGAATTTTACATTTATTCGGGTCGTAATGAAACGTTGCTAACTTTTTTGCGGCTTTCGACAAGTATAGACTTATTGCACCCTCAGGTAAAATCAGTGATTCCGTTGAGCAATTCATCATAAAAATAAAACAACCGAGTTAGTTCGCTCGTTAGAAACAAAATTGGAAAATCATCATGGGAATCGAATGCATTTTTAATGATCAAAGTTTGAGTTTACCCACCACCGGAAGCGCTGAAAACTTGAGTGAAGTGAAGCTCACTCATACACGCGTTCATGCCGTCCCTCATCTCAACCTGGATGCTCTTTGACATCAGGGCTTTGACGCAGTCCGGCATCCTTCCGCTGTAAAAAACTTGTTTTGTATTTATTTGTATAAGAAGTCACTGATAAAGTTTAAATATTTTCATAGGTTGTAACATGTGTTCAGATGAGCGGCCAAAAACTCAGGTAATCGCTTAACGTTACGTCGTGAAAACCAACCGTTTTAACGGTGCATGCGACAATAATGTAACGTGACCTCGTAGCTAAACTTATTATCCCTCTTCCGCCTGACATAAGTAACCGAAGCAATATTGTCACAAGCCTACTTCCGAAAAAAGATACGTTTTAGTGAGCGCAAAATAACTTACACTGATGGTTGCCGCCACTACGACAACTTTAAAATGTTCTCTGTTGCGTACAAACGTCGTCAGGTTGCTACACTCAATAGTTTACGTATAGTTTAAGTTGAAAGTTATGTTCCCGGAGAGTGACATACGGCGGTAGAGGGTTAAGATATTCCCGAACACTGATCACATGCGATCTCTCGGTTACGTTGCTAGAAACACCTTAGATATTCGGTAACAGGGGAGCGGTCATTGTAGTATTGACCACTACAACATCGTCCATCAACAGGCACTCGTGTGTTATATCGCCCATTAAAGTCACTTTCAGGTAAAATGATTAGCTTGCCCTTTTCTTCAATTAGGCACACAAATTATCTTCGGAATTTGAATTTGGTTACAAATTCCACAAAACTCATCAGGGCTACGAACCCATGAAATTCAGTTCGGAAAATCAGGATAACTTTGAGTTCCTAAAGAAATATGGGTTCTTTGTATTCGCATTCACACATTTGTATTAGCATAAATATTGCTTATTCTTTGTTATCCTGATTAGTTAATCAATAAAATTTTGTGTTCCTGAAGAAGTTTTGGTAATTCGTTTTTATTGTTTTGGTACTCACTTGCTAGCGACGGGAGATGGTGCGACGCTGGTCGCCACGGCGCAAGCCAACGCTAGAATAACAACTGTACTCTTCATCGTTAGATAAAGCTTGATTTTAATAACTGATGGGAAACACATTTGATTTGAATAACTCATGGGAACAAATCTTGCAAACTTTTCAACATGCAGGTATAATTTTCAGTACAAAATATCAAATTATTTCACCATTTTCACCTGGACTACCAAACGCGGGACTGTTGGAGCCGCAACATGCACAGTTTGTGGTCCGTGAATGACTCGCTTTATATTGCGACTGACATACATACACTGCATTCTGTGTACAAATGTGGAGTGATTCATTTATGATGACCCATTGTGGCTCTAATTGTGGTCGCTTTTATGTCGTTCAGTTACGACAATTCTCCACGTCGTTATATCCTATAATCACCGTAATTGCCATGAGAGTAGGAGTAAGTGAACACACACGTAAGTGGGAGCGCTGTTTACTATGATACTAGGTGACGTGATTGGTTTATAATATATTTTTGCTATAATATGATGAATTCCAAGCCTATAGAGCTTGCCATACGCAATTCTGCACAATGTATTGGTTTAGAAGTGTAACTTTTTCAAAATAAAACATTCGCATTTCGTTACCAACGAGGCGCGCAGGGCTGACTCTCTCTTCGTCAGACGTGTAACAAAATTGCTTGGTGATAAATACTCGTAACTTTTCTTGGGTAGAACAAAGTTGTCCTGTTATTTGCAGTGCTTTCTATTACCAGTAATATAATTTGTCAACATTTGTCAACAAATGTGAAGACATGCGATGTGTTAAGTGTACTCGCGTAGCTAGCAATAGTTCGTTAAAAAGCAATAGAGTTGTTCCGTGAACGTGTATACGTATTACCATCCTCTGTAATGTTTCAGAGTAATGTGAATGTAATTTAAATAATACAGAGTAATGTAAATGTTCCAAAGAGCGATCGAAGTTCGATGCACCGTTGGTCGAGACCAATTAACGTTAATTATTCATTGTGTGAAGTGTTTTGTTCATTTCTGTGCAGTGTTTATTAGAAGGGTCAATACATAATTATATGAATATTAATAGTTTGATTGATATATTTTTATTGAGGATGTCCTGTGATTATTGAGAAAAACCATAATATATGCACAAAGAATGTATAGAATGTCCTGTCCAACAATCGTTGGATAAATTTCATCACGTTTATAGATCAAAACACGTTCGAAATAAAAAAACATAAGAAAGAATTCTTTTGGTTCGTTTTTAATGTCACGAAGCAGTGATGAGTGTAATTGGTGCCATGCAGTGCGTGTAATAAACGTTCAAACGTGCACCTGCAGGGTAAGGAAAGTCTGGACAATTAACATTGTTTATTTTTTTTTTTGGTTTACAAAGATTTTTCCTTAAAACATTGATACGTGCCATGGAAACTAACCTAGAAATGAATGAGGAATTTTCCTTATGAAATTGATGTACCTGTTTCCAATGAACGCCCTGTGAATGACGATCCGTGGACTGAAGATACCAGGGCATAATTATATATCTTGATATTGTATCTTGATATATTATTACTAATGAAGAAACTTGGACTATCAGATCAGAAATTGATCAGAAATTATGAATTGTGGAAATTATGAAACAAATATGATAACGCGCGTCATTTTCCCGTAAGTAACAATTATTTATTAGACATCAAGCACTAACGTTTCCAAACCATAGTCATACGGAAGCTTCGAACTTAGGCATGATGCTCAGTTGAATTTTAAATTCACATAAAGAGATCATTCATCACACAAAGAGATCATTCAGTGCCCATTTTATGGCAGAACCTTTATTAAAACGAGGAATTATTGTGGCCATACAATACACTTCAAAATAAATGTGTGGTCCGCTGTGGAGACCACAGACTCGATAGCAGCGAAACACGCAAAAATTACTTATATATGTCGGCCCCGCTAAATTAAATATTAGCCATAACCATACTTAAACCTAACATAGAGCATTATACTTACCCTGTCGATTTTTTATTACAATTCCCTACTTAAGAAAATAATCTCCGTTAAAAAACGTACACAAACTTTTTTCGCGCTTTTTTATTATCATTATCGCCGGGTCTTCAGCCATATTATGACTTTGAGATCAACCTTTGGCTATTGTTGGAATCTTTGGCTATTGTTGGAATCAAGCTTTGGCTATTGTTGGAATCAAGCTTTGGCTATTCTGTATGAACTTCTCACCTCTGCTATTGCACAACAGTAATGTCCAGTAATCGCACGTCGATAATCCCACTGGACACGCGATTAACGCGTATATGCGCGTGAATTGCAATCCGATAGCAGGTATGCACAATTCGGAACTAATCTGAATATTCTTGATACAAATCGTACAAATGTCATGTTACCATAATAATAAATATGTCCTTATATCTAGGGAATATCCTAAATCCATTAAGAAACGTTTGAATAAAAGTCTGCTTCTCATTTTGGGAACTTTTGAGTCACGAGAAGAAACTCAATGCTAAAGAAGTTCCCAATATGAACTGCATACTTTTCAAGCAAACTAATATATTTATATCTATAAATATTCAGCATATATTTCACCTTAAAATTCTTTGGTATCACATTGGCGGCAGGGTTATAACTAGGATTGAGATAATTACGGTTTCTATCATTAATTACATATTTAACTAAAAAACGTATTTTAGGATGATATTTGCTGTTTTATTACACATCACTGGCATGCTATATGATATAAGTGAGCATTCTTCATAAAGGAGACTAATGCACTTATAGCCCGACAATTACTTGCCTCCGCAAAGTAACATACCCCCTTAAGGAAAGTCTCAGTATCACTGCCCTCATTAAGTACCAAAGCCCCGTAACGTAACATACCCCTTAAGATAAGTCTCCGTATCACTGGCCTCATTAAGTAACATAATAAGTAACTTCTCAGTGGCAAGTGGATGCCACTCGCCATATGTGCAGCCCAGGTTGTCGCCAGGTCGCCAGTAGTGGCAACGCGGCGTCAGGCGCAGAGATGGCAACAACTCAACGGCGTGTAGCGTGCGACAACGGTGGAGCATCAGCACCAGGCCTGTCGTATGTTAGAATAGAATAGATTAGAATGGAATGAAATAAAATGGAATGGAATGGAATAGAATAGAATAGAATAGAATAGAATAAAATAGAAAAGAATAGAATAGAATAGAATAGATTAGAATAGAATAGAAGTGTCGCCACTGAAGAAATAGGCCCATGGCCTGTTGCCGATTCTTGAATTTTTCGTGACTTGATTCACAAGGGATCCGGCCTTTGGAACCCGATCTTTCCACAATGTTGGATGATATACGTTGCTGGTACGATATAGCCATGATGGATATTATACCAATGTTTATTTTACCACCTAGCCATTGTGAATGGTATATTTTTCTCACGCGACTGAGCCTCCTATGTTGTATCTTATAAGTTCACGATACGACCAAGTTTATGTTGGTGATGCCATCAATCGAAATGCTGGCGATAAAACCATATTTTATGGAGATGAAACTTCCATATTGTAAGTCACTTTAAACCAAAATGATGCAAAAATGCACAAGAGATCATATCATGTTGTGTATGAATTTACTTGCTACCATTACCGAAGTTGTAAGGACAGCGATGTTGTTTGTTGTAAAGAATATCACGTATTCAATTGTTGGAATTATATAATTATATCTTCAGAAAATATATCCAGGTGGTTACCGTTGCTTGCATTTGCGTTCCTAAATCATTAATAACATACAGGTAATTACCAACAACATCAGTTTTATTAATTGTGTTTTTACACACCTTGTGTACGGGTGACAACACTCACCCAGGAAGCCAGAGCTGGGGGGGTAGGGGTGCAGGGTGAGGGTGACAACACTCACCCAGGAAGCCAGAGCTGGGGGGGTTGGGGTGCAGGCGGGTGTGGGTGGCGGCCTGCATGACACCCCACAGGCGCCACATGCTGGCGGGGTGCAGGAGATGCAGGCGCTCGTGCGGCAGCATCAGCCGACGCCGGAAATATTCAGGGAAGAAGTCGAAGTCTGGGCGTTGGTACCACTGCAACGACCAAAACTTGACTAAGTTGGTACCACTGCAGGGACCAAAACTTGACTAAGTTGGTACCACTGCACGGACAAAAAACTTGACTAAGTCTGGGCGTTGGTACCACTGCAAGGACCAAAACTTGACTAAGTTGGTACCTCTGCAAGGATAAAAACTTAACAAAGTCTGGGCGTTGGTACCACTGCAAGGATCAAAGGTTAATTAACATGTTAAAATAATACAACTGCGAACTGACCGCAGGTATCCATATCCGTTCATTTGCATAAGCTGAGTTTAACAAATTTTCTAAGCGGTTTGCATTCTTTCTCAGCATACATGCTGAGTGTTTTGTATTGGTAGCCTGACAATTTAAAGGAGTGCGATTCATTAGGAATAAATCAATTCTCAAAATACGGTATAAATATTTTGAGTCGATAGAACTTACACTCGTGGCATTCGTATGTCAGCTTCACTAAACTGAAGTATACCGTTTAATAACATAACGGAATACCAGTTTAAAAATTCTTGCAATTTGGTGTAAAAATATCGGTACATAAATCTTCATAATCTTGCGCTGCGCATACTTATATGCTTTCAGAACCCTGTAGAACTCAATGTCCAATAGCTCATTCATACTTACCAAATCTAAATGAAGTTTATATTTCAATGACCTAGCCCTATTGCTATGGTTGCGTCTATATAATTTAGCATTAAATAAATTATTGATTTGAGACTTCCAGCTCAAAACTAACCTCGTTAAGAGACGCCGAGTAGTTAGAGGATCCCAGACTAGGATCGTAACGTTCCTGTAGAGGCTAGAGTCCCAGAACTTGTCAAAACTAACCTCGTTGAGAGACGCCGAGTAGTTAGAGGGATCCCAGACTAGGATCGTAACGTTCCTGTAGAGGCTAGAGTCCCAGAACTTGTACTCAGGCTTGGCCAGGATTTGTGAGTTGACGATGCGCAGCGTCGTCTTGCTGCCCACGTCGCGCTTGAACCCGCGCACAGGCGCATGGTTGAAGCGCACAACCGCGTCATGTGAGTCTGGACCATGAGGAGTCATGAGGGCTTATCAGTTATGCTGCGTCATGTGAGTCTGGACCATGAGGTATCATGAGGGCTTATCAGTTATGCTGCGTCATTTGAGTCTGGACCATGAGGGCTTATCAGCTATGCTGAATTTTGTATGTGGCTCGACTACGGAAATTATCTTCAAAGCAGGGACGTTGAATCATGAGAATTAATGTTTTTATGTCATCACTGCAAGGCATGATCTAAAAAAATAACTTTCATAAATCACCTAAATTCCTCCTTATTTTTATGTAATGTAACAACGCTTTTTCAAGCCTCTAGGTCATCACTGTAAGGCATGTTCTAAAAAATAATTTTCATAAGTCACCTTAAATTCTCTTTAATTTTATGTAACGTAACACCGATTTTTCGAGCATCAAATATACGCTAAACATAACGACGACTATCACGCTAACTCAAGCTCCTTAACTATCCATTTCATTTGCAAACATTATCTGCTGTTCATAATAAATAATATCATTATGGTGAATAGCATCACCATTCGTCATCACCTATAAACTGGCTATCACTATCATTATCACCATCAATCATCACCTATAAACTGGCCAACACTATCATTATCACCATTAATCATCACCTATAAACTGGCCAGCACTATCATTATCACCACTAATCATCACCTATAAGCTGACCAACACTATCACTATCACCATTAATCATCTCCTATAAACTGGCCAGCACTATCATTATCACCACTAATCATCACCTATAAACTGGCCAGCACTATCATTATCACCACTAATCATCACCTATAAACTGGCCGAGCCCCGAACCCTTGAGAGCGCCGGCGGAGGACACCACCACGCAGGAGTTGAAGTGCTGTCCTTCCAGGACGTCAGAGGACGGGAAGTGTCGAGCTAATCCTTCAGACGTGAAGGGTTCATCCCCATCCCTGAGGGTCCGCACTTCAGCCTCCTTCAGCGCCTTCAGCAGCTCGGAGCGGGAGGGGGCCTGGGGGTACAGGGCGCTGGGGTCGAGCCCTTTCTCGGGGTCATGGGGTTCCTTGCGAGGGTATGTCACCCCGTAGCGATTCTCGTGCTGGAAAGTGCAACTAAACTATAACTTGTGTTTAATTTACTTGAAAAAATTCGATTAACTCGTGCTGGAAAGTGCAAGTGAAATATGATTTGTATTTAATTTAATTGAAAAATTCGATTAAGTTCATCATTTCAGTCAGCCTATCACTATCTTAGATAAATTTTTTGTTTCCTCCAATCACGTCATGCGAATCTTTACCATAGTTCCTAGTTCATTTAAACCAGACGCCACGATAAATGCTTCGCAGAATAATAATAATAATCACAATCTGAAAAATATTATTATTGTACTGGAGCGCCCCAACAGCCCCTATATACAATATCCCGACACGATAAGTATCCAGGATACGCCCCCCAACAGCCCCTATATACAATATCCCGACACGATAAGTATCCTGGATACGCGCCCCAACAGCCCCTATATACAATATCCCGACACGATAAGTATCCTGTCCCCAACAGCCTCTATATACAATATCCCGACACGATAAGTATCCTGGATACGCGCCCCAACAACCCCTATATACAATATCCCGACACGATAAGTATCCTGGATACGCGCCCCAACAGCCCCTATATACATACAATATCCCGACACGATAAGTATCCTGGATACGCTCCCCAACAGCCCCTATATACAATATCCCGACACGAGGTTCATAACTCAAAAAATTTAACAAATAAACGTACGGTATGCAAGATGAGCAGCATGATAGCCAAAGATAATGGGACAATAATATAAATGATAAGATCAATATAATAACCAAAGATAATGAGAAAATAATAATATATATAAGATGAAGTCAATAATAGGAACCTTGTATAGGATATTGCCGCCGTCCATCTGATAGGACCTGAGGTTGGTGGTGAGGGCCGCCTTGTGCCTGCGTATCACCGCCATGAGTTGGTCGTAAGGCATGGCCGTAGTTGTCGGCACTCGAGGTTCCTCTTGGTCATCATCTTCTTCCTCTTCCTCTTCTTCGTACGCAAGTTTACGGCGTTTTTCACTCTTTTTCTTGTTTTTCCTTGCGCGGACGTTGAATCTTGAGTCATGATAATACGTTTCTTTGCGGGCATTGTTTCTGGGATCGTCGATCACAGGGTTACGGTTGTTTAAGTTGTAGATCTGCTCGATCTGTCGGTCGCTGGGCATGAACGTCATGGGCAGGAAGCTACCGGGGTCGTCGGTGGCGGGGGCGTGAGGCTGTAGCAGGGGGCGGCCACGACGCACCTGGATGGTCTCGTAGCCATCTGTGCAAAAAACATTTACTCATTTTACAGTATCAGTTATAGATTATTTTATAATTACGTAATATATTATTATATATTACGTAATTACCGTACTATTTATTATTATACTATATATATATATATATATAGTATAATAATTATACTATACTAAATATATTACCGTACTTTTATTACGTAATATAAAATAGTACGGTAATCGTAATTTAAAATATAGACTCAGAAGATAAATAAATAATAAGAACTTTTATTGTGTGATGACCCATATATAGACTGTATGGCTTCGTTCTCGTCTCGCCGTGATTTAAAACAATACAGTTATCAATTATGCTTCTACTTATTCTGCTGAATAGTGGAGAAAAGAATGAAAGTAGAGTTTAAAAATCGATATCCCAACTCCAGCGTAACGTAAATGATGTCAACACAAGTACAAGTAATTTCAATACAAATGCAAAACATCCAGCTGTGATGAAAAAAAAATCACCGTTTACGCCATCAGAATTGATGTACCAATACTTTGCATTATAGTACTGAAATTATAGTTATTTACATGAAATTATTACATTTACAGGTTAAAAATAACAAATTTTTCAGCTTATATTACATTTATAGGCTGGAATTACTACATTTACAGGCTTAAATTGGAGATATAGTATAGACTAACCTCTGGTAATTTGTGGTAGGAAGGCTCTGGCAACGTTGTACTTCGCTGCGGTTGCCATGTACACATTCTTGTCCCCATTGTACTTCCAGTACTGTACCCACAGCAAGTACATGTACCCAGCCATGCCAAACATCATCACGTTCACCATCATCACCAACCACAGGCCCACCGCCCGCATCACGTTTCACACAGCAACACTATTATGGTGATGTGTACATGTTATTTCCACACAGCAACACAATTATGGTGATGTGTACCTACATGTTTTTTCCACACAGCAACACAATTATGTTAATGTGAACATGTTTTTTTCCACAAAGCAACACTATTATGGCGATGTTTACATGTTCTTTCCACACAGCATCACTATTATGGTGATGTGTGTTGTGTATATGCTCTTTCCTGCAGGATATAACACAATAAGTTATCCTGTAGCGGTCATAATCCTGACGCATTTGCACCGCAAGGATGAAGTCACTTTAGCCAATCCTTCGCATTAAGAAAGCCTACGCCTTAAGAAATCCTATGTTGCAGTAGGATTATAGTGATCAGCATGAAAGGAGTTTTACAGAACAAGTTAGTTATTTATAATGCAAGAAGTTTGTATTCAAATTAAAGTGAAACAATACAAAAAATGAAGCTGTGTAACATTGACCTTAACGAGTTGTGAATACCGAACGGTCATTGGAATAACGGCCATCAGGTGAGATGTAACTTGTGAAGGATTACGGCCGACCTCGCTACAAAGGCTTAAAAATATTATTAAAAATGTAACTAAATTGATTGTTTTCGGATAATATTTGAAAATAGATTCTACCCGTATTTGATTGTCCAAAATTTGCTTCTTCATTTATAATCTCTCATGAGTCTCATTTACTGGAATTACTTTAATTCTTAAGTTATTCCTAACGTCAAGGCAATTTAAAATTATAACTTTCGAAGGGAAGATAATGTGGCCATAAAATCTATCCCTGTCCGCCATGGTCAGGAATATTGCAATACATGTAACGGCGGCCATACGCGTTCCCTGTATAGGCTTTTTCAGTTATTTATCATGAATAGACGTATCACATTACTTTGATATCATCGTAGAAAATAAAAAATGTTAAATCCTAAATAAAAAAATCAATGTACCTACAAATATAATTTTTTCTTTACGACTGTCATCTTGCACCTCGGAAAATTTATTTGCTAAAATGTTTAGAATTTAGATATGTTCTCGATTTTAGCGGTTTACACTTTACACGATCGACGGTGGAAGAGCCCGAAACTAAATTCATTAATAAAATTAAATACATTTACTAATACGTGCATATCCTTATATAAATCTCAATTGACTACTGTTTGGCTTAATCATCAGATTTCTTCAGGAAGCATTTGCACTTCACACCCATGATTATTGCAGGCTAATCAGTTATTCCAGTAATGAAGGGTTATACTAAATCTGCCACACCGCAGGAGCAGTCGGCACGTAGGCTATAACATAACCCACAGCCACGGCGACGCGTGCGTCACTGGCAGACGACGCTGAGACGCAACTGATTACTGAACAAGTCTTTCCCTTCAAGTTTGCTCAGCGCCGCTCCATTCTGTACGAAAGATTATTAACATTAAATAACCTGATTAATTCATGAACGCCATGCTTCAAAGAAATTTAATAAGCGTTATTTGAGGATGAGTTTTATTAAAAATTGTGATATGAAACAAGGGATAGCAGAAACCTCTAAATCATGTAATATTCGTCGAAAATTTGCACTCTAAAACCTACTTTCGGGAGTATGTTTAGAAAGTAATTCATTCATAAGTTCAAGAAAATGGAAACAAAAACTGCTGGGTAATGTTGGACATATTGACTTTTGCGGAGCATCCTGGATATTGGGTTAGACGAATTCAATGGAAATCGATAAGAAAGGAAAATTATAAATGGTTGGGGTGACTGAACTAAAAGAGGCTTTGCGCTTGGGAGTGAAGTTGATCGGGAAAAAGAGGAAGAAAAATCATAACATCAGTAGAGATGTTATCCAGTAAGAATGTGTTGATAAAATTAAATGACAATTATTTAATCACATTATTTCTTAATCACTAGAAATCGTATCGAGTAATATGATTTGATTAACGAATGTGTGAATGAGTAGTGTTTGCCACCACACAACTTGATCGAACAGACGTCGGGTAGCAGCACTTTGTAACGATCACAATTTTTTAGTTTGTTATTTAGCGCCATCAGGAACAGAAACTTCTGTTTGTTATGTATACCTGCACTTCCACATTTATGAGCTTAATAACTAAATATGGAAACTTCATAGAAAGGCAATTATTTATTCTGACGGCCTCATGGACTAAGATAAATAAACTAATCGCATAAATGCTCTCATATTTTGTGGAGCGCTGGCATAATTTTACGAGGGTCAGCCTAATTTCTCTCGACTCTTGACAGTCGCTTGCCTGACCATCGCTGCGTCCGTCTTTCAGCGGGCGAGGACTGCATCTCTGGCATGCAAAGCATGCAACCGCAAGTAGCACTGTAGCAGCATGCAGGAGCTGGATGTAGCGCAGTGGGCAGGGAGCTAGAGTTAAGCATGGTTGTGTACTAATTAAGAAACTGAACTGATTAGGAGACTGAACTAAATTGTGAAGCCCATAAAGTGCCAATTGAAAAGGTACTCTGGGAACTATAACTCAAAACTCTGTCGTGGGGTTTAGATTGGACTAGTCTTCAGAGGCTCTCGCAAATCTGAAAAAAAAAGAAGAAGAGTTGTAGCGCAGTCGGCACAGTTGCCTAGGAAAAAAAAAGCAAACCGCATCAACACCCATATGAAATAATTTTGATTATTATTTGCACTTTGCATGTGACTTCTTAAAGATATTAGATGATGGGGACTGCTTATCTGAAATACAGCACAGGATAACTTATAGCCCCTGCAGTAATGTCGAGTTTTAGGAAAATATAAATTTTAATAAGACAGTATCGTTGTATGCAATTGAATACCACAGATATAGTTTAATGTTGATATTAAAAAAAACATTCTAATCTATTTATTGAAAGCGGTTTGATCCTATGCAATAGAACAGCAGTATATCCCATCAGGCCACACCATTGCGCACATTGCATGCCGTAAAAATAGCAGCAGCTAACTTTTCTGATTTCTCGTCAGTCGTCCATTGGCATTCTCAAGACTTGCCTGAGGAACGGTGCAAGCACTGGAACCTGGAACTCGGTTCAACAACCACCAGGAGCAGTTGCCAAGTACTCATTTTTTCTTCGGTCACTTGAGCGTTAACTAATAAAAAATAGATCAATTCGTTTAAAAATGTGTGCATAATTTTTAGGAAAAAAATGAAAATGCTAAAACAATCGAGTTTTGCATTATATTACTTGAACAGTTAGCATATGAGAAGAAATTATTATTAAGGTCATCAGGCAACCGAACTTCCTGTTCAAGAAAGACAGCGGCGAGAGTTTAGTATGCGTGGAAGTGTTGGTGGTTGTGCTGCGTAATATTTGTGCGCATAAATGGTTGTCAAGTGTTCTTGGTTACTTAGGTACTTCACCAAGTAGAATATAGAACATATGTATAGTTTATTGTTCGCTTATGACGCTTTAATGCAGGCTTTTCTCGCCGACTGGCAACTAACATTGTATCTCGCTATAATTAAACTGGTTTTTCTAAGGTGTCCGGATTTTGCTGGTTGGGAAACACTCCAAATTATGTTTCAAGGGAAATAATTGAGACTCTACACCGGAGCAAGTGTTTATGGGGAATGAAGACCAACATTTGGTCAAGAAGTTTGCAGTTTAGGCATCGCTAATTCTTACCGGCATATATATCACGACACCAGTAGAGCCAGTGGCCACGCACGATTTCTCTAAATGCCTTAATCGACAGTCGCCTGTTTTGTGGTTTATTCTATCGTTAATATAAACATTCGGTTGCCAATTTTGAGTAAAAGAATTAATTTAGGCCTTTTCTGCTCATAATTAACATTCTATATTATATTACTGGATACAGCTACCTAGGTAAATTATTTGTTATTCTCACATCGAATCTAACTACGTACCGTCAATTGCGCTAAAATCATCAATACACCGATAACGCCCCTCAGCAGTTACTGCACTTAGCGTACCTCGCTGCTCGTCAGTCGTCACTAAAACCCGTATAATACTCGTCAGAACTACGTTTTGTAGGTTTGGATTACATTATAAGGTATTATTGCAGATTAACTACATCCAAAAAAAAGGGTGTTTTTTTTTTAATTATATGTTTTTTGGGGTGTAGATTACGAATCTGAAATCCATTTTTGGCGGTCGGCATCGGAAAACCGATTTTTTTCGCGTCAAGATGTTAGGCATTTTTAGCGCGATTTTTGGGTCGGAAAAAAATCGGTTTTCCGATGCCGACCGCCAAAAATGGATTTCAGATTCGTAATCTACACCCCAAAAAACATATAATTCAAAAAAAAACACCCTTTTTTTTGGATGTAGTTAATCTGCAATAATACCACATTATAATAATTATGAAGCTGTTTCAATATCGCCAGAAGTTGTGGTTCGCTTTTGTTAACATAATTAAATAGATCGTTACTATTGAAGGCCGGCGACTTAAATCTCAAGTGCTACGGCGACGTCAGCGGCATTGGCTGGAAAGTTTCGCTTTAAGTGCAAATGTGAGCATAGCCTTCATTAAACAAAAATTTCGCTAATAGGTGCCAAACGACAACTTAAAGTCTCTCGTAACGAATTGGTGCCCGCGTGGCATGTGGCACAGGAATTTTAGTCTCGCTTAATGAATTGGTGTCAGCGGGGCGTCTGGAGCACGTATTGAAGTCTCCCAAAAACTTATCCACGTTAGATGATAAAGAGAGAGTGCATGCGAATTTTTTTTACGACGTACAAGTGAAGTTTTTAAGGATAACCATGTATACCAAGTACGAGATTTTTCGAGCGTTGGAACGAGACAACGACAGAAAAAAGTGTCAGTGATAGTCAGACCTCAGACGTCGCTCGGCCTGACGAAGGAAAATTCGTATTCGTAGGCCTGTTGTGACCTGCAGTTTATGGGTGAGCGCCGGGACAGAGCTCTGGTGCTTTAATTTTAACTTAAATTCTGCTTTAATTTTAGTTCCCAAGTTACTTGGATCAAGTTGGATGGTTACTGAGGAACTAATTCCTACTGCCATAATCAGTTGGCGAGATTATCTGATTTCAATACTGTAAAACGAGTTGGGGTAATTCGTGAACTATTTGTCATTTGAATGTTCGTACGCAAAGCAGCAGCGCAATAAGGTATCCGTACGAAATTGATCAACTTGCGCTTAGGAATTACTTCCGATACTATCGTTTTTGGGACAACTTGCGACCCCAAGCTTATTATAGTGGTTGCCTCGCTATGGAGTTGCTAGTTGAAGCACATAAACTTCCTGTTAAATACTTATGCAGTTTTCTCTTCACTGACTTTTGCTGTTAATGACACTTGAATCGCCCTTGTTTCCTAACCGCCTCCTCCCAATGGTTACAATACAATGGTGGGAACTTTCTAGCAACATTTGCATAGCTCTGCCATTTTTCTGTATTTCTCAAAAATAGTGTAGCCGACCTGCATTGCTTCGTTTTTAATTCCAGACGACGTATAGAATTCAGTGGCGACTTCACAAAAAATATTCGATTCAAGCGGAAAGATTTAGCGTTATCTTGGCGCGGCGATGTATATGAATTATTACATGTACAGCGTTCGTATGCCAGTCGTGTGATCTCTGCCGTCACTCTTGTCTTCTTATAATTCTTTTTGATAATTAATTTGAAGCTGATCCTTCTTTATGTTCACGGGCATCTGCCTGCCATATATACGATACGTTACAGGCGACGCTACATCTGCTCAGTGCCCACTCTTGAACATTTTATCTGCACAGTGGGCAGCCAATCTGTTCTCTGCTTTAAATTAGATCCTAGAAAGCAAATATAAATCGAGCAATTTTTTTAATCCTTAGATGATTAAGTTATGCTTGGATGAAATAGCATTGAAGCAACAGCATTGATAGTCATACTGTTACACCGCCTTAGTCATGCTGTTACACTGCCTTAGTCATGCTGTTACACTGCCTTAGTCATGCTGTTACACTGCCTTAGTCATGCTGTTACACCGCCTTAGTCAGGCTGTTACACCGCCTTAGTCATGCTGTTACACTGCCTTAGTCATGCTGTTACACCGCCTTAGTCATGCTGATACACCGCCTTAGTCATGCTGATACACCGCCTTAGTCATGCTGATACACCGCCTTAGTCATGCTGTTACACCGTCTTAGTCATGCTGTATATCATCGCATAATAAAATATATACTTGCATTAGTAAGCCAATAATTATCATGCTCATTATTCTACAGCTCCCAGCGACGCTCATAATATCATATTTTCTGTCACTGACGAGTTAACTCCTGCCAATGGCGTTACAATGAGCAGACATTAAGTTTCGTCATCTGCCTCGCATTAAGTAGGCATTAAGCCTCACTATATGCCTCGTATTAAGTATGCATTAAGCCTCATTAAATGCTTCATATTAAAAAGATTGTGTGACATGCTCAGCGACTCACGGAGGACATCACACTTGTGATGACGCTGTAACGAGTGACGCTTCAGTCTCGCGTGTTTACTGCACCGTGGCATTACATTCCTGAATTTTATTTAGTAACTCGAGTGCCCGGAATGATCTACACATTTGTCCCCACTCTGCTACTCCTGCTCCTAGGTGAGTGGTAGACCACTCTGCTACTCTTGTTCTAGGTGAGTGGTGGTCCATTCTGCTACTCTTGCTCCTAGGTGAGTGGTGGTCCACTCTGCTACTCTTGCTCCTAGGTGAGTGGTAGACCACTCTGCTACTCTTGTTCTAGGTGAGTGGTGGTCCACTCTGCTACTCTTGTTTCTAGGTGAGTGGTAGACCACTCTGCTCCTCTTGTTTCTAGGTGAGTGGTGGTCCACTATGCTACTCTTGTTTCTAGGTGAGTGGTAGACCACTCTGCTACTCTTGTTCTAGGTGAGTGGTGGTCCACTCTGCTACTCTTGTTTCTAGGTGAGTGGTATACCACTCTGCTACTCTTGTTTCTAGATGAGTGGTAGACCACTCTGCTACTCTTGTTTCTAGATGAGTGATGGTTCACTCTGCTACTCCTGTTCCTAGGTGAGTGGTGGTCCACTCTGCTCCTCTTGCTAGGTGAGTGGCCCACTCTGTGAGTGGTATAGTTCACTCCCGCTTAGATGTTGACATCGCTGACGCCTGCGCGTGTTGCGTTCGGTTCTCCGCTACACGCAACACGCTGCGTCCGAAGACGAAATACCTATCGCTGGATAGTTCATCATAATTTCGTTCATAGCTAAGATATCGAAGTTTGAATTTTGTTGTTGTCTCGCAATATTGTCAATGATTAATAGTAAATAAACTTATTCTCACAATAGTTTGACAGCATTATGTTATTATGTTGTATGTATAAATGTATATAGTAGCGAGGTAACTAAAGTTTCATGCAGCGCCATATTTATTATAAATTATTAACATAATTGGCTGCAGTGCAGTATAAATTATTAACATAATTTACCCTGCAATCGACAGACGGCGCAGTGAGCCGAGCTCCCGTCACCATCCGCTGTCACATTCGCTCTGTCACGCACGCCTCCTGTCAACTGCGGGACATCATCCGTGGCCAGTCAAATGTCAACGTCAGCGTTACTGTCAATAACTGTCACGAGCCTGTCGACGTCCTTTTTGTCATGACGGTACGGTAATTGATGGTAACTTTGAGGGGAGGATTAAACCTAAGGCGGCAGGTGGTCCCTACCAACTGTAAGGTGGCAGGTGGTCCCTACCAACTGTAAGGTGGCAGGTGGTCCCTACCAACTGTAAGGTGGCAGGTGGTTCCTGCCAACTGTAAGGTGGCAGGTGGTCATTAAAAATCACCTTAAACTGGCAAAAATCAACAACCACTAGCGAACGAACATGTGTGATTTAATCTCATTTCTGAAGAGAAGAATGTTTCGCTCGAAATATTGAAGGCCTTTGAGGTCGATTGTAGCACGCGTTAATCGGTTGACTCAAGCCGCTTGATCGTTTAGGGGATCTTTTAGCGTGTACTCGCGGGTATCTAAAGAACATTCGTGTGCCCTAGAGTGTTCTTAACAAGTACTAGTGTTCTTAACATGTACTAGTGTTCTTAACATGTACTAGTGTTCTTAACATGTACTAGTGTTCCTATCATGCACTAGAGTGTTCCTAACATGCCCCTCTGACCAGCAGGGCACGAATGCGCTGTCGTGGAACTTCACGTTCGTGCCGAACAACCAAAACGAACGCGTCGTCATCCCGAACGTTTACCTCATCGAACCTGAGCCTCCCGCGCCGACCTTCTTGTACGTCAGAGAACCGAGCGATGAGAACCGCGAGCGTAACGGCAGCTACGCCGGTACCGCCATCACCGTGCAGGTGAGAACCACACCGCCATCACCGTGCAGGTGAGAACCACACCGCCATCACCGTGCAGGTGAGAACCACACCGCCATCACCGTGCAGGTGAGAACCACTACGCCGACACCGCCATCACCGTGCAGGTGAGAACCACTACGCCATCACCGTGCAGGTGAGAACCACTACGCCGGCACCACCATCAACAACACTAAAGATGGTGGTTTGCCAAGAATTTAATTGCATGTTGTGCCAATAGAGAAATTAATAATTAACAAATAATTAATAAATAGATTTCCAATAGAGAAATCTTCAGAAATATCTGCTTAGTTTACATGACATTTGACCCCAACAACAATATATATAAAAAAAATTAAAAATCGAAAAAATAAAAAAAATCACGATTTTTTATAAAAAAATCAAATGATTTAATCACACGATTTCCTCATTTAATTAATTTATTTAATGAAATGATTTAATGCCCGGCGCAGGCGTCGCTGATGGCACCGCTGCGGCAGGACATGTGGGAGGAAGTAGAGTTCCTGAACCACACCTTCAGCCTGCCTCCACTGCCCCCCCACTGCCCCCCACTACTGCCTACGTCTTATGATGAACCCCGCTGGCTGATCAGTGAGTTATTTATCTTTATTGTTAACTGAATGCCCCCCACTGCTGCTGCCTACGTCTTATGATGAACCCCGCTGGCTGATCAGTGAGTTATTCATCTTAATTGTTAACTACCTGCCCTCCCAACGTACATTTTCTGGTCTAAATTAATGTCACTATGATCGCTTTCATATATTAAAGTTTTCGACCAAGCGTAGCAAGCCACGTAACACACAGAGGTGCTGGTGCTGGTGGCAGCAGTGCTGGCAGTTCATAGGGATAACTGCACACAGAGGTGCTGGTGCTGGTGGCCGCAGTGCTGGCAGTATAGGGATAACTGAACACAGAGGTGCTGGTGCTGGTGGCAGCAGTGCTGGCAGTTCATAGGGATAACTGCACACAGAGGTGCTGGTGCTGGTGGCAGCAGTGCTGGCAGTGGTCAGCGCAGTGCTGCTGGTGACGCTGAAGCGCCGGCAGCTCAGGAGCGTCGCCCGTAACCTCGTCCAGCGGCACTGCGAAGCGCAGGTGATAGTTACGGTGATCGTAAGTTATGTTGAGCGTAAGTTACGGTGATCGTAAGTTACGGTGATCGTAAGTTACGGTGATCGTAAGTTACGGTGATCGTGAGTTACGGTGGTCGCGATTTACGGTGATCGTATGTTACGGAGATCGCAAGTTACGGTGATCGCAAGTTACAGTGATCGTAAGTTACGGTGATCGTGAGTTACGGTGATCGTGAGTTACGGTGATCGTAAGTTACGTCGTAAGTTACGGTGATCGTAAGTTACGTCGTAAGTTACGGTGATCGTAAGTTACGGTGATCGTAAGTTATGGTGAGCGTAAGTTACGGTGATCGTAAGTTACGGCGATCGTAAGTTGCGGTGATCGTAAGTTACGGTGATCGTGAGTTATGGTGATTGTAAGTTACGGTGATCGTAAGTTACGGTGATTGTGAGTTACGGTGATCGTGAGTTACGGTGATCGTAAGTTACGGTGATCGTAAGTTACGGTGATCGTAATTAACGGTGATCGTAAATTACATCGTAAATTACGTTGATCATAAGTTGCGTCGTAAGTTGCGGTATCGTAAGTTACGGTGATCGTAAGTTACGGTGATCGTGAGTTACGTCGTAAGTTACGGCATCGTAAGTTACGGTGATCGTAAGGTCGGTGATCGTAAGTTACGGTGGCCGTAAGTTACGGTGATCGTAAGTTACGGGGATCGTAAGTAACGGTGATCGTAAATTACATTGTAAATTACGTTGATCATAAGTTGCGTCGTAAGTTACGGCGATCGTAAGTTGCGTCGTACGTTACGGCAATTGTAAGTTGCGTCGTACGTTACGGCGATCGTAAGTTGCATCGTACGTTACGGCGATCGTAAGTTACGTCGTGAGTTTCGGTGATCGTGAAAATATTAGGCGAGATAAGGTTCTCAAGTTGACATCATTTGTTACTCGTTATTGTATTACTATCGATTTTCATGATCACGATGTTCATTCTTCAACGATAAATTTTTGTGCTGTTGGCTGTATTTTCTGTAGTAAACTGATGTTGTATACGCATGAAAATATCGAGAAGAAAACAATCAACGCTGCATAATTTGAATAAAATATATCTTGGACGGAGTTGTTCAGTCAGCGTACTGAGATGTTGTAGGGAAAGAAGCTAGCTAGATATTGTACAGATGATCTATTGCCAAGTGACCATGTGAAGAATGGATGATTATTTTCATCAATTATAGTGTAGAATAGAAGTGTCGGCACTGAAGAAATAGGTCCATGGCCTGTTGCCGATTCTTGTACTTTTCGTGACTTGATTCACAAGGGATCCGGCGTTTTGAACCCGATCTTTCCATAACTGACGATTGATTGAGATGGCTGCTGGACTTATTGCCTGGTCCGTAATTTGCTAGGCATTTTAAAACTGAACATATGCTCCTGCATAGCTTCGTCTGGACTTATTGCCTGGTCCGTAATTTGCTAGGCATTTTAAAACTGAACATATGCTCCTGCATAGCTTCGTCTAGTCTATTTTTGAAGATGTTCATACTCGGAGCGTCAACGATGCCATCAGGGAGGCTGTTCCACATGTCGGTGACTCGAAGCGATAAGAAATGTTGTCGCATGGATGTGTTACAACGCAGTTTTTTTTAGTTTATAGCCGTGGCCCCTGGTGTTGGTTCATGTTTCAAATCCTAGTAATTATTACAGGTTGACGACGGAGATGTGAACCCCGTTGCAGATCCCGCAGTTCCGACCAAAGGTGGTACGCGTGGCTCCACCGACGCTGCGCCAGCCAGCGCAGATCTGAAGACGACGCTCGATGCGTCGGCGCTGCGATACTTCAATGAAGTTTATCCTGACGAGCGGCAAACTCGCGATGTGGAGGGCGGCGCTGCTCAACAGCAAGTCGCGGTTCCCAAAACAATATTGCAGAAAATGATGAAGGCTAAAAAGGAAGTTGAAATTGGCTTGCGTGGCATATCCTTCGAGCGACTCAAAGAAGATGTTATCACAAGCCAGAGAAATGTTGAAGCTGGAGCAGAACTTCCAAATAACGAAGTATCTAACCCTGGATTTATAACAGACGGAAGTAGTGAAGAACAAAGAGGAAGTATGAATGAGCAGCGGCTATTTCCTTTGGACGACGATTTCGGAAGCGACGATGTTTGTTCTACCAGTGAAAGACTGGAGAAAAGATCCGACAGCTACACCAACGTCTTCAATACGGGTGACCAATTTGAAGATTTCAGCACCGGACAAAACTCATCAGGGAAAACCTCGTGGGAAGTTAACAGCCGCGAGCGCAGTGATGTAAAAATTAATAAAGTAAAGGGCTTAGCCAATAAAAATAACAGCTTTGGCTACGGCAGTCGAGAATATCTTGATGAACTTGAAGGTGCCACTGCCGTTTACCCCGACGCTAAGTCATCGAAGAAGAAGAAAAGTAAATTGTCGAAGCCTGACAAACAAAAACGCGAGCGACCACGGCGTTCATATCGACCAGAGGAGCAGAGCGACAGGAGGCTTAACTTGCCATCAAGAACAAAAGTTGAAACCATTCCAGAAGTCGAGGTTGTAGACGGCATGGAGAAAAGGAGTAACTCCCCGGCAGTGAATGCTGATCATGGAAGTGCCCATAAAATATTATCGGATTACGAAGGCGATAAAGTCGTGACACATGGAGCCTCATTTGGCGCGATTTGGGGCGGGGATAATCTAGGAGCGACAGCGGCAGTTGGGAGGTGAGAGTTCACTGCGCGAGCTCTACGTAATATTTCTCGTATAACTCGATGGTTAATACGTTATATTTAGCGTAAAATTTGATGGTTAATACGTTGTAATTCTCGTATAACTCGATGGTTAATCCAAGTATGAAGGCTATATAAATTATCTCAAAGTACGTCGAGAAAAGCGATGTGGTGAACTTGCTTTCATTTCAATCTCAAGTTTTTTTTAAGTCTTTTAATTAAAAATGTAGCGACTATTAGTTACATAGCGCACTGGTTATTGAAGATATCTTTAGTTATCAGACTTTGAGGTACGAATTTCTGTTTCTTTTAGTGTATTATAGACTGACGTGAACAGTGGAAATCCAATACATATAGAATAACATACAGTCGTACTAAATTCTTCGTAGGTGTTGGAAGATTGAAAATTAAATTACCGATAGACATTTTTAATATTGAACGACGTTTCAAATGTACAACATTCATTTTCAAGTTAAAGACGCATTGAGTAACGAAATTTGGGTTGACATATGTACGAAATCAAGTAAATTGGATACCATTCAAATAATGCTAAAATTTCGTTAACGTGATACTACGTACAGGAAGATTTTACAAGCGCAAAAAACTACTCGGAAAACAATCTCAAAGTTCTGACGAAGCCGGTGGTTTGAAGGTTGATAGCTGGAGTCCTCTCCTTAATGATGAGGGCCTCAGCTATAGCCAGTCGTAAAGGATCGGAGCACCGCATAACAATACTGGTGCATTCTTCCAATATCGGGCGAGTGATGGTCTCGTTGTGGGCCTCCTTCAAGTGATTCCTTGGTCCTCCGGACTGAAGGTGGCACGTGAGACGTCGGCTTTGAGTCGTGGTTGTGAGCCCGATGTAGTCTATATTAGGAAGAAGTCTACAACCTTCTTTATTGCAAGAAAATTTCCGGTTACCTTTACGGAAACGTTAAAACCCACAACCCACCAAGAAGGCAATCCACTCAGACCCATAATATCTCAAGTAACCTCTCCGATATGCAAGACAGCCAAAGAATTGGACGCCATTATAAAACCGTATATTCCAAAGCAGTTCTCTTTAAAATCTAAGGACGACTTTTTGGAAATCATCCGTGCTGCTCGCCCTTCTGGTCTTCTAGCTTCACTAGACGTCACCAGCCTCTTTACCAACGTCCCAGGTGAGACGTCGGGTTAGAGTCGTGGTTGTGAGCCCGATGTAGTCCATATTAGGAAGAAGTCTACAACCTTCTTTATTGCAAGAAAATTTATAGACTACATTGGTCTCTTGGAGAGGTCCTGTTCTTTTGCAAGGGTTATTGTTCATGACAAGATTCCGAATTTTCAAGTTTCTATAGTAGATCAGCAGTTTAATTTTGTTGTTATTTGAGTTGTTCACGATGTTGTTGTGAACGATAGATTAAATGATCCGCTCATCTGCTTTATAGCCACTGGTCATTTGGTTCTGGTAGTAGATAGTACCGGTAGTAAAATTTTTATTTTGATCCAGTCTTTTTTGTTTTTATCGGAGTTTTGAGATTTCCTCGTCGATGGTACTATTTGTAGAGCCATTGTTGATAAGGATTTGTTTACTATGTCTCAGTTCGTTATTTAAATCATCTTCAGTAGAGCAGGTCTTGTAAGCTCTATGGATGACGGCGCGTATTGTACTCTTTTTGTAGCGTTCCGGACATTCGCTGGCAGCGTTCAGGACCCTTCCGATATCTGTTGATTTCCGATATACTTTTGTGACAACTGAATTATCTTTAACTTCCACGAATACATCCAAAAAAGGCAAGGTGCGATTTTGTCCGAGCTCATAAGTAATAAAACTCTATTTTCAATTTCGCACATGTAGTATTCTGCGAAGGTGGGACCAAGAAGACTGCCCATGGCTACGCCGTTAGTTTGTCGGTAAATTTTGTTGTCGGGAGTCAGGAAAGGTGATTCGGAAGTGCACAGTCGGAGGAGATCAAGGATAATTTTCTTCGGTACCGGTGGAGCCGGCAAAGTTGAATGCGAGTATACATGTTTGGCAATAATTTCCAAGGTTTCTTCAGTTGGGACGTTGGTAAAGAGGCTGGTGACGTCTAGTGAAGCTAGAAGACCAGAAGGGCGAGCAGCACGGATGATTTCCAAAAAGTCGTCCTTAGATTTTAAAGAGAACTGCTTTGGAATATACGGTTTTATAATGGCGTCCAATTCTTTGGCTGTCTTGCATATCGGAGAGGTTACTTGAGATATTATGGGTCTGAGTGGATTGCCTTCTTGGTGGGTTGTGGGTTTTAACGTTTCCGTAAAGGTAACCGGAAATTTTCTTGCAATAAGGAAGGTTGTAGACTTCTTCCTAATATAGACTACATCGGGCTCACAACCACGACTCAAAGCCGACGTCTCACGTGCCACCTTCAGTCCGGAGGACCAAGGAATCACTTGAAGGAGGCCCACAACGAGACCATCACTCGCCCGATATTGGAAGAATGCACCAGTATTGTTATGCGGTGCTCCGATCCTTTACGACTGGCTATAGCTGAGGCCCTCATCATTAAGGAGAGGACTCCAGCTATCAACCTTCAAACCACCGGCTTCGTCAGAACTTTGAGATTGTTTTCCGAGTAGTTTTTTGCGCTTGTAAAATCTTCCTGTACGTAGTATCACGTTAACGAAATTTTAGCATTATTTGAATGGTATCCAATTTACTTGATTTCGTACATATGTCAACCCAAATTTCGTTACTCAATGCGTCTTTAACTTGAAAATGAATGTTGTACATTGGAAACGTCGTTCAATATTAAAAATGTCTATCGGTAATTTAATTTTCAATCTTCCAACACCTACGAAGAATTTAGTACGACTTATTGAAAAAACTAACAAGAAGCTAATAAATAAAACTAATTCTCTGGTCTTTAACAAAACTTGCTTAGGAGAAGAAATTCTGCCAGCCTACACTAATAACATACAGATGTATCCTAAGTTAACTAGCAGTTCATAACTTACCCTGGCAGTTCACTCAACTATTTGAAAGTTGTTCTCGGTCTGAACCCGCTCTTTTGAGCTGCAGTAAAATAAACTTCTTCATTTTTAGTGCTATCATACTCCAGACACAATTGCCTTCTGAAAATTAAGCACAACTTTAGTTTTGCAGGATAATACATTATAACGTTCTCTTCATTAATTTCAGCAATGATAACCGCGGCGCGAGACAGAAGCTCTCCGGTGGCGGATGACGCACGCACACGACAGGTCCTGGAGCGCCCAACCCTTCACTTCCACAGTGTGGCTATCACGTTGTTATTTCAACAAACGTTCATAAGTGTGTCATCATAATTTTCTTTGGATGATAAAGTAGTGCAGTTCGGATGCAAAACCAGCCGTGGTTTGTTTGAACCTAAGGGAACTTGATGCATGTTTATAAATGTTTCATTATAAGTTAGTTTGGATGATAAAGTAGTGCAGTTCGGATGCAAAACCAGCCGTGATTTGTTTGTTTGAACCTAAAGGAACTTTATGCAATGGCGCCTTCATTTTTGGGTGCGATCAAGGTGGCAGAATAGATTTCTTTCAAGATAATGAACCAAACTAAAGTTATTTTCAAAATGAATCCTGAAATTGTGGTGCCTCCAACAAAATCTTCCAATGAATCCTCTTTTCCATTACAATTACTCAACGGATGAAAAGGGAGAGTCTCATTGAAAGGGATATATTCCGTCACATATTTATTGGGCATATTACATTGTTTACAGTAGCTAACTTATTCTAAGCGATTTCTAATTTTAATTACAGAATGAATCTTATTTAATTTTAGCAATGCGTAAACAAAGATCCGTTCAACTCATAAGCAAGTCTAAAAAAAAATTGGAAAATACGTTCACCGTTCAGTTGTCTTGTTTCAAACGAAAATTATTTTTAAATTTCATGTAATAATGAGTCGAGTTTTATGCTCAAAAATTTACTAGAACCATAATAGTCACTTAATTACGAAAGGGTAAACTCCACTCCTCCATTCCAAGCCGAATATATCCACTCGACACGCGGTCAAAAAAAAATTGTTTCACGTGCATATAGTAACTAGACCAGTTCAATAACGAATCATTCAATAAATGTCTACCTGTTTCATTAGGTTAAATATGAAAACCAGCGTAAAATGTTATTAGAATGATTCGCATTTGAACTTTGACGCCGTTAATAGCCTAAAATAGGAATTTGTAGGATGCCCGTTGGCAGGGCTAACTTTCCTCATCACACTGCCGAGAGGACCGCAGAGTTTTGAGTGAAGCACGCTGGGTTAACTACACCGCAAGAAGTGAAGTAGATGGCCACAATTTTTGACACTTTAGCGACAGCTTAATTACAAGTTTACATTGATTGAAGGAATGATGCTTTAGTTATTGAAAACTTTTGTTCAAAGCGATAATGATCTGGTAATCTGACGTGTCTTCCATACCGTGATCCGATCCTCGAAAGAAATTATGTGAGGAGTTTCAAAACGCCTAATCCGAGGAATTTGTATGACAGATCTCCTCCTCCAGGCTGTAACCTTCCTGCTTTAAGGTTCAATTTGGGCGTTCAGTACATGCGGGTTCTGGAATTAAGAAAAAATTAGATTACTCACACATTACTCCGTCAAGCCTATTCAATCAACAAGAATGGAAAAGAATCGAAGCTTGAATGCTTTGCCAACGATACACATGACGGTAATTCACAAAATTTTCGTGGGCAGAATAGTTGGCAGAAATGTGGTGCCGTAAAGCAAAGATCGGATTCCAATAGAGCCGAAAACAAGTATGATTGTCAAATTATTAACTTGATTTGAAATGGGAACGTAAGGCGTTTGCATTCGAGATGACAAAATGGCGGATATTTTAGATATAGAAGGCGTCGATCATACCTAACCACGGACGATAGTCAGCGCCTAGTGGTAGTTGCTTAGCTCTCACACTCCCTTTTAGATCATCTTGATGTCTGATTGTCACTGACCTATAATTCCACGAGTTCTGTTATTACCGTTGACTTCAATAAAATATTTATTAAACGGGCGTTATTTATAATCCTATGGAATCAATCAAGAAACGCCTACTTGTATAAGTAGCCAGTTTGTTATTACAGTGAGCAATTGATCGAACTTTCCTACGTCTATGGTAGGATATACGAGCAACAGCGATAACCACCATGACATGGGAGGCAGTAAAACTATGTTTTAGTGTGTCAAATCTGACGATGCGTAGCAGTTAAGAAGCACACGTGCCTGGAACTACGAGCCAGAGACGACTTAGCAGTTAGAGGCTCACGTACCTGGGACTACGGGCCAGAGACGACGTAGCAGTTAGAGGCTCACGTACCTGGGACTACGGGCCAGAGACGACGTAGCAGTTAGAGGCTCACGTATCTGGGACTACGGGCCAGAGACGACTTAGCAGTTAGAGGCTCACGTACCTGGGATTACGGGCCAGAGACGACGTAGCGCTGGTGGACGCCTCCGTGACGGGCCCCATGATCTTCACCTGCATGGGCTGTCCGTCCAGCTTGCGGTTGTGATAAACATCAACAGAACTGCAACATTTTGCGTTATTTAGACAACCATCGTTATGAACTGAAATGCAGAGTGAACATATCATGATCCAAAGCCACCTGAACAAAACTGAAAAATTTGCAGTGGAAATTAAATTGCTAAGCATACACGCATTAATAGATACTATGTTATGGTTGACACAGGAACCATATAATAGGGCATTGGACAAAAATGGTATAATAGGGGGTGTATCCATTAATAACAATGTACAGAGTTCTTGCTAGGCAAGCTACTAGCTTTTCCGTACGAAACATTTAGCGATACGCACGCTCCAAGCTGCCTCATTCTTACCCCGTATCTCTACCTACCACAATCTAAACCAGGTTAATTTTTGCCTAATATTGATTACTATATAATGCGTTCCGGACAAAAAGTATCCAAGGGTTACAACTTACTTTGTGTGCTTGTTTCGTTCTAGGTTTCATCAGCTCTGTTTAGTTCCATCTAACAATCTAAATTTGTTTTGATTTACCTACGATTACTTAACATTGTTTCATGTCTTTGGTTTTGTTGATTAATTTGCCACAAGATGAACTTTGAGGTTAGGCTATAAGCAAACAATCTACAACAAATTGGAAATATTGTTGACACTGTTACGGGTGACAATTGACTTTAAGCTCCCCGAAATAGCTAGGAATGTCAAGTTACCATCTACAGCCTCAAAGGGATAGATTATTGAACTATGAAATATATTTCACATTGAACTGATCACATCGTAGTCGCCTCTATGCCGGTGTCCAACATACGTCTTGCAACACCCGCGTGAGGTGTCCCACTCACGCCTGACGCCCAGACCATCTCACCGTTTGGCGTCGTTGAGGTCGAGGTAGACGACGACTGCGGTGCCCGGGCGCGCCATCTTGCAGGAGGAGATGGGACCGAGGTTGCCGAAAAGTTCTTTGATGTCTTCATTGGTGGCGACAGGATGCAGGTTGCTCACCATCACGCGGTGACCCACTACCTTCTGGACCATAGGCGGCGCTGGCCGCGCGACTGCAGTGCTGCACACGCGTTATGCACAAATCAACATTTGGTGCCAGCTTCACTGGACTTTTAATACTTTCCCATCAACGAGCCTTGATCGTTCATTCAACGATTTACCTGCGCTCCAGTTTTTTCCATAATTAAACATTTATGAGGTCACTGAAGTCACACATTTGAGAAAGGGTAATTGAAGAGAAGACAAAGATAACGATATTAACAAAAGGGTTAGTATTACACAAGTGTAACTGTAAGATATTACAAGTTCACACCAAGAGCAGATTTCGGCGTTCACTGCTAAACTATTCCTTCTAAGCATTAAAATAAATAACGCCTTTAATTGTTGAAAAACTCCCGGCACTTGACTTATTTAATACACGTCGTACTTCGAACAGGTCTCGAAATATGTGTGCTGTATTCTATAGCAAGTGAAATATAACGAATAAAAACTTACCGTCGAGGTGACTGCTGTACAACACGTTGCTGCGTGCTGTACCGCTGCTGCTGCTGCTGCTGTGGCTGCAGTTGCTGCTGAGGGTATCGCTGAGGCTGGGTGGTGTAGCGTGCCGGCTGCTGCTGAGGGCGAGGCTGAGAGCGCGACACGTAGCTGTTGTTCTGCTGCACACACACAAAACTTATTCAATAATGTACACCAAAGAAATATTATTTTTCGTCGAGTTATTCACAGCTTCAAGATCTGGCTAGTGCAGCCAAACTTCAACATTACAGCACGAGAATCTGGAGGACATTTAACGTCGCATTACTTGCCAGGGTTCACATCAAGTATTGCTGCTAACCCCATGGCAATAATTTTGCGCTACATATAAATATTGTTCAGTCGTGCTCGAATGTTGTCTGCATTATAATTATATAACAGGAATATAACTGTGGTTCGTGGAATTCATGAACTGAACATACTGGGAAATTTTGATGCACTTAAAGCTGCCTGTAATGCTCAACTCTCTTAACTATTAAGCTCTCAGGGATAATGGGCATATATATTTACAACATTTAAATGGTAACTCACAACAGGAACAGAAGCTCGAGCTTGGGGAGGCACGGGAGGGCCGTAGTGCTGCGGCTGCTGCTGCTGCACGGTCACGGCACGAGGCACGTACACTTCCTCGTACTGCACAGGCACGTGTACCAAATAATGACATAACACATTAATGCTGCACGGTCACGGCACGAGGCATGTACACTTCCTTGTACTGCACATCAACGTGTATCAAATAATGACATAATTTATTAATGCGGCAAAAAAATTCAAACAGCTGCATAGGAAAAGATCACTACACAATTTTACGACAATTCAAAACAGTTCACGACTAATGAGATCAATATACCAAACCTGAGGTTCGTAGGGCGGCGAGACCGGTGCCTCCTCGTAGTAGACGGGCTGCAGCTGCTGCTGAGGGACCACGTCGTAGTCATCGTCGTAAGTGAGAGGCTCGTCATCATACGCACCATCGTCTTGTTCGTACACCATCGGCTGCTCCTGCATCACCACAGCCTCCTGCCTGTAGGCCGGCACCCTGTGGGCATAAGGTGTTAGCAGCACAAACTTCTTTACGCGCTGCTATAACCTTTTTGTATCTATATATATTTACAAGCGCCTATAACAATATTTATATATTTATTATAAGATGCCAGAATTTTCTTGTTTATATGCGTACAATTATATATAAAATGTATATATATTTATACGCATCTATATTAATACAAAAGAAATACTCAAGTGGTTGCTATATCAAAAGACCATTTGGCCAGGCGTGAAGATTTCCATAATTTTCAATTATCAATAAACAAAAATGCAATTTAAATTACATACATGAATAAAAGTTTCTTCGCTAATTATACTTTAGGGACATTACATTACGAAATTCAGTTCATCTTCTGCGCAAACGTGCGCGGTTGCAACATTACTTTTCAAACCACAACAGAAAGTGGGAGTTGCTTTGGTACAAGAAGCTTGGTCAACTTATCTTTATGAGCGAATAAATATGTAATTTATGATCACAATGAAAACATAAACGAGTCAGGAATAAAATTCAGGGTGGAATTTGGGAGGGGTAATATATGAGCACTTGTACACATCATACTGGTTCTAAAAATGTGTAATCAAATTTTTCTATATATTTAGCTAATATTTTAGAACTGATCAAGCTATTAGGTTGGATCGACTTTGAATATATGAACCCATATTCCCAAAATCCACCCCCTGAGTCAGGTGTTCGGAACGAATTTTGGAATTGCAGTAAAAATTTGATAAGCTCCTGTGTTTTAGCATAGACGTCATCTGTTTCTATCCTCACGTGTCTTTTTTAGCCACTTGTAACGTGCCCTGGAAGTTTGATCTGAACGAGACGCCACGACAATCTCTTCGTGGAATAATAATAATAATAATAATATTACCTGGCGGGCACTTGGCGGTAGATCGTTTGAGGCGCAACCATCGTGTGGCGCGGCTGTGTGGCGTACACAGGGCCGCTGCCAGCCACAGCTACGCGCCGACGCGCCACGGTTCTGTAATACAAGATAATTGAGTCAAAATTTAAAAGCAAAGAAAATTTCACACAAATTCAAGTCTGTATAAAAAACGTTTCGGAGTTTATTTCCATCGTCAGTACGTAGAATCTTGAATTCGCATAAAAAATCACAAATTAATACAATTGAAATTCATAGAACCGAAATAAAAATAAAAATTTACATACCGGTATAATATACAGAGCAGTGAGAGCACAAAAAACCTATCTATTCACAATTTCAAAGGGATAGAAGCTAAAAGCTGAATTCTAACCGGGCATAAGTTTAGAAATGTGCAAACTGCAAAGACTTTAAAATACGTAGATCTGAAGTACAGGAGGTGGAAGCTAACATACTTAAGCCACCGTCAGAAACAGCGACATCACACTGCTATGTGATGTGTTAATCTTATGAACAAGTTTCCAAACGGTTAGAAGCAGTTTTGGCTGTTAAAGGTCACATGACAAAGTCTTGAAAAAAATTAGTTTACTATGTATTGGATACTTTTTGAAAGTTGACTTTTATAAAATTGCAATTATCAAGTCAACGTCTAATTATATTGTTGTTTTGATATATTTTTATTTTTCACGTAAATTTACAAAAGAATAGTTTTTGTTCATGTTATTGTGTTGAATAATCTTTAATTAAATCGGGTTTTTCCTTTGTTTCGGATACTTTTTGCACCCACTGTACATTGGATCAATGAATTTCGTATGTCTCTGAAAGGCTATGGTTGGCAGAATTGTAAGTGTTGCACACAGAATTAATTCGTAATATTGAGTGAAAATAATAATTATAAGGCTATAGCTATGACACTCACTGCAGAGGGCGAACACTGCGCACCAGCGGTGCAGCGTTGCTGCGCACAGTGACCACCTGCGCCACAGCAGGCTGCTGCTGCTGCTGTAAGCGCACAGCGTTGCTGCGGTGAAACTGCTGGATCAGCGACCCAGATATTCCCTTGGCAGGAACCAGGCGTTTACGCTGGATGTTCACAGATGCATTAGACACGCCCCGGTTCTGCACGGTGCGGTTCAGGTTCTGGACGGTTCGTCCTACGGTAGGCACGACGGTGCGGTTCACCCCCGAGTTGCCAGAGACCGTTCGTATGATGGCAGTGCCTTGCATGCGCGTGTTGCCCACTCCTCCTGAAGCGCGAAATATCATTAGTGACGGAACTTTTTAATATTTGTCTCTCATACAACTCAAAACAACCCTAATTTCTAGTCACGTAGGTACGAGCAGCATTCCAGACCATAAACGTCACAGTTGAGCAACGATTAGTATAGCTTGTCAGTGTCGTGACTTGACAAAGGAATCATTACCGGGATTGATCACGCATCGTGCATATAACGCAGGTAATTTCTAGATAAAAACACATTATTAAAGCCATGTTAGTTCTAACACAAAAATTAAATATCTAAGCGGTAACAAAACCTAATTCCAACACCGCCATTAGTCTGGCCTATCTGTAGCATTAACGTGTCTCAAAAAGAGCCATAAAACCAAGCCTATGAAAGATTATCTGCCGAGTTACGCTATCGATGCCAACACATGCAACTTTTATCTTCTTGTGCATAAGGCAAGTACTGGTAACGGTTAATGGTTATTCAAGCCTTCCATTGGAACAACATAACAAAAATGAAACTACAAATGACTGCGCCAAGGAATTAAATAGTCTTCAAATGAGAGACCTAGCAGTGAATTTCTTTGTAAAAAATGAGACCGACTTTACATCTAAAGGAAACCCTTGAACTCGAAATTGACTTTATCCACTCGTGAGTTATAGAGCATCAGGATGGCTGGGCTACAAATGAGCTTATTCAAGCATAATCAGTTTTTTTTTCATACGGTCGAACCATTGAAGCGGGCTGATGGAACGACAATCGAAGATTAAGAACATTAAATTTGTTCAAATGGTTTCCAACGTTCGCAACACAAGAGCGATTTCTAACCCAAATGATTCAATAACAGAATGATCGAACTTACTAAAATCGGCGTTTAAACAGAAACTAAAGGCACACAATCGTGCATCCTGTTCAAAATCATGCTAAACTTTACCAGCAAGAAAAGCTAACGTAGTCTACGACTGCACACATACCTCAATGCCGAGCCAACTTGCCGGAACCTCAATAACACAAGAATTACATTCCCACTATTCCGAGAACGACATTTCCAGCACTAAATTTCAAGCTAAGTACAAAATACGACTAAGGAACCGCAAGTGATGAAAGTTCGGCAATGGTGCAGGCGATGTCCCATTGCTGGTGCCGAGTAAAGAGCATCCTTTTCATGTCCGGAGGACGAGAGAATGTCAGGCGAGATGTAGGCAGCAGTTATTTACTTGTTGTTTATCATTCGATTAGGATGGCCTTAAATGACTTCTGGCTTCATTAGGTGCATGAAGAAGTGGGTTCGACGATGCGATGTTACTGTTAATTGTGGCGTGATCATCATGATCATCGATGCGATGATCTGAAGCAAGTATTTTAGCTTCCTGTTAGCCGCATGCTAGGAGGTAGGAAGACGTAAATGGGATAGAAGATCTCAGCCGTCAGGTCGAAATGATTAATTAAACAAGTTTGGTGTCTAGACAAACCAGTAGATCAAAAGTCAATGATCAATCTTTCCACAGCTTGGCTCTCTTGTCAAACACAGTCGCAGAGTTAGCAAGCTAAAAAACAAAGACCACATCACGAGGTTTGTGGAGATCGCTGCCCTTGTAGTCGTGAGGGCGTGGTGGCATCTCGAGCAATATTTTGGTGCGATATCTTCAGCCAAGTACATCAGGCATAACACGAACACAGCAACCATCCAGAGCTGCGTTTATAATAAACCATCTACTCCGCATAAATAATCCGAATTCATCTTGTTCCATAATTTACATGTGATAAATTTACAAGGCTGTCTGGCTCGTATCAACTTGCGCACGACATGATATTATGTCAAATAGTTATTTAGCTGATTAGGATTTACTCCAACGCAGTTCCTTCAATTCTGCGGGTGGTGAGCGAAGAAAATGAGTTAGACGACTGTAGCAGATCCAGACAGACGACTTGCAGCACGTTAAACGACTGTAGCAGATGCAGACTGACGACTTGATGCACGTTAAACGACTGTAGCAGATACAGACTGTCGACTTGATGCACGTTAAACGACTGCAGCAGATCCAGACTGACGACTCGATGCACATTAAACGACTGTAGCAGATACAGACTGACGACTTGATGCACGTTAAACGACTGTAGAAGATACACACTGACGACTTGATGCACGTTAAACGACTGTAGCAGATACAGACTGACGACTTGATGCAAATTTTGGCGCGTAGATGCAAGTGGAAGGAGTCAGGGCGGCCTGTCAAACTAGGCGCGTATAACTTGCGGAGACTTGTGGTCAAGTGCAGCAAACTCCTCACATCGCTCTCTTGGAATTGCGGCCAATTAATAGCAACGAAAGTTGCTGCCAACATACAAAACATTTTTAAAAAATCTTTATTTGAAACTCAGGGTAGATAGAAGCACGTCGGGGAATAAACGATTGTCACTGACATGAAGGACGCCCGTTACAAATTCAGCACGCTAGGTTAGGCAGAGTTCCCCATACGCATGACAGGATGAATGATTGTCTTCATGCGTTCTTGTCACGACAAACTCCATAGAGGATTCGTGAGTTGACTTTCAAAAGGAAGGAAAGTCGGTTCTTTCATCCAGCCCTCGGTAGGTTGACTGCTGGGTAACAGGTAGCGAGGCTGCTGGACATCTCTTGTCCAGGCTTTGGTAGTTTGACTGCTGGTAACAGGTAGCGAGGCTGCTGGACATCTCTGGTCCAGGCTTTGGTAGGTTGGCTGCTGGGTAACTGGTAGCGAGGCTGCTGGACATCTCTCATTCAGACTATGGAAGGTTGACTGCTGAGTAACTGGTAGCGAGGCTGCTGGACATCTATCATCCAGACTATGGTAGGTTGACTGCTGGGTAACTGGTAGCGAGGCTGCTGGACATCTCTCATCCAGTCTTTGGTAGGTTGACTGCTGGGTAACAGGTAGCGAGGCTGCTGGACATCTATCATCCAGTCTTTGGAAGGTTTACTGCTGGGTAACAGGTAGCGAGGCTGATGAGCATTAAAATCGAGCAAAGTATGGGCTGTGATGAGAGAAAAAAGCCTCTTCCTTATGAGTAAGCCAGACAATTTATCTCGAGGCCAGTACACATCGAGGAGCACAATGAGGCAAGACTGTCGGTCAGATCTCTTCTTATATCTCGTTTGCTTCAGCTATGGTTCGTGCAACGTTCTTCCCACCGAGCTCTTGTAGATATCATGTTAGGCAACGCAAGTGGATAAACTCCCGCACGGTTATTTATTTAACATTTAATAACCATGATTTTTACGTCAGCATATTCATCGCACCACCGTTGACTCGGAAGATTGAATGAAATTCAGTCGACATAGGCCATGTGATTCGCGGTCAAAGGAAGGCGGGTTCCATGCGAAATGCGGACATCTCGCGTGATAAGACAACATCTTGTATGGATAAGACAACAGCAATAACGCGCTGCTTCCATCTCGCGTGATAAGACAACATCTCGTAGTGATAAGACAACAGCAATAAGCTGCTGCTTCCATCTCGCCTTCCACTACTCCATCTTCATTGATATCGTCTCCATAACTCCATGAGGTGGTCAACAATCCTCCATGGAGAGGTGATGCACGAAGCAGAGCGTCACTATGGGCTAGAAGAAGTGATGCCTCACATGATGCAACTCACCCTTGCTCGCAGTCTGAAGTCCAGTCTTAACTTGTTGGATATTGACGAAATTTTTCTTCACCTGAAAGTGATTCGGATGAGATTATAGAACGATAGTATTAAGCCAAATGGAATCAATCAATCGACGATAACAAAATAACGAATTTCTGAACTAACACGCAGGCAAACGACACAACCATACAGCAGGCACGCTTGTTAACACACTAAACCTTTCTACACTTTGTGCAATGAAGACCCAGGGTTTGCTAATCCAGTATTGCTTGACGTGAAGATCCAGGCGTCATATGCTGAACTCGATGATGGATCCAAACTTATGTCTAGGAAAGCTAAAACTCAATATTCAGAGACAACTTCTAATTCTCCAAGTTTCGGCACCATGGCTCTAAGTTGACGCGAATCCTTTTTCAGAAGCAACAAAGGGCACGTAAATTGTAAAAAAAGAGAGCTGCATTTCGAGGTTGGTTACGAATGTCGAGGGGTGCAGCCAAATTTGCAATTGTTTTAGATGAGCTGTTAGATGAACCGTAGTTGCTATCAGCAGTTCCTGTTCACTGTAGTATCGCCGCGACGAAGTGCTTTGTTATGGTGCATTACACGCAAAAAAAAACTTTGCCGCAATTAATACTGTTCAATAAAAAATATTTCACTCTTGTTGATAGACACTTATAGCCAAGAGGAAGATGTCGGTGGAGTTATTCCAACAAATATCACACAAGGATAAAATGTCGATATTAGAAGAAACTTGAGAGCTTTGAGGATGTCGCCGGATGGAGATTATTATGCTGAATGTGAATGAAAAACTGCTGGCTTCTGAACAAGGAACTAATGGTTTGAGACGACGACACTGCTGGTTTGTCCCACTAAATTACCTTGTCTAGAATAGGGCAGAGCAGCGTGCACAGTAGAAGCTCTCCTGGACCATGATCAGGTGATGCCAATCTTATTTCATTAAATGGACGACACTTCAAATAAAACTGATACTCGAGAGCTGAAGTTCAACCTTGTTCACATGGTAGCTTTCTTGAACAAAGTCAAGAGAGTTCAAAAAGTCTACGGCACGAATTTCATACCCAATTATATATTAAAGGACCCTGCGAATTTAATTTTTTTAAAGCCATGTAAGGTGATCAAAATCCTGATTGTTGTTACTTAGCAGGCGTGAGTCTTAAAAACAATCTTGGAGCAGCCTTTCTTCTTCCTACAGGTCCATCATTTCAAATGTAGGATTCTGTTACAAGATATTACGCATCGAACTGGTCTCTATGAGCATCATACAAATGTTACAAGGAGAGGTAACTGGTCTCTTCAGTTGCAGTTTGGCATCAAACGAGATGTTACAAGGAGAGGTAACTGGTCTCTTCAGCTGCAGTGCGGCCAGTGACTCCACACTAGGTGCAGGCGATCCATACTAGATGCAGGTGGACCATACTAGACGAAGAGAGGTCCGTACTAGACACAGGTAGTCCATACTAGATGCAGGTAACTCCACACTAGATGCAGTTGACTCCACACTAGATGCAGGTGGACCATACTAGACAAAGCAGTCCGTACTAGGTACAGGTGGTCCATACTAGATGCAGGTGGTCCATACTAGATGCAGGTGGTCCATACTAGATGCATTTGGTCCATACTAGATGCAGGTGGTCCATACTAGATGCAGGTGGTCCATACTAGATGCAGGTGATTCATACTAGATGCAGGTGGACCATACTAGACGAAGTGGTCCGTACTAGACACAGGTAGTCCATACTAGATGCAGGTGACTCCACACTAGATGCAGGTGGTCCATACTAGACGCAGGTGAACCATACTAGACGAAGAGGTCCGTACTAGACACAGGTAGTCCATACTAGATGCAGGTGGTCCATACTAGATGCAGGTGACTCCACACTAGATGCAGGTGGTCCATACTAGACGCAGGTTTTTGTAACTTTAGCAAAGTTACAAAGCAAAAACATTAGTTTGTAGATTACTTAATTCACCTACAAAACGTAGTTGTAATGATTTGTGTAAATCATCACTTAACGAAAAGGTTTTGTAGACATCTACATAGAAATCATTGTTAATAATAAAAATGTCTGGTTCCATGTAGATTATTTTGTAGACTGCTTCAGCTTGAACAGGATTCTGGTTTTAAGACTTGCAGATGATGTATGCAGGCTCCCCAGACGAGCATCAGATGTAGGTAGATCCCAGAGCAATGAGCGTACCGCATGATTCCAAATGATGGCCACACTCTAGATCATTGTACAACAGCAGCGCATTGTAAATGCGTTTAGAATAGGTCCAAGATTCACCAACATACTTTCTACAATCATTCATCTACTAACATCCCAGACTCTGTCAAAAGCACTCCAGACTGGCCACACATTCAACAGTTACAATACCAATGTCTGCCAAGTGAAGTACAAAGTTAGATTGTGTTTTAATGCACAACCCAACTTGTGTTGTTATATCAAGGCTAAGGACAATTGAAGACCAAATGGTAACAAAAAAGGAATTAAAAAAATAATTTATTTACAGCAAGATGTAATATCTGGTCTTCAATTGGCATTAACAGCTCTCACACACTGAATGGCGTGCAGCAGCTCAGCTGTTAGTAGCTCACACTGATGACCCAAACATACCTGCAGGGCTCCGTTGCGCTTCAAGTTGAGTTTCTGGCGCATGTCCGTGGGCTTTGCTTGCAGTTCCTACAATGTGCACAGAGGTCAACATATAACCTACTTCACCTATTTTAATTAATATCATGTAAGAAATTATTTTAATTACAATCATGTAGAAATACTTTGTGTGGCTTATTTCCATGCCCTCACTATGAGAATATGAGCAGAAGGCTTGGTTCATGAGGCTCTGTCAATATGCACGGAGGATGAATGAAGAAGTTACATAGTTGGTTCAACTATTATACAAGCAGAATAAAGATAATCAGCCACACAATAAGCAAAAAAAAAAATGTAAACATGCATAGCCAAATATACCTACACTAGTTGTCTTCAGCAAAAACAGTTGCTCATTCTTATCATTTTAAATGCCAGCCTGGCATTAAGAAAAAAAACATTTTTGAACACACAATGAGACTCATAAACACGGTATGAAGTTTAAAATGGAGGATTGAGGCAGTGAGGGAGCTTGAATATTAACGCTTAACAATCTTCAAGTTAAACTAAACAAGCAATGCACTATAATTTTTGCAGCGAGCATTTGTTCCCTTTGTATTAGCATTAAGTAGGTAGATCAATACAAATCAGTAGTATTATATCATGACTAAAATGAGAACAGTGGAATCAGTGGCAGAATAGAATAGCCACACTAAAGATAACTCTACTATCCTGCCCACTGGCTGGCAGAGAGCTCAAAACTGACAGGCACAATATTGATTTGTGAACATTATAATTATGAATATAATGTGTGACAGTGTAGAATTTAATACAACTTAACTATAAAATATTACAAACAATAAAATAAGAGACAAACCTGTATGAGTTCAGGAATACCCTTCTGATTGCCCCGTATTTTATTGAGCTTGTCACGAGCATCAGAAGTCTTAGCAATCCTGGCGAGCTGTTCTCGAGCGTCAGTAAAGTGCTGCCTCTTCTTCTGGATGAGGTGGTTACGGGCATCTCCCTGGATATCATGGGCTTATGTGATGTACGTTTGTTTTCTTAACTGCATGTAGCACAGTGCTGCACCAGAGTACCAAAACATGCTCTCATCTTTCAAAATATTTGGGAGGCAACCATCCTTGATTCACCAAGTGCAGAAACTTGTAATATGAATTCTACACATTATGGGAGAAAATTTTGGCTCTATCACGTGTTTTGTCAAGGCCACATTGATGGTATTGAGTAACTGAAATTTGTATTCACAAATGCTTTTTAAACATCATGATCTAAATGGGGATTAATAGCCTTTTGATTTTNACATAAATAACAGTTTAGGCAGCAAGTAACATGAATGAGATGCCTTTAATATAACTTACCTACATAAAACAGGAAAAAAAAGCTTTCACATGTAAAATATTCAAATTGAATTGTTATCATTACTTATTAAATAATGTAGCAAAACAAATTATAGTTGGATGTATCAATAAGGTTTCAATGCTCAATGTACATAAACAAATTTATAGGCAGATATGGAAACTATACTCAACATTACCTAGCCAAAAGCGATCAGACGCTCAAACTTGTATAACTTAGATACTCACAGTTGTCTTTATAATATTGGGCTTGACATTGCTGTTAGTTTGCTGCCTTGAAGTCATGGCAGTTTTGGGGGCTGCTCGGCCACGGCTGAAGAAGAAAAAATATAACTCAGTACTCTCTGCAGTGAGTGACAGAGCACGCATTTTCTTGTCGACAAAAACTTGAGGTCACGGACAGACGGACGGACAGACAGACAGACATGGCGAACACAATAGTGCATTTTTTCCATAAATGAGAAAAATGCGCTAAAAAGGTGAAGTAGGTATGGCAGTTGACTTAAATGAGGTAAAACACATGACAAGTGCTGAGAAATTACCAATTTCTAATCATAAATTAAAGGTGATCAATAATAAATTATAATTCATTTCTTTCAATTTGAATATACAGTAATCCCTTGATTAGCATGGTTTTGAATACCGCGGTTTTGATTAACGCAGAAAAAAATTTGCAACCTACCCTTAATCTACGCGGTGCCAGTTTTGATTAGTGCGATTTTTTCTTCACAACGCATCATTTTCCCGCATCTAGCCAGAAGTGTTACGTTCGTAACAAAAGTGTTACTTTTTGCTTATTAGATCTTATGTTGTTACTTTATGAATTTCAGCCAATAATTCTTTAAATAAGGTCCCGTTCCGTAGGCACTCGTGCTGACTACAGAGTCGGTTTAACCGCGCCTCGTCTCATTCATAACTCGAATGGTCGAGTTCGGCAACGTTCGCCGGTAGGTGCGCCATGCCAGTGCTCTAGTTACTCGTTAGCCTTCAACTGGTAAAGATTGCTGCCATATCTACTGCTCACTGTTATCAAACTACATAATTTTCCTTGGCCTGGATAGGCAAGTGAATTGCTATCGCACAATTATGCAGGAGAGGAAGAAATCTACTGGGCAATTGAAATTGGATTCGTTTTTCAGTAAAAAATAAATGTTAATTCATTCGTATTTCTTTTATTTATTTCCCTTATTATTTAGAAAAAATATGATGAATTTTAGTGGGAAAAAAATTATTATGTAACTTTGCTATTTTTGAGGATTCATTATAATTATTCCCATATATTCTTAAGTTTTATTAGCGCGATTTTGCTTAACATGGTAAAACTCAGGGATTATTAACCTCGTTAATCAAGGGATTGCTGTATAGTTGATTTTAATTCTCAGCTGTGAAAAACCTAGCTTGTATGGATAACCTTTGTTGGACAACACTTTTCAGGAGGCCAGAGAAAACTTGAATATAATCTTTGATATTGTCTCGAGCAACAAGATCTTTAACAACACATCAGCATAAAATATAAGTCTAAAAGCTCTCAATGATTAATATAATGCAATAATTGCCCCCTTTTAAACAACTAACATTTTCTAAAAGACACGAGACGTTCAAAAACTCACAATGGGAGATGAAATCATTCAGAATTTGAAGTGAAGTTATTAATTAATCAACATAACAGGGCAAAAACATGAAAAATTCATATCTGGACCCATATCAAACTATCAATAGGTGTTTAAATTTTGAATCAACTTTCCATCATTTAAATCTCATGGAATGTGGATCAAATCTATTTATTGCGAAATCAAACTTGACTTTACCAAAACAAGGTGTGTGATACAGTCTTGTCGTATGTTTACATGGAAGCACAGCCACGATGGGCCCATATGCCAAGAAAGAACTGCAGTTTATCCCATTATTTTGCATGGTACCGTATCAAAAACTTTGTATTGGACATTGTTTAAATTGTGACATTTTTTTCAAAGTTGATATAATTTTTTTAGGACATTCATTGCAAAAATTTGTCAGTTACAGATAAACGACTAGTAAATGTAATCAAGGGAGGCGTTGTCCACACTTGTCACATTCAAACCATGCCAGATGTCAGGAGCACAGCAGTTTCTGACGAGCCGTGTTGAGCTCAGCATATCAATTATCATGTCACTGCAGTGGAAAGTGTAACATGGCAGCCTGCCAGCCTGGTAGGCTTTTCAATCCATTTTCTTAAGTTAACATGAGATGATGAGAATATATTACCTACATAGAATTCCACAGTCAGGCAGTGTAGCTAATATAGGCTAATATGTATAAAAAGAAGTCCACATTTCATATAGAATTTTGAACCATAAAATATGCATCTATTTTGTGATAATGATAATCTAATATTGTGGCACTGATCAAATAATCAGGCTGAACTCACTGGACACTGTGGAGTGTGCCAGTGTGGACAGTCTGGAGTCACTCTTGACTCTGGACTAGAAACTAGAGTGTGAGTGGAGTGATTTAGATCAAGCTGATTCTTGAACATATGAAATTATGAACCACTATTCCTAGAATTTCATCTTAAATTGTGTTAACAAAACTCAAAAGTGCAACATTGGATCACAAAATTTTAGTTGGACAAATAATTTCAATCTTTATGCATGCTTAACATGTTGACTACGTATTGGTACATATGCGTACCACGAAATGTATTTCTCCAGGAGGTAGTGGTACATAATTCAGGTTGCCTAAATTCAGCCAAATCCAAGAACAAAAAAGGCCAATAATTCAATGTAGGCCTATACTAGTTTAGGGTAAACGCGGTATATTCTGACATCGTGGGTAATTCTGACACCTCTCTAGTTTTTCCTTTATATTAAGCTTTGTTTTAGTTCCATGCATTCGTTGATGGTTGAAATAGTGACGTCATACATTTGCGCATCAAACTACTGCCAAAACACTAGGTCTGGGCCATCTAGCAGGAAAATGTTGAGATCCAAAGAGAGATGGTGCATGCCACCCAATGAGATAATCGAAAAATGTGTCAAAGTTACAGTTGACCTTGCTCTACCGAATAGTGATAAACTGTTTGTGTAGAAAGAATATTATGGTTTGAGACTTTTAAATACGTCTGTGAATATATTAGGAATCCTTTAAGTATACTTGTATTTGCTGATTCCAAGTGGTAAATAAATTAATAGATGATTAAGTTGAGAAACAGATTTAGACACATAAAAACTAATTCCGACACAACTTGAATTGGACACACACAGCTTGTTCCAAGCTGTGTGCAAAAATTAAAATTTTCTTAATTAAAAGCTTAATAACTGTTAATTAAAAGCCTAATTAAGTAGTGCTCAATATTCAATAGTGTTCTATTTCAAAGCCGTGTTGTATTCCAATACAGCTCACACAGCAATCGGAATTCGAACACATGGATGTCGGAATTACGTATTAGTACAATTTGAAGCGCAGTCGGAATACGTCTCACCACGTGCCTAATATAGTCACACACTCAGAATATAGGGATTTGGTATGGTAGGTTTGCATTCTAAAGGCTTTTAAATAAATATGGCAACATTTTGTGACGTTTCATCAGTGCAGGCGCATAGTGCAGTGTTTTGAGAGTCATGTAAAGCAAACAGAACTCGTGTAACGCATATGATTATTTTTTTTATCGTTTTTCATTTCTCGATGCATCCTTAATGTGTTGGAATATACCACATTTACCCTATTTCAACTTTATTTGTAGGTTCCGTTATAAAAATTCCATTCATTTTCTTTTGCAGTATTTAAAATTTAATTAGGAAGCAACCTATCATAAATTTTAGCCGGCCAATGCAATTGAGAAAAACTAGATCACAGAATTTGTCCAGAAAAAATGACCGTCTGGCAACCCAGCTTAAAAAAAGTATAACAAATGAAATAATAGTACAAGATGAAGCAATCGTAGTCAACGTCTAAAGTTAATGTTTTTGTAAAAAATAAAATTGTAAATTTATAGACTAGCCTAGCCTAGCCTACCTGTAATTTTTGGAAATCAAATAAAAAATTAGTTATTAGTATCAGTTTAGGCCTACCCAAAGATTTAAGCAAGGAAAATTATGCTTTACAGTTTACAGTGAGTTTACATTCAAAATTGAGCGTCAGTGGGCAGTGGCTCAGTGCCGTACAGCATAGTGGCAAACCCGAGATTTTTTAGAATCAGTTCATTTTTAATTTCCTCGTTTACTCAAGATTTAAACCAATTTCTCAAGTATGAAAATGCTGGTATCCAGGATACCTACTTTACTGCTCTACTTATAGGACTCAGAAATGAACTTGAGGGAGAGTCTAAAAAACTCTCTGCTTTGCCACTATGCCGTACAGGTACAGCTGTGATCAAACTGAAAAATTAAACAGAGCCTTGAATCAAATAGCCTAATCAATGAGAATGAAGAGATGTTTTATCATCATTTGGATATTGGATTTATTTTTTTTGCAGAATCATTGTAGGCTAGTATTTAAGTATTATCATTATTAATTCACGGCAGTGATGACACCAAAGACCAAAGCAACGACGCGAAACGGTCGCAATTCGTATACCTAGCTATGTATTATACTAACTTATTTTTAAATGAGCAAAAATGTTCAATTTCCTTGAGGCGGCGAGGCTTCAACTTCAAGTTCAAGCATACCTATTCATATAGGCTAAGCTGGCTAACTAAGAAATTTAAGAAACAAGCAAACTATCGACGTTTAAATGTAAATACTCACTTGAGAATAATTTTTTTCTTGGTAATTATGTCGGATAAAGGTAAATCAATATCAGTCATTTTCTATTATGAAAGTTTAAACGCGACAAACAACAAAATTCACAGGAAGAAAAATGGCGCCCAAGGAACACCACGCACGCTAAAAGAGACTGAGTGTAGAGGTCGCGGGTAAAAGTCTGCGCGGTGGATGCGCTGCAGCATGTTTACGGCGCTGGGATGCTGAAAAAGTTTCTGTAATTAATTTTTATGTATTTTCTTTCACCTTATGTGGCAAAAGGTTAATAGAAGGACTTTGATTTGCATTGGAAAACTAATGTAGGAATATGTTCACGCTAGAACATATATGCTAAAATGACCGAATGAATTACATTAACTATCGACTTCTATATTATCCAGTATAGAATTTCTCTTAAACCTAAAAATTTATTCACTGTGATGCGACTAAAATTCTGTTATAATTTCACGAGGATCAGTAAAGCCGTTTATACGATATATTTAGTATCCAAATTTATGTAAGCTGCAAATATGTTTCCATAACAATGCTACAAGCAGCGGGCCACTTGAGGGTTGATTAATGCGAAGTAATTCATTTAACTATATTGGACATATCAACATGAGTAACAAGGTGCGCATTGATAAACCAATTTATCGTATCGTAATACATGATCGCACGTATCCAAATATTTGCATTGCTCGAACTTAGTTATATGCTAGCAGAGGAATCAATATCTTCCGGCCGTTATCCAACTTGTCATTTCTTCACTCTATACCAAAGATTAATTCAGTCTGCGAACAACACTTGAGGGTGACAGAAACTTGGCAAGTGCGTCACAAAAAGATAAGTTTATTCATATAATGCCATGTTTGATAAGCCACCCGCCAGTACTGATGTTTTCTTCTTCATTGCTGACGAATATTGTTGCTTCAACGAGGTCAACTCGACATAAATGTCGATTAAACGTAATTTGTTCTGTTGAATCAATTGATTCTCAAATTACATCACATATGATGGATTTAATAAATAATTACAATTGTATGCTGGCTCAACTAGCCAAGTCATAGAGAGTAGGTCTATTGCGAGGGAATGAAGTCAGATCATAGGCTTCACTTTGATCGAAATTCAAAATGCTAATAAGGCTTCGAGTAGATAAACAATATTTAAATTTGGACAATTGTTAACTCAGCATGTTAGTCCCATGTAACATGTTAACTCAGCATGTTAGTCCCATATAGCATGTTAACTCAGCATGTTAGTCCCATGTAGCATGTTAACTCAGCATGCTAGTCCCATGTAGCATGTTAACTCAGCATGCTAGTCCCATGCAGCATGTTAACTCAGCATGCTAGTCCCATATAGCATGTTAACTCAGCATGCTAGTCCCATATAGCATGTTAACTCAGCATGCTAGTCCCATATAGTATGTAGCATGTTAACTCAGCATGCTAGTCCAATGTAGCATGTTAACTCAGCATGCTAGCCTCATGTAGCATGTTAACTCAGCATGCTAGCCTCATGTAGCATGTTAACTCAGCATGCTTGCCTCATGTAGCATGTTAGCTCAGCATGCTAGCCTCATGTAGCATGTTAACTCAGCATTCTAGCCTCAAGTAGCATGTTAACTCAGCATGCTAGTCCCATGTAGCATGTTAACTCAGCATGCTAGTCCCATGTAGCATGTTAACTCAGCATGCTAGCCTCATGTAGCATGCTAACTCAGTATGCTAGTGCCACGCAACATATTAACTAAGCATACTGGTCCCATGCAACATGTTAACTTAGCATGCTAGTCCAACGTAACATGTTAACTCGGCATGCTAGTGCTACGCAACATGTTAACTAAGCATGCTAGACCAACGTAACATGTTAACTCAGCATGCTAGTGCCACGTAGCATGTTATTTATCGTGCGCTCTAAATGAACATTTGACAATATGAATAGAAATGAATTTTGGAGAATGAATGAATTTTGACCAAGAAACAAAGATTGAATTAATGTGAGCTGAAACGCGTCCATCCAGCACCTTCAGTATGAATAATCAATTCATTATTATTCATGTATGACAATTGTTTCTAAAAATTAATTATTCCTCACAAATGTATGCACTGATTAATTTTTTTTTTTGCAGGTTTACCGTTTCGACGCTTCTGGCAATTTCTCTTACAATAGGTTTACATGATTCTTTTCTAAAATAACTAACGTTATTATTTATGCTTGTAAGTTCAAATTTCTATAGCCGAGTCCATTGTTTGGTCGAAACGTTATTGAATCTTGAAAGTATCCAAAACGCCATTGATTAATCCTACGTGCGTTTAGTGTGAACAGACTCAAGGTAAAGATTACATCTTCTCTTTCAATGTGCCGGTTTGAGGAAAGTACTTCTAGAAATTTTGGCCATCTACCTCTGCATTCTTAGCGCATTTTCTCATTTATGGAAAAAATGCACTATTGTGCTCGCCATGTCCGTCTGTCCGTCCGTGACCTCACGTTTTCGTCGACGAGAAAATGCGCTCTCTGTCACTCACTGCAGTGAGTACTGAGTTATATTATTTTTTAAGTCTATCTTCCGTATTTCGCAAGCATCGATGCATGGCGTGGCGGCCCAGTAGTTACAGTTTATATTACCAAGATTAGAGAAAAGTGGTGCGACCATGGGTCACCCTGCATGCATATTGCATAATCTGCTTTGCTTGCTGATTTGTCGGGTGATAAGCCAACGACAAAATGCTGGTTATTTGTAATTAATCGTTCCCACTGCTCTTAGAACGCGAAAATGCTATTTTAAATTAAAAGAAATCCACTTGCAACTACATGTAATTCCACATATATCGACTTTCCTGGCAACATTACCGTTCTCATTAAAAAGGACGTCCTAAATTGATGTGTAACTGATAAAAATTTCAATGCAGGGCACAAAAAGTGTGCTGCAAGTCGAAAATGTTTAAAATGACCAGAGTTCATGATAGCTTTCAGCATGTTTTGAATTTAATGACTAATTTTTTCGAAATAAAAATATATATGATGTTATAAGAATTAACACTGTAATCATTTGTAGTGAGACAAGATCTGCTGCTAGCAAACATGATTATGAAGCGGGACTCTATATTGAAGTCTACCTTCGAGACCCAACGCCTGATTTTCTTTTACTCTATCGATTTAATCCTTCTGATCAAAGGCGTTTCAATGCCAAATTAATTATTTTTACGATGAATGACTTTCTCACGTTATACGGTCACATTTAACTGTTTACCTATGAAATAAAGTGATATATCACGTGGACCAGCATTGTTCATAAAATTTCATCGCCAGGCAAAATATAATTATTATTGAAAGAACGTATAAGAATATATCAATGAAAAATATAGAAAGGTTTTCCGTTCATTTTACTTCACGAGTAACATTTTTCGTTTGAATGATTACAATGATTGCCAAGACCATGCACGAGCCTGCGGGCCAAGAAAAAAAAAAGAGTCCACTTGCAAAGTTGCAACTTGCCTTGCAATTTTTCAGTGCATGGCAAGCATGCGTGTTGAGAGGTTGTGTAACGGTGCTCAGTAGCGCCGCAGACATTTGTGGTTAATCTGTGAACTTTCGTGATGGAAACGATGAAGATCTTGGGAAGCCGGATTAAACAGACAGCAGAGTATACATTGTTTTGCATAGAATTGCTTAAATTCGAATTATTAAGGAGAAAAGTTCTACGGAAATGAAAATCTTTGAAGATTACATCACGCAGCGGCTACGTACTAACGTAGAGGCTACAGGCTAGGCCACTGTCATCACATCAGTCATGTGATCATTTTTTATAGATGCTAACAGTTTTCGCTTAGACATCTGACTATGTTACCACTACCGCCACCACACATACCGTATCATCCACTACCGCCATTGAGAAAATGCGTTAAAAAGATTGTTTCTAATGAAGGCTGGCGGCACAGGTACGGTAAAGACATATATGTCATTGCCGGAAATAATGTTACGTATTTATTGTTGCATCTTACATGTCACCATGCCAAAAACGAAAAGCGAATACTGCACTAAATTTTTAATTTGTATTGCAATTTGTGTTCTACTAGGTACATATTTGAATTAAGCTATAAATAAAGGCATAAATTACCGCTAAAACTAAGAATGCAATTCGAATAAATGGTAACATCCTGACAACTACGGGTTTGGCGTTCTCATGATACACAAGAGCCTCCTAATTACATCTTCCTTGTAGAGGTAGGGAATTTCTTCAATGTTCTGTCGCTTGTCACGAAGCCTCCACCTTCACATGAACGCCCAGAATTATTTTGTTTTTATTAATTTCAGAATTGTTATTAACTTATTACGTTACCATACGATACGAGACGCTTGCTAGTGTAGCAGTGATACCAGCCTACGAGGCGCGTGGTAGCGTATTAGTGATACCAGCCTATACGAGACGCGCGTGGTAGCGTATCAGTGATACCGTACCAGCCTATACGAGACGTGCGCTTGGTAGCGTATCAGTGATACCATGTCGCGGCCCAGCAAGCTCGCTAAGCTGGCGCTGTGGGGCGCCGGGGCGGCGGGGGCGGGCGTCGCCGTGGCGCTTTGGGCGACACAAGACGACCAGCACACAAAGGTGAGAACATTTAAGACTTATAATTAGTGTGTATTGAATAAAAAAGATAACTCAATATTTATACTACTACTTATAATTAGTGTATATTGAATAAAAAATATAATTCAGTACTTATACTACTTATTATTAGTGTGTATTGAATAAAAAATATAACTCAGTACTTATACTACTACTTATAATTAGTGTGTATTGAATAAAAAATATAACTCAGTACTCACTGCAGTGAGTGACAGAGAGCGCATTTTCTCGTCGACGAAAACGTGTCGGCAGATGGGTTGGATAAAATAGTTACTATTTACATCCATATTTGTCGCAAAATCGATTCTAAAACAATTCCAATACGTTGGACAGGTCGTTCATAGCCTATGGAGATAAGAGAAACGTATAATATTGAATTATACACGCTTGATAGGCCAAAATCACGAGTAACTTTTAAACGTATCTTTTCTCTCTTGTCTCAAAAATAATCGCATCGGAGTTTATACTGCAACACTTGCTGTTGTTCCTTGCGCTGACATGAACTTGAATTCTTTAATTATGATTACTCATCTA